GTGCCCTCAGCCGTGATGGGCTCCTGGTGTGCCCTCAGCCGTGATGGGCTCCTGGTGTGCCCTCAGCCGTGATGGGCTCCTGGTGTGCCCTCAGCCGTGATGGGCTCCTGGTGTGCCCTCAGCCATGGTGGGCTCCTGGTGTGCCCTCAGCCGTGATGGGCTCCTGGTGTGCCCTCAACCGTGATGGGCTCCTGGTGTGCCCTCAGCCGTGGTGGGCTCCTGGTGTGCCCTCAGCCGTGGTGGGCTCCTGGTGTGCCCTCAGCCGTGGTGGGCTCCTGGTGTGCCCTCAGCCGTGGTGGGCTCCTGGTGTGCCCTCAGCCGTGGTGGGCTCCTGGTGTGCCCTCAGCCGTGGTGGGCTCCTGGTGTGCCCTCAGCCATGGTCGGCGGCGGACATCTGCTCTACCGGAGGGCACCGGATGACTTTTTACATTTCAATTTTTGGGCCGAGTTTTTGGTTTTGCTACCCAGTGTTCTCTGTGTGGAGCGGGGCTGGTGCTTAATTATCACCCTGAGGGACTCCTGGGGCCCCCCCAATCATCTGCCTGACTGTGCGTTTCTTTGACGCCAGGCATTTTAGTGTCTGGTGAGACGCGTCTTCGTTGCGCCATTAGGATTTGCGATTAACCCGATACAGGTACGCCGGGTCCCATCCGATCCAACGACCGTTTTCGCCCCTAAGTAAACAACACCTATGTGAGATGATCTTGTAACAACGCCTATGTGAGATCCTGAAACTGATGAAACAGTTTCCGGATCCACATCAATCAACAGAAAGTAATCACGAGGACATGATTCAGGTGGTAAACCAGGAAAATGTGCAGAGTAATTCAACAATCAGGAAATACATTGGGAGTGCTTTCAGAGCTTATGAAGTATTCTGAGTGCTGGAGAGAGAACCAGAAGCTTAGGAAAGAGAAAAGCGAAAAATTACCTCATAATAAGAAACCTTGCAAAAGTAGAGGATAAATTAGATGAGGAAATACTTAAAAAAGTTTATTGGTGCAGTGGCGGATCCAAACATTTCCCAGGTAAGAAGGTTAGGGTAATCTAAAGTACTGTACCTGTAAGTAATTATCAAAAGGCAACAAGGCAAGGAGACTATGTAGCAGGATAAGCTAAAGTAAACTGAGTACGCATAACCATTGCAAATCTCGAGCACAGAAGGAATATATTCAGTTTTAAGTTTAACTTATTTATTGTGCACCCCATACCCATCCTGTGGGCTGTAGCGGAAATGATTACAGAGGTACATAATGGGCTCGGGGACTGAACCCCAAAATTCATTTAGCTAAGCAAGTTACAGTTTTGATGAGCTAGTTATAAAATGCACCGCACATTGTCATATCAATAATGGGCTCGAGGACTGTCTCTAAATTAAGCAACTGACATATGTGGAGAAATTATAAATTAGTGCCATAATTTATATTTATCCTGTACACCACCCCTTAACCAGTGGACAGTGGTGGAATGGTTACATATCACCCAGTTACTACCTGCAGTTAGGAAACTGAATATTTGGCTTATATATCTGATAACAGATCCTTTTGAATGAAATATTTACACATTTCTTGGACATGTGCTATAAAATTGTCTCTGAATTCGCATATATTTTTGCACTTCATGATATAGTAACAGGAGGGTGTGTGAATAAATTTATTGACAGTTTACATTTGGTCAGGTCTACATTTACATTTGGTCAGGTCATTAGAAGGCAATGAAAATTCCCAGAGAGATACATTTATCCAAGTCTAAGCCAATCTGTAGTAACATCTAGGTGTCTAAATGTTTTATTGGATGATCCACAAATGTGTTGCTCTTCTTACATGATAGTATAATGATAGATGAAATTACTAGTGTCGATTTCACTTTGCCTCAGATCTACAAGGTTTTGGTTAAGTTCTTGGTGCATTATTGCTCTCAGACTGCATATAGGCAATCCAAGATTATAAGAAACTCCTTCTGTGAAGGCAGATTCTTTGGCTAACTCATGAGCTCTATCATGCAAACGTGAGATGGAATCCACGTGAAATGGACTCTGTTACCATCATTAATAATTTTGCTGTATTTGTGTCTAGCTTCAGACACAAGTATGTTATATACAATACATGTTATACAGATTTCTTTCTCATATAACATGTGATGAAACCCAATCGAGGTAACAGCATTCTAGATCTTGTGCTAAAGTCAGAAGATGGCATATTCCGCGAAATCCAGGTATAGATGTTCACTCCTTAATTCCTGTGACCACTATATCTTAAGATGTAATACTATTATAGCAACCCATAAAAAAGGTACAAGACGATGACATTCTAGACTTTCTAGTTTTCAAGGAGACTCATAAAATTCTTCTATATCAGGTAAATGCAGGTAAACTTCAGACACAAGTATGTTATATACAATACATGTTATACAGATTTCTTTCTCATATAACATGTGAAGAAGCCCAATCGAGGTAACAGCATTCTAGATCTTGTGCTAAAGTCAGAAGATGGCATATTCCACGAAATCCAGGTATAGATGTTCACTCCTTAATTCCTGTGACCACTATATCTTAAGATGTAATACTATTATAGCAACCCATAAAAAAGGTACAAGACGATGACATTCTAGACTTTCTAGTTTTCAAGGAGACTCATACAATTTTTCTATATCAGGTAAATGCAGGTAAAATGAGAGGAATTGCAAAATGCCACCTGGAGAGTGTTAATAGATCAAGACGTTGAAGCATCATAGGAAAATTTTGCAAAGATCATAACTGAGCTTATTGAAAAATGCTTGCGAACAAGGAAAGAAAAAAGAACTATTTAGAAAACAAAAGTAGTAAAAAAGTTTCTAACCACAAAATGCAACCTCTGGAAGAAGTATGCAAGTAACTAAAAAAAGAAGGCACCAAGCCGGGGAGACTATGCAGTACCACCTCTGGAAAAAGTATAAGTCTACCAAGGAATAATATAAATTATGACATATACAAAAGAGCATTAAATTCAGCTACTGTACCTAGGAAATTAAACCTGTCAAAAAAAGACTGGTCTACCTTCTTCCAGTCTGGTAGGCTGACCAGACTGGAAGACTGACTGGTAGACCTTCAACCTGGAAGACTGGTAGGTTGACCAGACTGGAAGACTGGTAGACCTTCAACCTGGAAGACTGGTAGACCTTCAACCTGGAAGTCTGGTAGGTTGACCAGACTGGACAAAAAATGTGTAGACCTTCAAATTGTCAGATGTAACACAAACAAGGAGCAACGGTTTCAAGCTCAACAAGCCACAATGTAGGACTGAGAACAGGAGATGCCTTTTCACCCACTGGGTTATAAACCAATGAAACTGCTTACCCGCCGAAGCCGTAAATGCCAAAACTGTGTGGATCTACCTGGAAATGATAATCAAGGCATATGGGGGAACCCTCAACAAGCTGCCGGCTTCCTGTCCTCGTCGAGGCCACTAAGGTTAGTGGCCCTCAGGTAAAACAGGTAAAAGAAACTATGAAAGAAAACTTGCTCAAAACATTAAGAAAGTACTGTACTGTTCAATCCCTGACCGTACAAGTGGTTGGGCACCATTCCTCCCCCCCCCCCCGTCCCATCCCAAACCCTTATCCTGATCCTATCCCAGTGCTATACTGGATAGTCATGGTAGCTTGGCGTGTTCTCCTGACAGTTCCCTTTCCCTCTTAAGATGGCATATGAATTAAAAACATTATTTATGCATGTGATCGGACTTCTTTATTTATTTATTTATTTATGCATATACAAGAATGTACATTGTGAATGTGAGGATACATAATATGGTAATTACAGTCTTGTAAAGCCACTAGTACGCGCAGCGTTTCGGGCAGTTCTTATTTGCTACATTAATTGCGCTCCCTGCCTGATGCCTTGTTTTAATAATTACTTATTCGGACGCTTTATAAGTAATGATAGCTTTAACAGGCATGCAGGCCTCCAAAGGTTTAGTTGCTCTGCATAAGAAATGAACTAAACTAACTCTGAAACACACTAGTAAAATATGTACGAGGTACACTGATGAAATATATAGTGAGGTGAGAGTTTGGGCTGGGAGGCAAGGGCAGGGACAAGAGCTGTCCTGGGGAGCAGGGAAAGGGCCAGGCTGGGGAGCAGGGCAAGAGCCGGGCTCGGGGGCAAGGGCCGAACTCGGGGGCAAGGGGCCGGACTCGGGGGCAAGGGGCCGGACTCGGGGGCAAGGGGCCGGACTCGGGGGCAAGGGCCGTGGCTCGGGGGCAAGGGCCAGACTCGGGGGCAAGAGCTGTGGCTCGGGGGCAAGGTCCGTGCTGGGGAGCAGGGCAAGGGCCGGGCTGGGGGGGCACGGGCCAGGCTAGTTGGGCAGGGGGCCGTGCTAGGGGGCAAGGGCCAGGCTAGGGGACGGGCCGTATTAGGGTTTACAGTCTCCGTGGTGTAGTGGTAAGACACTCGCCTGGCGTTCCGCGAGCGCTATGTCATGGGTTCGTATCCTGGCCGGGGAGGATTTACTGGGCGCAATTCCTTAACTGTAGCCTCTGTTTAACGCAACAGTAAAATGTGTACTTGGATGAAAAAAACGATTCTTCGCGGCAGGGGATCGTATTCCAGGGACCTGCCCGAAACGCTAAGCGTACTAGTGGCTGTACAAGAATGTAACAACTCTTGTATATATCTCAAAAAAGGGGGGGGGGGCAAGGGCCAGGCTAGGGGACAGGGGCCGTGTTAGGGGGCAAGGGCCATGCTAGGAGACAGGGGCCGTGTTAGGGGGGCAAGGGCCGTGCTAGGGGACAGGGGGCCGTGCTAGGGGGCAAGGGCCAGGCTAGCGGACAGGGGCCGGGGGAGGAGGAGGAGCCCGAGGCAGCAGCAGCTGGTCATCACAACACACCACACGAGCTGCTCCACCGCCCAGGGCCCTGCCTCCTTGACTCACTTGCGTCATCTGAGGTATCTCTTGCCCTCTGCCCTATGCTAACTTGACTCATACTCATCCTTAAGACGTGTTTGACTAAGACAGCCATCCCCTGTTGAGGTGTTAACGGGGTGATGAACAGTAACGTCCCACCAGCCTTGAGTTGGGCTCTCGAGTCACTCTCACGTTATTTTGTTGTTGTCTTGGTTATGTGAAAGGTGTTTATTGTGTGAAGTGTTCGTAAGTGTTTCACGTTATATTGGTATATCACTTACCTCTCAAGACTTGGGTTAGTACTTAGAAAGAGTGACAGTGGTCAAGAGGTACGAGGAATTTGTGGAATTTGGGTCAGATCTTAGTTGCAGCTGTTTTGGGGTACCAATGATAGACAACCAAGCTGGGCTTTATTTCCTGTTGAGCAGGTGTTGCATATGTTGGTAGTGGTATGTTTGCTCATCAATAACTTTGCTCCTTGGGGGAAGGGATGTCCTTCCCCAACCCCCTAAATGTAGAGTGGGTTCTTAGGTAAAAGTTGTTGAGGTTTCACTTTGATTTCGTAGGTCAACATTACAACAACAACCTGTTATGACTGTTCTCTACATTGTCATAAATTTGTTATTTATTAATTATACAGTATACTAGAAGGTACATACATGCTTGTAAAGCCACTAACATGCATAGAGTTTTGTTTGCTTTTATTGATGTGTGACAGTTGGTGGTGTTTGTCATTTTCACCACTTGAGTCACGACACCAAACATTAGGTTCACTGCAAACTATGTGCCAATTTTGCACCACTTTACGTTTACAAATTCCATTTGTCAATCACATATCCTAGACATATAAACTGGTCAGCCATTTCTCGAACTACGCCTTTCATGTTAATTTTATCACAAAATTCCCTTCATTCTCACCATCATAAATTTGCTTCTGCATATATTTATGTTCAGAAATCTTCTCTCACCTGCAATACTAAAACATTGACAAAGATTTTAAAAATCTACCTAAATTTCATTCTTTGCTGAAAGAACTGTATTATCATCATGCATAAAATCTTTATTCAATGTGCTTTTTGATTTTAGGGAGGTACTGTTAGCTTTCCCTGGAACATTGCATTCTGCTGAAGGCCATTAATTTGATTTTGTTTATACAGTACTTCACTGCTGTGTTCATACTGTACTTCCCACATTGTGTGTGTATTACATTTTCTGATTCCATGGCCAGGGTTCCCTTCCTTGGGATCAACTTTTTTTTCTCAATGACCCACCAGAGATACCTGCTCTGAAGGGTTGCATGCTCCCTCTTCTACATGGTGACTCCTTGAATCACCTCGCTTCCAGGCAGGGCATAACAATTTTTCTCGTTTGCTGGGCCTGATGATAGGGAGGAAACAACCTTCATAACTTTGAAAAAGTATAGCATGTTGAGGCATTCTGACTCACCTGGTTGTATTTGGTGTGAATGAGCTACGTGCTTGTGCATGTTAAAGACCTGTCTACAATGCTGGCACTGCTACTGTGGGTGTTAGGGGTCATGCACTTGAGATCAAGGTGTGCTTGGGTAACAGACACAAATTTTGTGATTCCCCAACAGCTTATGGTATCCCTCGTTTAGTGTTTGAAGTCAGCATTCAGTGTTTGCTTTCCCTGCATCTAGCTTGCCTGCCTGTCTGTGTAACAGTTTGGGTGGTTGGCACTCCTCATCCCTATGGGATTTATTGTCTGGTATGTTTATTTGGACACATTTCTCACTCTTGGATAAAGTAGAAGTTTTGGTACATTGGTCACCCAGTTGCAAGCAAGTCTGTTTGTTCATGTGCCACCGTGAAGCCATTTCCATTTATCTTCTAGGTCTGATGGCTGTCGGATTTCCTCATGTCAGCACTGTTGTCGTATGCAATATAGTGGCATTCAAGCATACGAAAACTATGCTATGTACCCTGTTTGCCTTATTTACCTTGGAGTGCCAAATTTCTTTCAAACATTGGCTTGTTTTGTTGAGCCTTTGCTGTTTGCTGTTCTTGTTTTTGGATTGATCTCTGCTCTCCAAGCTTCCCATGCCATGTAGAGTGAACCAGAATCTGGCTCTGGCTTCAGATATGTTATGATGGGTCTCGGGGCAGCCCTGTTGTGATTAGCTGACACTTGGCGATACCAGAGCTAGGCTGAAGGTGGCCCACTAGAAAGTTCATTTGATTGCATTCTGTGCATGCTGTGCTGTACTGCATCAAACATTTCTTGTAGTTTTTCATGATATTTAATATTGCAGGCATTATGCTGTGGACGGTGGAGTTGGAAGGTGGCCCACAGCGTGTTAACCATGCTGCTGTTGCAGTGGGGGAAAAAATATATTCGTTTGGTGGCTACTGCACCGGAGAAAACTATCGAACCATCCGAAACATGGATGTACATGTTTTAGACACAGGTAAACAACAATAGTAATAACATAATAATAGTTGAAATAACACTGATGTTCACTTTTTAAGTACAATATTGTTTACTTCATATTATTAATATATTAGGATCTACAATTTGTGACGGTGAAGGATTTCTATTTTTGCATATGCATAGTTGTGTCAGGGTATAATAATTTCCAAATTCCTGAGCACCCATATTCATTGTTGCACCCCTGCCTAAATTTGCTCTTGGACATATTTTGGTTTCACATTGTTGCAGACAGGAAGCCTGTTGGGATTATTGAGGGTACCCCCTAGGCCAACAACTGACAATTCCCAAGTTGCATTCTCTCTAGTTTCCCAACTCCATATTGTAAAGACATGTGCTAAATGCCTCGTTTTGCCTTTGAATTGAACCCGGGACCATTTGGTTGTGAGCCAACTGCACTTGTCACTGGACTACAGATCACTATCCCTAGATATGAGCACCCTGCAGGAACCACTGTATTAATGGTGATGTATCCAGAGTGCACTGTGGATCTTGCCTGGTAACACAGTTGAATGGCATAATTTTGAAGTGTTTATTCACTATTCACTGAAGCCTGTATTTCTCTTTCAGTTACATATAGATGGAAAGCAATTGAAGTTCGACAAGACCGTAGAACAGTGCCATTTCAGAGATATGGTCATACGGCTGTTGCCTTTGGTCATTTGGTGTATGTTTGGGGTGGAAGAAATGATAACACTGCTTGCAATGTTCTTTTCTGTTTTGACACAAGTAAGTGACTGCTAAAATGTTATATAATTAATACAAGCATTTTAGTAGCAAAATTAGGTACAATTACATTTAGGTTAATAAATCATTTTATTTCGTTATTGCTTTATTGTGAATGATATTTCTGCCCATATTTTTGCCTTGCACAATATTTTGAATCTGTTTATTACAGGTACGCACAAATGGTCAGTTCCGGCAGTCACTGGTGCAGTTCCTGAAGCCAGGGATGGACATTCAGCATGTATTATCAATGATCACATGTACATTTTCTCTGGATATCTTGAGTACTTGGAATCATACACTCAAGATGTACATACATTAAACCTAAGAACAATGACCTGGGTTTATGTCAGGACTATTGTAAGTAAGATTGATTTTCAAATACAGTTTAATACTTAAATATAGTAAAGGAAATAGACTGTCATCATGATTTTTATCCCATTTTTCTTGGAGCTGATACCTCAACAGCTATCAGCTCCGAGAGTGTTGGGAGCATACAGTATAAGAAAGATAGATACTGTGTGTACAGTGTAAGAAAATGTGAAAGATATAAGAAAATTTTATCTCTAAATTTTTCATACTGCATGTTAGCAACCCAGCATCACACTAGCAGTCAAATAAGAGCAATGTGATATGCATATGGGAAAATGGTTTTCCAATCTGATATACTATTTACTTGTCTACTAGGTCATAAAGCAAGGTGAATAGTTCTCCAAGAATTGCCTTGAATATGTCAATTCACTTCATGGTCATCCAATCCTCCTATCATCACATTTGCTTAAATACTATTTTCTTTATTATTGTCATTATTGATTTGTTTGAGATAAACTATAAGATGACTGTACAGTATACTTTACAATCTTACATTTTTACTGACTTACACTTAATATCTTTAAATTTTATTTACATTCCTTACATTGTTTATATAAATAAAACTGCATCACACATGTTTAATTCTTAGATTTTTACATCATCTCTCACCTGTACGTTCATTAAACTCATTTATATTTCTAACTGACCACATCTCTTTCTGTCTTATTCTTCATAACAAGGGCTTTCAACACCAGCTACTTCCCTTCCTCAACTCGCCCTGCTCTCAGTTTCATTTGTAAATGTCTCCTTGTCATCAAAGAGGAAGCAGCTGGCAATAGTATATATACAACAGTACTTTACAGACTGAAGATCTTTCAGAAATATGGGTAAATAGTTTCCATGATTTGGCACCTATTTATATAATTACTTTCAGAAATATAGAAAATTGCAAACTTCATTACAATTTTCATGAAATGAAACAAAATGCTAATAAAAGGCCAGTTTTCATGATGTTCAATTCTTGCAAGTTACTAACAAAAATAACCAGGAATAGAATAGTGAAGCATCTGAAAAAAAGTTATAAAAAGAAAGGTTCATAGAAGGAGAAGCTTGACTAACAATCAAACTGTTAGTCTGTTCCTATGACAGTGGCCAAAATTGAACAGGAAGTGAGGGATGGGTATACTATATTATCTTGGACTGCCTGAACATAATAATTTGGGAGCACCACAACAGTTGTTCCCAATTGGCCTATATTAGGTGGTTTTATTTATCTATTCATTCTATTTTTAAAACCTGTTAAACTCTTCATCTCATTGATGCTAACTAGCAGCCCATTCCTTTCATCCACAACTCTGTTTCTAAACCAATACTTTTCTATATCCTTCCTAAAACAAAAATTTCCAACTCATACCTATTGTTGCAGGTTCTGATCTATTGTGACAGTTTCAGAATCCTCTTTATATCCCCTTTATTTATGCCCTTTACCCACTTGAAAACCTCGGTCATATCCCCCCTTATCCTGCATCTGTAGTGAGTGCAAATTAATGTACTGCACTAGTACTTCAGTCTCTCTTTGTAAAAGGACCCAAGACCTGGTAATCAGCATTTATAATCATTTCCTATTTTCTTTAATTCAGCAGGAATTAAGTCAAGAATTAATTCAGCAAGAATTAATTTAGGGTGTCATGCATATTCTATAGTACAGCAACCAGACCTGCACAGTGTAATCTAAGTGAAGCCTTAGTGGAGCACTTCATGTGACCGACCGACCTCTAATTTCTAATCATATCTTGGTCTACCTTATATTTGTTCAAAAACTCCAAGCTCCTACCTCAGCAAATATTATCTCCACTTACCAAGAAGCAACCAACAGGCTTTTGCTCTCATTGCTTGACAATATATTATGTATTTTATTCACTATGTCACTCAGCTCTGCTCCTGGAAAAATGTACCCCAAATTCTGTTTCTTGTGTCCCTGGAGCAAAAGGCCCTAGCCATATAATACACCTGGAATCCCTAACAACCAAGATTCCCCTACCTTTTGTGTTGCATTATACAGCTTCTCTACCGTCTGAGTTTATCCTTAAATTCACCCCTCCTATATGGAGATGGGGTTTGTCATCTCAACCATGTTCTTAATAATTAGTTATCGTTGAACACTGTGGACTTGGTTCCTCCTTTGCCCACCACTTTCCAGTTTGCTTGGTGGGTACTTTCATGCCTCTGTTGTAGATCCTCCTGCCTCATATTCATTACTAACGTCTTGAACCCCATAAGACATGTCACTTGTTCCTTGATCCTGTCAATCTCTGACCTAAGTGTTATTCAGAGTTTGTCTAGTGGTGCAGTCATGATGTGTGACATTGTTGAGCCCAATAGTAATCCAGTAACTAAAGAGACTGAGAAATAAACTGACATAATATGAAAGGTACTAAAATGGATACATACACAACTGATGATAAGAAAATAAGAGTAATTGGGAGAGATGCAGCATGAGACTGGAAAGCAATGAGTGATAACCCTTTCTGTTCCTGTTCTTTATAAGTTATCTTCTTGATAAATTTGAGTACTGTAATTCATGTCAATATTTACTGATAATGCTAAGATGATGAGAATAAATACAAACAAGAGCTGCAAAATGCTGCAGGAGGACCAAAATAGGCTACAAGAATGGTCAGAATTCTACAGTTCAGCCTTAGTAAATGCAAAGTTATAAGAATGTAGACACGAGAAAGAAGACCAGAAGAACATTATAGACTGAGAGGGACATAGGCCTCAGCAAGGGAAACAAATCTTAGGAGTAAAGAAAACAGTCTCATACCAGAAGCACACACAACTCTTTCGAAATCAAAGCTAAAAATCTTGAACATCTTATACAACATATTGTACATTAGACCAGTCCCAGAGAATGTGGTACTTGCATGTAACCAATGCCAGTGCCACACAATTATGAAACACACACAACTGAGACGGTCCAAATATTTGCTACGAAAGCTGTCATCGGAAAAATGACAACAAACTCAAAAGAATCGAACTCACAAACATTGAGGGGAAGAAGATTCAGTGTTACGGTCATAACCAGAAGAAACTGAAAGACAATGTGAACAGACAGAAATTGTTCCAGATAAGATGTAGGACAAAAGGGCACACTCACGTGGATAAATTATTCATTGTATTTTACACTCAAAACAAAGTAAATTTTCTGCTAATGTAGTGTATTTCACATTTTTAACCTGATCAAACAAAATGACAGGACAATCATAAGTGTTAGGGGAAGTCTCTATTTTTAGATACTGGTAGAACAAATTACATTTTGTGTAGCCTGTAGAATATTAACTGCTTAACTGATGCATTCAATCTAATGTGTGTATGTATGTGTGTGTATATATATATACATACATACATACATACATACATACATACATACATACATACATACATGTTAATGTATTTGTTTTTCTATAATTAGGGCCAGGCTCCAGTGTATAGAGACTTCCACACAGCCACTGGAGTTGATGGAGTTATGTATGTATGGGGTGGAAGAGAGGTAGCTAGTGGATGGTATGATTCCCCAGAGCATGAGGAATATGGGTCAGATCTCTATGCCTTGGACACAACTGCAAGGCGATGGAGTATTGTGCCTTGTTCAGGCTGCATTCCAGTTGGTCGGAGATCTCACTCTGCATGTGAGTATCTTCATGTATTCTAAATATCTCTAAGGAAACTTTTAAAGAATGTGTATTTGCAATTCATTTAGTATGCATTTTCAAGAGAGAATTTTTCCAGATTTAAATATGTGACCACAATTACAAAGCTTATTATTTTAATTACATTTAATTGATTACATATAATAGTGAGTTTTTGTGTTTTTATGTAAATAAATTGCATGTGTATATAGAAAAGATTTTCTTAGTGTACAGTTGTGTGATTCAGTAGTTCAGTAGGGGCCTTGTGACTTTTCCTACCCAAAGTCTACCTAAATTAAGTAAAATTTGTAGAGTAATTTCTAACCCAAGTTAACCCTTTCGCTGGGATTCATTGCAGTTCTAATGAGAAATGTATCAACTCAATACTTGATCAATTGTTTTTCAAAAGCATAGAATATCATATATACAATAAATGCAGCACCTTATTTGCTTCCCTGAGCAATAGCCGTGGATTCACCCAGGTCAGTGTTGTTTCACTTGGCCCGGTGCAACTGAATCCTACAAGAAAAATAACTTTAGAATGTCTTGTCCTGTAAGTGGGCAGTAGAAAGCTTACCTCATATCACCACCAAGAGAAACCACATTCCCTATGATACTAAAGAATGTATAAAACCATTCAACACCCCATCCGAACAATCATTTTGAGCACTAGGGTGACCAATTGTTGTTTTAAACTAACATAACTTGCAACTACAGTACTTCGATACCTGATTGACTGTTGTGGTCTACAATAGGCATGTCAAACTGAGGGTCCCCCGAGGGCCATATGAGTCACATTTATGTTGCCATGAGGGCCATACACAACAACTAATTGTAGTCATTTAATAAAAATTATTGCAGAATATTTTTATTACTTAAAATTTTTTATTACTTTATTACTGCGGCCCTTTGTGCAAGCCGCAGGTGTGCCCACGGGCTACATGTTTGACATGTCTAGTCTACAAGACAATCAAGATTCTGATGAGACTGTCGATACCTGTCAGTGACCAGATGCTGGTCATATGATATTGGCCTTAGAACATATGCTCTGAGGAGAGCACATTATCCTGCTTAAAACACTATATCCTGTTATGTAGAAATTTAATAAATGGGCAATTATAGTGAAATGTAGTGCTGAGAATGGGTGGGTGGTTGCTTGAGGGACTGTGACTTTTATTTCCAATTTCCATGGGCATCAGATGATTGCCTACTCTCATAGGCAAGTATAGAGAGATGTGGAGATGTGTACAGTACAGTATATGCATGTAGATAAAAGGGAATTTCTGTAACTAAAGGTTAAGTAGTATGTTCTTTAGTAAAGTTAGTGTAAAATTTATGAATCTATATTTCTAAAAACATTTTAGCAATAAACTTTTATATTTCAGTTGTGTACAGAAGGCAGATCTACATATTTGGCGGTTTCAACAGTAGAGAAAAACAACACTTTAACGACTTGCATAGATTTGATCCAGGTAAGTGTGATTTAATGCCCCTAATACAGGGTTGCCATATGTGAGCAGTCAAAATCCAGGACACCTCCATTAACAGTCACCACGACTCTGCCCCCACCCATCACACATTTTAGGCCTTTGGCAGTATATATATATATATATACAGTATATTGTTGCACTCTACCACACGCTTTAAATTTTTTTCTAATATAATTTTTGTTCATTCTTTAGTATTATGATAAAAAATGAACTGTATAATCTAAATTGGGCATAACAAGAGCAAGATAATGCTGAAGAATAATGTTAGATGGCTTATTGCTAATATTTATTCCGTACAATTATGCATTTTGATTTTCCAATTTTGACATTGTCCAGCAGGTGTCTTGTAATCATTATCGTTACATAAGCCTAGAACTAATATATTCTTCAATTTTAGACTGCATCTGACAAACTTTCTTCCATTTTAAAGGCCTATCTAGATTATCATACAGTATAGTGATTTTGAGTCTTCGTAATGTATTTTTGTTTTGCGTAAAAATTTGCAAACGATACTGTTCAATTCTGTGTGTAAATTGTTTATATATATATAGTAAACAACAGAGATCCCAGAACAGAGCTCTGTGGCACTCTACATGTAATGACTTCCAGTTTGATCTTATCACCATTTATGCTAATCCTCTGTTTACTTTTAAATAGCCATTGCCTTAATCCTCCTCAATACCATGCACCTCAAACTTACTTTCACATAAGAAATCTTTCATGATGCACCAAATTAAAGGCTTTTCTGAAGTATAGAATGCCACAACTCTTTCCACTATTAACTGCTTGAAATATGGTGGGAAAAGAATAAGAGCAAATTTGTTACAGACAATTTTCTTGATTTGTGCTATAGAGCAACATTTTGCAACCCGTTCTCGCACTTGCTTATAGTAAATATTGGCTTATTTAATAAGTGCATATGTGACATACTAATTGATAGTAAATATTTTAGTTTACCTTGAAAAGCTTCATAGAAAACACCGACCTCACCTAACCTTCTTAGTATGTTAAGATAAGCATCTTATTGTTTCTTATTTACAATTATTACTTAACCTATCAACGGTATAGGTTAAGTAATAATTGTAATTAAGAAGCAATAAGATGCTTATCTTAACATACTAAGAAGGTTAGGTGAGGTCGGTGTTTTCTATGAAGCTTTTCAAGGTAAATTAAAATATTTACAATCAATTAGTATGTCACATATGCACTTATTAAATAAGCCAATATTTGCTATAAGCAAGTGCGAGAACGGGTTGCATTTTGTGTATTTTGCATGCAGTCAATGACAACTTTCACTAGTGATACAGTTGAGTACAAGAGGTTGATGAACATGCATCTACCATGGTATCTCAGTGTACACTAATAAATACAGTGGAACCTCGAGTGACGAGCGACTCCAGTTATGAGTGAGCCACTTGCAGAAAATTTGTCTTGATTGATGAGCTTTTGTTCGATTAACGAGCAAACTACATGGTGCTTCCCAGTGTTCCCGCTGGTTCTCAGATGCCTCTGATGACAATGTTGTTGTTGTTTTGCAAGACGAGCATTTTACATGACGAGCTCGGAGCCGGAACAGATTAAATTCGTTAATCGAGGCGCCACTGTATTATAGTAAGTTATAGGCTTACTCAAAGAGTAATTTCTGTTTTATTTTTTTACCATAAAATTTAATTTTAATTTATTAGCAGCTTCATTGGTACTCATTAGTGCCCCGTACAACAATATTGTATATCCTGATCAACCTGTTTTTTCCTTCAGTGACCCATCATTGGGAAGAAGTTCAGACGCTTGGTAAAGGTCCTTGTCCAAGACGAAGACAATCATGTTGCATAGTAAACTCCAAGATGTTTCTGTTTGGTGGTACTAGGTAAGTTTAATGCTTTTCATCACCATCTGGGCTGGACGGTAGAGCAACAGTCTCGCTTCATGCAGGTTGGCGTTCAATCCCCGACTGTCCAAGTGGTTGGGCACCATTCCTTTCCCCCATCCCATCCCAAATCCTTATCTCTTCCAAGTGCTATATACTGCAGTTGTAAATGCTTGGTGCTTTCTCCCGATAAGAAGAAATCGGGCGTTTTCTCCAGATTTCTCACCATCTACAGTATTGCTTTAATTAGGATATTTTGGGGCAGGGTTTCAACTATGGGAGCAGGCAGTGGCAAAACCAGCCAAACTTAACCATAAAATTACTGAACTTTAGATTCTCTCACTACTATTTTGACAACCAGTTTTACAAAAAATGGGTGCCTAAGCCTCCCTCCACCCTTATAGCTGTTTTGCAATATTTATGATACTAATATATAATATTTTTATGCACAGTTAATTTGGCTTGAGACCCTTTAAGAATATAAGTGTTATTGCCTTGTTTAATATTTTCATTTATTTGTTTCATGCCTTAAGTTCACACCAGTTTGTTATTTTTTACCAATAGAATAATGCCTCTGAAGTTGTAACACTGAGAATGTTTATCCTTCAATTTATACTTTGGCACAATCACAGCTTTCTTTGAAATGATCTGGTAGATCCGTTTGCAGCTGCTGATTTTCCACATTTTAACGTCTGCACTAATACTTTTATCTTTATCTAATTTATCTTTAAATGAATTATGACGTCAATGCCATCAACAATTAATTTTTGCTTATTTTTATTAGTAAGTATAAACATTGTGAATGAAAGAGTTTAACATTTTGTTGTGCCCAGCCTACCTTGTAGTGCACTGTGGGTGGCCCGCCGGGCCATGCAAAGTGTTAATACTTTCCCCTAACTTGTGGATGCCTCTACCCTTCCCCTCCCCCTCTTGCCTTTCCCCTTGTCCTCCCTCCCACATCAACTCCCCTTCCCCGTTTATCCTTCCCGCCCCCCTAATTAACCCTTCTTCACTTTCAAAAAATATAATATTATGAAGAAATGAAACAAATTTGTGTTTTCTGTTGATGAAAAAGTCTTTGGACATCTGAATGAATATTTTTCATTTGACTACACTGTACATTAATTTAATCCTTGAAAATTGGGTGGATGGGTGTGAATAATTAATAATATTTCTTAAATTATTGAACTTGACCTACCGTGACCAACTTATGTCAGTCCCATACCCCAGATCATTACACCTACAAAATTTGGGCAAGGCTAAATCCAAGCATGGGGCCTCCAACTTTGAACAGACACACAGACATTCTCTCTTATAATACATAATGCAAATATAGTACAAAGATTGGTGCATAGTATTCTTACATTAAAGACAAATTTTAATTACTGTACTTTTCAGCCCGAAGGACAATTATGAAGAAGTTACAACGCCAGAAGAAGTTTTATTTGAAGAACAAACAGATCGGCATCTTAAAGATCATAATGATCTTCATGTCCTAGATTTTGGTAAGTAGTTTTGTATTAGCAGTAAATACATGTATATTTTTTGTCTGGCTTACTAAGTTTTAAGTATACCTAGTTTGGTTACCTTTTGGTTTTGTCATTGTTTAATATTTTAGAAGTTTCCATGTGATATTTTTAACTCCTATTATATATATGACCTCCCAGAGGGAGTGAGCCATACATGTTGGATGTAAGGGAGATAGGCAACCTGTGTATAACTGCACTAACAGGGATTATCTTGAGGTTATCTTGAGATGATTTCGGGGCTTAGCGTCAAGGTTGGCACAAGGTTGGCAGAATTTATATAGGTTTGAAATTGTTGACATCTGTGAGATCACAACATTTATTTACTGGAGTTACTCTCGCTTTTTTTTTTAGAATATCAGGAAAGGTTTGGAGTTCAAATGATTTGTTGTAGAGCAATGCAGTGGCTGGAGCTAGAAGCCAGGTGGCTTTTTTGTAAATTAGAGTTGGTATTTCAGCAAGGGCACTTGACTTTGTTTTAAGAGAAAGGATTATATCATTAACATCAGAGGAATTAGCGGGAGTTAGGTAGAGACTCTGGATAGTTTCAGTAGAGAGACTAGATAGCTGACTTGCCTCTCAATTCAAGCCTGGCCTCGGGCCAGGCTTGGGGAGTAGAAGAACTCTCAAAACCCCATCAAGCAGGTATCAAGCAGTTTCCTGTAAGGTAGTCCTTAACATTAGTTAAGGAGGATGGGACATCATTTGCAAGGGATGTGCCAGTGGATGAAAATAAACTATTGAATTTAATAGCAGTGTCATAGGCTGAAGGCACAGAGTGAGGGAATTTGTGTTCACTAAAACAAAGTGATTGAGTGAACACAAACTGTCTTCACTGTGTGAACAAAGTTCACACACAGTGAACAAAAACCTTCCCAATTCAAAATGAAAACAAAACCTAGAATTCAGAAACTCCACTAGGGCTTTGAGGTGACGTGAACATGCAACCAAGGCATTGCCAGCCGCATACTCTACCACTGTATCACCATTTAGTTAGAAAAGTCATGTGACTGGATTTCTGCTGAAATTACAGGACATCTGGAGGCCCCTCCTGAAGCTAGTCTTAAGTATTACATATGGCCCCCAAGCACTCAGGTGGAGGCAAAGTACTGTAGTCAAGTTTTAAGTTTTAGTCTTAAGTGTTTTTCCCACATCTTGCCTGAAACGCTGTGCGTATTAGTGGCCTAAAGCATTAGTATGTACTCGTTCTATCTAGAAATCCAACATTCTGTTTGTAACTCATCTTGTATGTATGTACCTTTATCTGGAATAAACATTTATTTATTTATTTATTTATCTTATAGTTCAACATCGTTCACCCAACCTCAGATACACACAGATAATCTCACTAATGTGATATATATATATATATATATATATATATATATATATATATATATATATATATATATATATATATATATATATATATATATATATATAGATAGATAGATAGATAGATAGATAGATAGATAGATAGATAGATAGATAGATAGATAGATAGATAGATAAATAAATAAATGAGAAAATCCACTGAGTGATGTGATCCTGCAACCAAGGCACATATACATACAAACATAAACAAATGTAAATGTTCCATTAACATTTGTATTTTTTATTGCACAGAACCAAGCCTCAAAACATTGTGCCTAATTCAAGTGCAGAAGCTAAATCTTGATACATCTTGGCTTCCAAGAGAGCTCCAGGCCCTTCTCGAAGTTATGAGCATGCCCAACACTATTACTCGACCACTGAACCATACTGGATAAGTCGTAGATATAGTGGGGTTTTGTCTGATGCATAATTACATTACTACCTGCTTATTCAATCAGGTTTGTGTTGTTTCAGCAGACTGAGGGATAGGTTAATGCATCTTTGTAAAATTCTTCAATTGATGAATATTGAAGGTTTGTTAGTGATACTGTACTATACTCAAATTTGTCTCTTCCCTAACCTATGACTTATGTCACTTAGCATTAATAAGATATATTTTTGTGAGGTAAATTATTATGATAGTTATTAACTTTGTATTAAGTGAAATCTAATGAGTGTGATTTAGGTAAGCCATGATGCTTTCCTATGAAAGTAACCTATTTCCACTGCAAAGAATCCAGAAAATATGTCGATCCAATCTGTCTGTCTTTCCGTCCCTCAGAAACTTTTCAGATCTAATCATTCACTAATTATAAATCTTAATGCAAAGTTTGGCTTGGTACACAATTCCAAGTTTGTAGGAACATTTTCCATTAAAATTGGTTTTGTGTACTTGTATTTATTATTATTTCCTCAGCTTAAGTCATTTGTTATTGCTAGATTGCAAAAGTTATGATAATATATCCATTTCCTTACACAGTTGCACACATACTGTATATACTGTTCTGTATATGTACATAGATCTGTACTTACTATACACATACATGTGTATGTACTTAATACATGTATGTGTGTGTGTGTGCAAGCACACACATTAAAATTTGCTGCACTGAAAATTTTAGTACAGTATTAACAAATTAGATTTTGTGCTTGTAAAGGATGGATATCTTCATTGCAGCAAATTAAAATTTCAGAAAAGTTTAGTTTTGTTAATAATTTTGTTGATAAAGCAGCTTTGCTTTCTCAGACCTAATATTTTATTAATGAAGTTAGTTTTCTGAAATGTAAGACTTGATTTCTCTTACTTTATTTTGCTCTAAAAGTATTTAAAATTTATTCCATGGCCCAGGAGTATGTTTTCTCCACTGTGTGGATGAGAGATTGTAATACAGTACATATGTATACATGTATACAGTGTGTGTGTGTATATATATATATATATATATATATATATATATATATATATATATATATATATATATATATATATATATATATATATATATATATATATATATATATATATATATATATATATATATATATATATATATATATATATATATATATATATATATATATATATATATATATATATATATATATATATATATATATATATATATATATATATATATATATATATATATATATATATATATATATATATATATATATATATATATATATATATATAATATATATATATATAATACATGTATATATATATAATATATATGTCGTACCTAGTAGCCAGAACGCACTTCTCAGCCTACTATGCAAGGCCCGATTTGCCTAATAAGCCAAGTTTTTCTGAATTGTTTTTCGACTACCTAACCTAACCTAACTTTTTCGGCTACTTAACCTAACCTAACCTATAGAGATAGGTTAGGTGGGGTTAGGTAGGGTTGGTTAGGTTCGGTCATATATCTACGTTAATTTTAACTCTAATAAAAAAAAATTGACCTCATACATAATGAAACGGGTAGCTTTATCATTTCATAAGAAAAAAAATAGAGAAAATTTATTAATTCAGGAAAACTTGGCTTATTAGGCAAATCGGGCCTTGCATAGTAGGCTGAGAAGTGCATTCTGGCTACTAGGTACGACATATATATATATATTCACTTTAAAAACAGCTATGTATTGCTTCCCCTAATCCATGGCTAAAGTCTTCGACAGGACACTGCTCATGTGGCAGGCTCTTGTTGACTTTAGCCCAACAATGACATGGAACTTTGCAGTTTGTCATGCCATGTAGTATGGAGCAGGAAGAGAGCTTCTCCATAATCTCAATTGACCATCAACTACTATAGCAGGTGGTAATAAAGAGAGAGAAGCTGGCAACCATTGCTTTTTGTCTGGTGTCCATCTGCTACATCTATTTGTGAAAAGGTGAACACACATACTTACACATACTCTATGCATGTAGGGAATCCATTGGTTTATCATTCACTTTATGGTTTGGTGCCCAGTTGGTTGCTTGCTTCAACCTGATTTCAGTGTTTTCTTCTGGTGCCGAGTAATCAAAGACGGAGAGGCCCTCAAAGTTAGCTTCTCTGCATACTGGGCCTTGGGATTTGGTTCGTTTACTTGGGATTCATAGTGCCTTCCCCCTTTTTACCTCACTTTGGTCCTGCCTGGTGTTGGTCTCCTGCTTGGGTAAGCAAACGTTCTTTGCTGTTTTTTTTTTTTTTTTTTAGATCTCTTCCTTTGAGTGTAGTTCTCCTCGAGGAGTTGGCTGGGGATTGAAACACATTTCTTTAAGCAGCCTTTCAGTAATTTCCATTTCTGCCATTTTGGTCCAGATTTTCCTGAGAAGGCTTAGGTGCCATTTTGGCCTTTAAGTGTGTTGGAAGCTTTTCTGATGCCGTAGTAGTAGTGGCGGTCAGGTAGTAGCTAGTTTTCTCAGTAGTTAGCAAAATACTAATTGGCTTTCCAGGTGTTGCTAATAATTGCTTGGAGGAAATGTTGAAAGGTTTCTCTGCACTTCCTACATAATCTTTCTGGCTTAGTGCTTTCTTTTGACAATTTCTTAATTACTTCTCTGCTCTTTGGTGTCATAGTGAAAGGTTTAACTCAATGGTGTATTGAGATACTCTCTTCACTGTCTTTATGCTACAGTGTGTTGCAATACTACTTGCAAAGTACCGTATGTTTGAGTTAAAAGTTGACAAAGATTCTGGCATGTGAGCAGTGTCCAGAGTGGACCTTAGCTGCAGCTAGGGAAGCAGCTGATGGGTTGCTTAGAGAGGAGTGATTCATTTCTCTCAACAGTTTTTTTTCTGATCAAGGGAGTTTAAGGAAGCGATTGTTACTGTGTTATGTATCAGAATAATGAACAAAAGTTTGTGTTAATCATGCCACACACAAAAGCCAAACCATATACAAATGTTTCTTACCTTATAAAATATTTGGCTTGTTACAAGCATTGTTAATATATATATATATAATGAATATTGCTTTTAAATTTATTATTGAAGAAAGAGGCATTTGATATCAGTATTGCTCATTTCATTTATATAAGTTCATTGTGTATATTAGTTGCATCATCTAGTCAGCTAATTTGATCTAATGGAAATGTACAATATCTACTCTCACTATGAGTACCAAGATTTTTTAAATATTCTTATATTTCATCCTTGTAATAAGTGTTCAATTGTTAGGTATTTGCCTGTGATAATAACAAAGGTGTGTTAGATTATGCCTTGTGATAAAGGTATACAATTGTATATCATTTCTCTGTATGAAGCACAAGATTTAATTGACAGATATGACTAGTTATTTTAGGTGTATATTTGAGTTGGTTTACAACTTTTTTTGAAGATATAGGTGCACTAAAAATGAGTAATTGTCCCAAGTTAATGTCATGAAACAAATTTTTATTAATAAACTCTGGAGAGAAAAACATGCTAATTTTCTAAAATTGCTTTGGCATTCTTGCAATTTGATTTTATGAAAATATCTTATACTTTGTAAGTAATTTCTATGAAAATGTGACCATAAAAGTATACTCTAACATTTTTCCTTAGTCCTTATCTAGTTTTGCTATATTCATAATTTTAACACTTAAATTGTCAAAATTGCTCTAAATATACAAAGCAGATGATGAGTCTCAATAACGTGGCTGAAGATATGAACACTAAACCACACACCAGAAGATGAGTAGACGACAACGTTTCTGTCTGTCCTGGACCATTATTACAATTGAAATGATTTTCGGATTGACCGAAACGTCATCGTCTCCTCATCTTTTGGAGTGTGGTTTAGTCTTCATAAATATAGAAAGGTTCCTGACTGAAAACAACTCATGCTTATTTTGGGCTCTAACTCAAGTGGTGAATAATTATTGCATGTGTATAGCAGAAAGAGCCTTAATAAGAGAAGTGGTGGTATAACAGAGCCAAGAAAGAGAAGAGCAGTAATGTTGACAATTAAAGTGGACATAATAAAGCACTTGCAGAAAGGAGAGAGATTAACACTGATTGCACATGTGTATGGAGTAAACCACCCAACAATTCCCACCAGTATCAAAGACAAGGTTAGAATTTTACAACATGTGAAAGGTTCAGTGCCAATGAGTTCATCCATAATCAAAACGTGCAATGTTCATATTTCTGACATGGAAAAGCTCTACCTCTTCATCCTCCACTGATTAGTTGATAAAACCATACATCAGAAAGTGAAGAAATGGCGATGTTTTGGTCTGTCCTGGACCATTATCAAGTCGTGTGCTTGATAATGGACCAGGACGGACTGAAACGTCATCTTAATTATGTGTGGTTTGGTCATCAAATCTTCAGCCATGTTATTGTGAACCATCGTCTCCACTGATTAAACCTCCCTTTTCCCACAATAGTCATCAAATCCAATAAGCAAGGTAACTAATTCTAGTATGCTAAGTAAATAAAGCAGCGGTTATTCAACATTATTTATATTTAAAATTTTGTTAAATACAGTATGCCAATTCTTGGTGCTTTGAGAACTTATCTTCCATTTATAGCAGTGTACCTATGTGAAATCATGTTCCATCAGCTGACTTACTAGAAAAAATTTGGAACACATCCCTGTTGTAAGTTGGAGACTCTATATAGTGAAACTTGTATTATCTGATAGCACTAGGCTGCAACCTTAGCCAGGTGCTATTTACTGCAGTACCTTAGACTTTAATTACGGTGCTACATTTACCATACTTTACTTTGTGCTACATAAAGTTATGCTTTATTTAGCATAATTGCTTTATACTACATTTACACACAATTATTTTTTAAAAGTTTACTTGCATAGAAGTATGGAATCACTGAGAAAATCAGGCCTCATGCAGTTCTCTTCAGTAGGTATAATAATATACAGTATTCATAAAACTAAGGGGTGGCTCCTTTCCTAATTAATTTATTTTTGTTACTGGCTAGATAATCATTTGTCCATCTAATATAATGGTATAAACATTGTATTTAAAAGTGGTAACTAAAGAAAAAACATGTGAATCCTTTTGGCGACCCAGCCAGTAGTTCGCTACATTTATTGATTTGTATAAGTACTATACAGTGGGACATTAAAAATAACAGAAACCTTAAAAATGTGAATGAGCAGTTGTCATGCTTGCGAATTCTAAGTCTGGAAGACATACTAAAATTTTGGACTTACGGGAAAAAAATCTGGAATGTTGAAATCATTTGTACTCATTGACCTTGTATATAAAAAAAAATATTATATTGTCTTTAGTAATGTTGCTATAAATGTTACTCTAAAGATGCTCTTTTGTCTATGAATTATTTAATGTATATAAATTGTTTACATAATGATACAGTATGTACAGGTATATTATGAAGCACTCTTTGGCTAGGCCAGCTATACCGATAAGTACTATATGTCCCTTTTCCAGCCACATGCATTTCTCTCTGTGCTAGTGCAGTGAATACCTCATTATTTGGGATTTTCATCCAAATTTCTTTGAATGTTGCTTTGCGAGTAGACAAGATGTCTGGCTAAACCAAATATGTAGGAGGCAGAAAAGGAATATTAAGAAGGATGAAAATGCAAAATTTATTCAGAAAAGAAATTGTTACTTGGAGTGAGGAGGTTGGCACTAGCAATGTTTATGAAAAAGTTCAGTGATTTCAGTTTTGAAGAAGTAGATCAGACAGCTTACAAGGATTTAAGTGGTCTTCAGAAACTTAACGACAAAAATACTGTAGTTTTGATCACTGTATACATATAATTCTACAGTACAAAAATGTTTATATATTGAGTGTGTAAGTATACAAAGATATATACAGTACTGTATTCTAAAGTTATCTGTAAGAAAATTCCACAAACATTACAAAAGAAAATAATTTAGGTTTCTTACAACCTGGAATATGGTTTCCCATAGTTTGAAAAATAAAGCCTGTTGGGCTTATCAAGGTGTGTCTATGCCAGCTATCGACCATTCCCAGGATATAACCCACTACTGTTGCCTAACTCGCAGGTGCCTATTTACTGTTAGGTGGTCAGAGGCATCAGGCAAAAGGAAAGGCTACCCAAATGCTTCTGTACTGCCACAGAAATTAAACTTGGGAACCTGTGGCCCAACTGCATTGGCCTGCACACTGGACACATTGTTATATTTACCATGAGTACCTGTATTTATATTTTGTAACAAGAGATTGATTGATTAAGACTAAGCCAACCAGGAGGAGGCATGGGCATGAATAGCCCGTAAGTAATGATGATGATGATGCTATAGATTCAGCTACTCGGAACAAGTTCCAAGTAGCACGGGCTATGGTGAGCCCGTAATTTACCTGGCACAGGAGCGGGGCAAGTAGCACGGGCTATGGTGAGCCCGTAATTTACCTGGCACAGGAGCGGGGCAAGTAGCACGGGCTATGGTGAGCCCGTAACTTACCTGGCACAGGAGCAGGGCAAGTAGCACGGGCTCATAGCCCGTAGTGGACTTACACAGTGGACACAGGAGCAGTGCTGAATCTCTGTGTAAGTAATGAGTTCTTGCTGTATAATATATACCCAAGGATGAGGTGAAGGTGAAGCACCTCACTTATAGGTCTATTATATCTTGTCAATCTTCTATTTGCATAATGGCTGTGGCAGTATGTTGTATGTTCTGTCGTATTCTGGAAGTTGACAGTGTTATTTGGTTCTAGTTGGATATTGATATATGGTTTGGTTTGCTTGATGCCTTCCCGGTTTAGCCACATAGCCTTCCCGGTTTGGTGCCTTCTTTTGATAATTACTTACTTGCTTGATGTATAGTGTCTCGCCAATTTCCATTTTTTTTTTGTTTTTTTTTAGATTTGTTACATTCTTGTACAGCCACTAGTACGCGTAGCGTTTCGGGCAGGTCCCTGGAATACGATCCCTGCCGCGAAGAATCGTTTTTACAACCAAGTACACATTTTACTGTTGAGTTAAACAGAGGCTACAGTTAAGGATTTGTGCCCAGTAAATCCTCCCCGGCCAGGATACGAACCCATGACAAAGCGCTCACGGAACGCCAGGCAAGTGTCTTACCACTACACCACGGAGACAGATTCTGTTGTCACTGTATCTGTATTGTTTTGGTGGTGTTTGTCAGGATATCTCTGATGATGGTTTGGTTATGTGTAGAGATACATAATTATAATTATGTAGCTATAATTAGTGTGTATACACACTATATAACATGAACCGTACTTATTTGGTGCAAATAAGTACAATTATTAAAACAAATTAAAACACTAAAAGTGGCACAACAGGTTGGAGCAGCAGTCAGACAGCTAACCAAACCCTTGGAATAATAAAGTATACTTTTGACTTTAAGGAAAAGAAGGTAACGATTCAACTGTATAAGTCTCTGGAGATTTAAAGCATTTGGATTACTGTATCTAAGCATGGCGACTTCATTTTCAGAAGGACATTGGTCTCTGGTGCTCCCCCACTTGGATTATTGCATTCACATTTAAGCATAGAGACCTCATCTTCAGAAGGACATAGCAGTTTTGGAGAAAGTACCCTGACGAGCCACAACGTAGGACTGAAAATAGGAGATTCTTTTCATCCACGGTTATAAACCTATGGAACCGCCTACCCGCTGAACCTAAGTAAAAAATTATCAGGACAAATGCGTGAAACTTTTGACAAGCCACCGGTTTCCAATCCTCGTCGAGGCCACTAGAGTGTTATTGGCTCTCTGGTATATTCATGTAAATTCAAATAAATAATAATGAGGGCAATTATTATATGAACCGTGCAATAAGAGGGGGACATTAGCGCCTCTGGTGGTCACAAGCAAAACTGTCGTCCGGTTGCCAGTTATAACATTATGGTTTACGAGCCGGAGTGGAGCATCTGGTCTACCACTTCATAATATAAACAAAGTGGTCATTCGAAGCTGGGAAGGTGCAAGTTGATTAGCTCATACTGCAAATTTAAATTTTAAATTTTGCCCCGAGGGGCGAGTTTATTGGGCAGCGCCACTCATCTTGTGAGTGGACACACTGCCATAGCAGCATGTACAACACTCCCCAATAGGAAGAAAACCCGCTGGGTTGTTCATCCTGTCACTTGTACCCAGACACAGCTGGGACTTGCTTAACTGTCTCAAGTGAACAGCTCCTCAAACAAGAAGATTAACATCTATCAACCCTTGAAAGCTTACGTTATCTTGCGGGTGCAAAATGGGGAAATCTTTTAAGAACAGCATCAATATTTGACAAATAGTGTTTTCCTAACTCAAACAATGTGGGGTTTATTATTCTACACATATTTCTGATATCTCTCAGGTGTTCACATTCACGTAGATAGTGGTCAAGGCGGTGTCCGTCACTCTCCCCACAGATTCTGCAACTTTGCTGATCAACTGTTGTTTCCATTCCATACCTCCAAGGATATTTGTATCCAAGACGGATTCTCGCTATTACTGATTCTCTCCCGCGTCCTCCTCCTCTTCGGCCATAACGATTGGGATTGCCAGCTGCAACCATGTTGTACCATCGTATAGATTCACTAGTTTGTGCTTCTATCCTCCTTTCCTCAGTTACCTTGTCTCATACTGCATGTATGTGAAGACGAAGAAGAAGCAAATTGCTTAAACCGTGAGTACAATAAATCGGTACATTGTAACGTATACGATTTTGAGTGACCACATTCAAAGACAATAATGGGGTTTTAATGTTTTTTTAATATAGTCTTGGTTACAGCAGTAATTTGTTGGAAATGAAATGACGTGTTGTGATAGCAACAAATTTGTAGTGACAACAAAAATTACACAATTTTAGGTGTCTTCATAATTTTTTTTTTTTTTGCAGGGATATTCCTGCGCGGGCCCTAAGCCTCTGGCTTGATCACAACGTGTTGCTTGTTTCTGTTATACTTGGGCGGAGTATGAGTATTTTTGACTCGTATGGTCACTTCTCTTCATCATTGACCTTTGTCAACAAAATAGCCCCAAGTCGACTACTTCCTTAAGGTCATATGAAGTTGTAGGTTAATGTGTGTTGAAATAATACTAAATAAATAAGGAAATGAAGTCAAGAAAAAAATACCCCCCCCCAAAAAAAAAAAATAGGGATAGGTTAGGGATAACAAACATACTGCAGTAACTTTATTTCCCATATATAAGCGATAAGGCCCTCATCTGGTCTTCATTCATCAATACAACCTAGAGAGACAAAGAGAATAGAGTTTGAAATCTGTAAATAAATTGGCCCCCCAAAAATAAAAGTCACAACTTCTACTATCTGTGGCTGATTAACGTGTTGACCAATTTGTTCCAACTTCACATGCTTAGTGCCGGATGTGCATTCTCCAAGATGTAGAAGTCACAACAAAAGCCACATAGAAACAGAAAGAGAGAAAATAAAAAATGTCAGCTTTTCATACAAAGGGACATAAGAAATGTTGCCATTGGGCAATGTATTTATATGATATATACTGTAGTAAAATACAGCAACACCCAGAACCCCATCAACCAGGTATAATAACATACTGACTCATTATGTGTGAAATCTGGCTCTCCAGGTGGCATCAGCATCATATCCACTTTATAGACCCTCCTTACTACAGTACTATTGTACTTTTCTTCTTTGTGCATCGGACAGATGCTTGCATCTGTTTATTCCTGATTTCCAGTAAATAGGAAGTGTTATTGTTGTTATCAGTACGGTGCCGCTTGTCGTGCACGCATTTATTTTTTAAAAATTTGTAAAAAATCCGTTTAAGATATTGGGATGAAATTTTCATGATGCTAATGCCAAATAATGGGAGGTTTGTTTAAAAATTTTCACTATTTCATATCTGGAAAATACTTCGCAGTCACCGGGCCCCTTAACCCTTAAATGGCGCAGCCTTTGGGGTCAAGAAAAAAAAAATATTTGAATTATGTAAAAATTACTTAAAAATGTTAAGCAAATTTCCAACTTATTGGCTTCAGGGTTGTGAAACTTTCATCAAAATATTTTCAGGAATTGATTTTAGATGAATTTTTTTAAAAAGAAGAATGTTTTGTTGATAAGAACAGCTTCTATTAACTGGAACTGAGGAATAATGCAGTAATAGAGATGCAAGCACATATCCAACGCACAAAGAAGAATTGTAGTAAGAAGTGTCCACAAAGTGGATATGCAGTTGGTGCCTTTATGGCATTGCTGAGTAATATATATAATAACACAAATAATAATGAATAAGTATGTTATTATGCTCTATTTTATTATATATCATATAAATACATTGCCCAATGTTAATATGTTACTTTCATCAATGTCCATTTTTTTGTGGGGGGGGAGGTGATGTGTTTTTGTTAATAATTTTTTTTTTTTTTTTTGTTTTTTTTTTACTTTATTATCTGATTTTGTTGTAACCTTTACATCCTGGAAAGTGCATACCCTTCCCTAACTATATGAAGATAGAATGAAATTGGTCAACAAATAATCAGTCACAACTTGCAGAATTTGGGACTGAATTTTTTTTGGCTGATTTTTAAGAGATTTCAGATTCAATTTTTTTCTCTTTAGGTTGTTTTGATGATTAGGGACCAGATTAGAGATTTTTCCATTTATATAAAGTATACCCTAAATATATCCCCTAAATCATTATAATTGTTATAATTATCCATATATATTGTTTTTTTGGGGGGTTATTTTTTCTTGACTTCATTTCGACCTTTTGACCTACAACTTTCACATATTTGAGTACGAATGCAAAGCAGTGTTTATTAAAACATAGAAGTAAATTAACGGATTCGACCTATATTTATTCATTGTCTATAACTTCAACTTCAGTTAGCTCTCAAACTAGACTTAATTTTGAGTGGCTTCTAAAATTCCAGTTTTTGGCCAATTCTTATCATTTTGACAGTGCTCAGCTGTGTTTCAGTGCTCAGCTGTCTGTTCTTCAATCCCTTCAGAATGGATTTTTCATAAACTCTAAACGTTTGGAGTTGTACATTTTTTTTTCTAAATTTCTCTCACATTTCAAATGCCATTTTGACAATTTTTTTTTACAGTAAAGTATACTGAAAACCTATATTCTAATTTGATGAAAATGAAGATCATATGCATTTCTGAGAGCATAATAACACCAAATGAGCAATTGGTGATAGTTTATATTTTTTAATCTGATTTGAAAATCAAGTTTTTAATATTCAATTTTAAAATTAATTTTGATTTTCTTGTTTTTCAAGTTATGTTGGAGATAGTGACAAAGTTGGAGCTTTTGCCGAGTTGATTATGCACAAAAAATTGGAAAGTGTTTGTTCAAGTTTTAAAAACTGACGTTATGTCAAATCATATACAGTATATATGTTTTGCGCCATTTAAGTGTTAAGCTATTGCACTCTTATCAGTATTGCCTACTCCCTACTACTGTATGTGACAAAGAGCTGTCATCAACTGTTGGATCTCGGGACTCACCTTAAGGTAAGTGATTACTGAACATATTCTAGGGGAGAGGGTTGAACTAGACAGGCACAGATACAGGGGTAAATAACTTCCAACTCTTGTTAACAGGCTGAAAGCTTTCCCTTCCCATAGCATTACCCTACTAGATTACACTCGAACACAACCCACCAATCGGTTTATATCTATATCCCCAATTATTGCTGGGTGATAAGGGGCAAATGTTTAACCTCTGCACTGTTCACGTGTTACATGCCTGTGGCACCAAAAAAAATTATTCTGAAACTATTTTTTTTTTATTTGACATTGTTAATAGCATAAAATTCAAAGTAAAAGTCTTTATCTCTTGTGGTTTAGCTGTACTGACCCGGAGAACTTGCGTATTTTCCGTAGAAATGAGGTGAGGTGCCTCACGGGAATAACTTTGTTGATTTATTTTCATTATTTCTCACCTAATTATTTTCATTCTAAGAAGTTGTATCGATGTGTTAGTGGTGGTGGTGTTCATTATGTACTGTAACTGAAAATATTTGTATGTACGAATATTTTCTAAAAGAATGGGTAAAGAATATGCAGTACTGAGTGAGATAGCAGAATCATCCTAAGATTAGAATGAAAATGTTTGCAGGCTGCCATATGCATTATGTATCATTAGTGCATATGCCAGGGGGACAGATCTCCCAAGAGGCATAAATGGCTAGGTCAGGTAATCCACAAATCCATCTATCCACCGCCAAGGCCTCTCCCTCCAACCTGTTTTCTTAAAAATAACGTCGCTTTTGGCCGTTTGCCCGAAAGTGGATGTAATTTGAAAATGAAAAAAAAATGAAAATAAATTTGGGATTTTTTTTTCAACAACAGTAAGTTAAGGGTCCTCTGGTAGGTTAGGTGGGCAGAAAATTCTCATAAAGTTTAAAATTTTTATGGAAAATGTTAATTGAAAGTTTCTTCTAATCTTTCCGAGTAGACCGGACGACTTACAGAAAATGGGACAGTACGTCACTTTTGTGAGTCTATTTCATTTCAAATTACATCCACATTTGGCCATAGTGCGCATACGAGCAAAAAGCGACGTTATTTTTAAGTGGACGGGTTGCTCCCACATTCCAAAAACACAAACCCATCAACAACTCACCAACTTCATGGGAATTAAAAGCTTCCCATAACATTGGATTCTTTGGAGATCTTATCTTTAAATGATTTCGAGGCTTAAGTGTCCCTGCGGCCTAGGCCTCCACCCCCAGAAAGCAGCCCATGACAGCTGACTAACTCCCAGGTACCTATTTATTGCTAGGTAACAGGGGCATCAGGGTGAAAGAAACTGCCCATTGTTCATTGACTTGCAGCCAAGTTTTTCAATAAAAGACTGAATTAATAGCGTGCAAAAAAAAAAAAAATATATATATATATATATATATATATAATCCCCACACATGTAGTCATGTTTTTTTCTTTTAATAATAAAAAAGGGGGGGGGGGAGGAACAGGAGGCACTAAAAAGTATTCATTGTGATTACCATAGGTTGGTATTTGAATAGCAGATAAACTTTCGTAACAAACGGATATCATGGATTTAGAAGACTACAGCGGCTGACAAATCCGATAGTTTATCATAGGATTACTAACAGACAGGGTGGCATTGTTTGAAAGCTAGTCGTAATGGTTGTAGAAGTATTGTGGTATAAGAGGGGGGGGGGTTTACCTGCCGGTAGTGAAGATACAGTATCACATCATGGACAGGATTATGATGTTTAGTATAGTTGCATGTGCTTATGTTTAAAACACTAGTACCATTTGAATCGCCCACATTTGTAATCTAATAGCTAGAGGATGTTTAGATTGTTCGGGAATATGCTAGTGTGTGTAGCCAGTAGGACGAGTAGTAGTGATAAGCGCCATAAGTTTAGTATGCGTCGTAGCTATAGAATCACTATGAACCCTATTTGAGATGCTCAGTTTATGGTATGGTCACGTATGATCAAGAGACTAGTGATAGCAAACTTAAAAAAAAAAGTAGAGCGTATACAAGTTAATTGTGACACACCCAATAGTTCATATGCAGGGGTACTATGCCATTAGAGCTTTAATCTGAATCCGTGTAAGGTTTCATATGAAAATAACCAATTTACAGCTTGACCCATATTCGTGTCAAACTAGATTAGGGGCCTCTGGTGTGCATATTTCATCATAATGCAAATCTGGTTTATTGCCTCAACATTTCTCACTCAAATTAATGCTTTGATTTTAAAATCCATTTTAAAATTGTGTATACAAGCCATGTTAGGCGCTCGGTTAAGTTTCAATTATACCATGCATAAATTTCACCTTTTATTATAAATATTCAGTATAGTACATTTAATATACACCATCTCAAAGTTCGATGTGAAGCCCAAGAGAATTTGTCGAGATAATACGCTTCCGGTTCAGCTGGGCTCTAGTACCTTAGCCAGAGTCAATATACATCAAGACTAAGAGTAGCTTAGGCTATAGTAGTGAAGGGTACGAGCGGCGGTGCATGCAGTTTGAAGGCACTTTGCGCGTCCCGGATACAAGCATTACGTTCATTGTAGCTTCAGAAACTGTCTATAAATATGATTGATCGTGGTTGGAGGTAGCCAGTGTTGCAGTTGTAGATATTGCAGATTAGGAGGTGTTCAACCCAGGGTTGATAACACTGGATTATTGTTTTGTACAAACAGGCTGGTGTAATATCAGCGATGTTGGAGGTGCCTCATTTTTGTCTGGGTGGGTGGGGGCGGGGATTTGGATGAAATTTTGTGTGCTGTCCAGAAGACCGTGTGTGGGTGGCAGTCCTGGTGATATTATCTTACTTCCAGCTGAATCAAATATCAAGAACGAGGTTCGCCACCGTAGTCGTGTTGGTTACCATTGTTGCTCGTTGGTTATCGTTGTTTGCGGCAACTGCAGCATGTCACTATGGGGGGGGGGGGGGGGTTGGTACTGCGATATGATTGTCTGCCAGGTAGCGTCGTGGTGTGTGGCGGCTTCCACGCCGGGTTGTTTGCTAGGGGAAGGACAGGGAATTAATATCATTAGTATTCAAATAAAAGCTATTAATTTGTAGCTTACACTAATTATGTTCAACCTGCCAATATTTTATGCAATTTAATCTTTTAAAATTATGTCCGTAATTCAATATTCTTATTTAGCAACCTCAAATAGACTTCAGCCATGAGGAAGTTCTCAATAACCAGGTCCCGTGTACATCGTGTCATTGATCGAGAACGACGGTGTTTTAGCTCATAAGTCCTGCTGACGAAAAATAAGTTTCACCGCTTTTTCGTTCATGCAACTTACAGTATCAAATTATTATTGCGCAAGTTTCAGTCTTGAACAACTAGGTCATAAAAGTATACGTTTTGCATTTTAGAAAACTTCCACTTTCTCCTGAAATGTCTTCAACCACCTACAAATTGATATTGGTAATTTTCTTCTATAATCTTTTTTTTATTTTTTTTTTAATAAGGTCTTTTATACTCTAGTCATTTTGACCAAATTTCCTTTGATAATGATGGGCGTACACTTAAAACTCAGCTACATAGCCTTCCCGGTTTGGTGCCTTTGATAATTACCTTACCTTAAAACTCAGTATGTGCCTCAAACCTTTTCCCACCAACCTCATGGTTATGGGATGCATAATGAAGACAACGCTGCAAAAAAAAAATCTCGTGCACGTCTGTAAAACAGAGCAAACTTTATAATTATGCCGATAACTATAAAATATATATATCTAATGTGTGCAATGATAACATATATGTCCGGATGAACAGAGATCGCCTTCAGATACATTGCGTATTTCTCCTTAACCAAGTATTTATTAACTAGGTCTTACGTCTCCAATTACCGACATTAAACTGTCTTCTACAATCATTGTTATGACCAATATATAGTACACACTTTATGAAAGTAGCATTTCTAGGACTAGTCACAAAATATTTTACGCGACCCGTAGTGCAGTCAGTTCGTTCTACACTTAATTTCTGGGTTCGAACATCGGCCGGGACGGAAATGGTTGCCTGCGTTTCCCATCACCTAATTGCCCTGTTCATCTAGTAGTACTTTACGGCGTGTCGAGAGATTGCAGGGGGGGGGGGGGTGACCTTCGCACAAGCCTAAGGTGTACAAACTGCTTGCCTGTCCTAGACCAGAAATTAATGAATAGTAATCATCGTAAGAGCATTGGCGACTTTCATGTCTATTCCTCTTACCTTAATCTCTTCCGATTGGATTTTTTTAAATAAGGCGCAAGTATTACGATGTAGACTGTGCAATTCTCGATTCAAACAGGTATATCAACATGCTCCTTGATTGTATACATTTCAATACTGCCCGTGCCACCTGAATTTACCTGAAGCCACTATATTGTCATTTGTATGACCCTCTGTCTTGCGTGACGGTGAACACTAGCATTATCCTCACTTTAATTAGAATTTAAATTCTCAGATTAGTCAAAATAGTAATAATTAGTGGCATCGCCGTGGACGGAAAGTCCCGTGTATCAAGCTACCGCACCCCATCCCATTTCTTTCAATTTCATATATGGATATTTACGTAGTTTATTGAAACATTTTAGCGTCCCGGTAGTACAGTCTGGTTCCTTCTCGATTCACACTGGAATTTCGGGTTCGAATCCCGACCAGGGCATAAATGGTTGGCTGCGTTTCCCCATCACATAATTGCCCTGTTCATCGAGTAGTAAATAGGTGCCTAGCAATTAGTCAAGTTTGTTGTTGTGGGGGGAAAAGGGGAGGCTGGCTGGCCTACCGACGCATTAATTTAACACAACTAGCAAAGACAAATGTGAGAAAAGACTTACCAGCTGTCAGGGAGCTCAAAAGTGGTGGTGGTGCTTGGACAGCGTCCGGGCGAACTCTGGAAGTGATGGTGAGGCGCACCACCTTGTTGGCTTGCCACGTTCAGGGAGGCGGCTAAACGAGCCAAGCCTCGTTATGGAGGTGCCATTTGACTTATATTTACATTTCTTTTCTTTTTATAATGTAATTATAAGCAATTATAATTGCTTATAATTACATTTCTCTATATTGTCGTAATAATTATTACAAGTATATTAAAGTACTCGTAAAGAAATCTATTTGGTTTAGAAAGGTGTGAAGTTTTGTCTGCATATTGTTAAAGTGATTAGCTTTGTCGTAAAATAGACGTTCGTGGGTGTTGTATATCGGGGCTGTGCACATTCTTTCCTGAGTTAAATATCATTGAAAATGCCAAACTGGTTTATTTTCATACAAACATGTTGAAAATATCGCTTGTGGAAGCTTACGTGCGTGTTTTAATTAAGACATGTAATTGATTTTATTCATTTACTACGTACCCCTCATATACCCATCCTGTGGGTAATATTGTAAAAACGTTCGAGGCACATAATAGCCTCAGGAATTAAGCCACAGTCTCCGTGGTGTAGTGGTAAGACACTCGCCTGGCGTTCCGCGAGCGCTATGTCATGGGTTCGTATCCTGGCCGGGGAGGATTTACTGGGCGCAATTCCTTAACTGTAGCCTCTGTTTAACGCAACAGTAAAATGTGTACTTGGATGAAAAAACGATTCTTCGCGGCGGGGGATCGTATTCCAGGGACCATAGGATTAAGGACTTGTCCGAAACGCTACGCGTACTAGTGGCTGTACAAGATTGTAACAACTCTTGTATATATCTCAAAAAAAAAAAAAAGCCACAAATTTCATATTTAGCTGTGAAAGTTTACACATTTTAATGCATGTATCAATAGTCGTTTAAAGTACAATTGCTTCAAGAACTGGACTATAATTCAGTGTGAAAGCTGAGCTGAGGCAGTTATATGTAGGTACATGTATACCAGTTATATGTAGGTACATGTATAGGTATATGTATAACAGTCTCCGTGGTGTAGTGGTAAGACACTCGCCTGGCGTTCCGCGAGCGCTATGTCATGGGTTCGTATCCTGGCCGGGGAGGATTTACTGGGCGCAATTCCTTAACTGTAGCCTCTGTTTAACGCAACAGTAAAATGTGTACTTGGATGAAAAAACGATTCTTCGCGGCAGGGGATCGTATTCCAGGGACCTGCCCGAAACGCTACGCGTACTAGTGGCTGTACGAGAATGTAACAACTCTTGTATATATCTCAAAAAAAAAAAAAAAAAAAAAATATGTATAGCTCAATTTGCTAATCAAGCAGTGCAAGGCGGAGGTGGAATGGTTATACAATTACGTGCATATATATATATATATGCACATGATTCTATAACCTAAGTATAAAAAAAATTGCCTATATCGTAAATGCAAATTTGGGATACTTAGCCAGGATTTCTGGTAGTATATCATTTTTAATTAAATACACGCCTTAGTGCTACGTGAATAGTCATCCCGGCTTCGTGCCTTCTTTTCATAAATACACATTTATAATAGAATCAGCTATGAATTTCTTATTTTTGTCATAATAAATTACAGTGACACAAAGTAAGCGAATTATTAGTTCTTGTAATAGTTTATATTTGGTCAAATGTACTGGTTTGCTTCGGGGGCGTGTTGCTGGACGCCCTGACTCACTATGACTATCCATTCCGGAGTGGCCCCAGAATAGTACACAGCAAACAACACAACAAACTAGGACTCTGAGAATAAGTATGGGGTGCACAATAAACTACAACTCGTACGATGAGCCTATGATATTCATGCTCTATATTAAATATTAAAAGTCTCTGTTTTCAAAATATATACTTTAATGACAACAATTTGAAAATATATTGTCTGTTTAGGATGATATAGAGCATACTAAGATTTATAAATAAGTTAAGAGCTCTACTTGTGGCTGACATTCCCCGGCTTGGTGCCTTCTTTTGATAATTACTTGTTTGTGGCTGACATACGGTATATAATCTGACTATTTCAGCCGTAATTTACATAGACATCGATCCTGCATCATAATTAACATACGTATATATTTACTTCTGTTTTGTGCATTAAAGTGACTACAAATTAATAAGTTGTTTTAGATTCAGCTACTCTGAACAAAAGTTCCAAGTAGTACGGTCTATGGTGAGCCCGTAGTGGACTTTTATAAGTTAATTTTCGTCTGTATTATGATAATAAAATGCAATTAAAGTGACGTTGCAACTTTATAGGAAATCGTTAAATCCTAAATATAGCTTGGTTGTTATACTTGAAATATTGCTACTTTTTAAATCCAGCTTGGAAAAAATCATCAGGACAAGTTGGGGGGGGGTGAACTTTGACAAGCCTCCGGCTTCCTGTCCTCGTCGAGTCCATTAGTGTTGGTGGCCCCTCAGGAAATTCCTGAGGCTAGGCGAAGGAAGATTATTTATAGGTGCTAGCTTATAAAATGTGTTTCTTTCCTTGTATTTTTCCCCCGTTTTACATTCAACGCCATATTTAGTGGGTAAATATGCCACATTTCATTAGTTACTTAATGCTAGGAGGCTTTGGGTAATTCTACGGAGCCGTAGAAGCCACGGCATCATCGTGATCGTCGGCCACAATGATATGCTGATAACCTATCGTTAACTTAAGGCTGAAGCAGCCACTTCTCAGTGTCCCTCCAGCTGACCTCTATATATCAGGTTAGACGGACTTCACTTCATTGTTAAATTAATAAGATAATATCACAAGTTAAACCAAATTTTGAAAGGAAGTGGCAAAATACTAAGCAAGTTGAAGAATATTTATCGACAACTTCTTTAAAAGGCCAAATGTAACCTTTATATGTATATATGTGTGTACTCACCTAATTGTGCTTGCGGGGGTTGAGCTTTGACTCTTTGGGCCCGCCTCAACTATCAATCAACTGGTGTACAGATTCCTGAGCCTACTGAGTTCATGTGTGTGTGTGTGTGTGTGTGTGTGTACTCACCTATTTGTGCTTGCGGGGGTTGAGTTTTGGCTCTTTGGTCCCGCCTCTCAACTGTCAATCAACTGGTGTACAGATTCCTGAGCCTACTGGGCTCTATCGTATCTACATTTAAAACTTATATATGTATATATATATATATATATATATATATATATATATATATATATATATATATATATATATATATATATATATATATATATTATTAAATATGACCGAAAAAGTAAGATTAATAATTCTAACACAAATTTTCTCAATGTTTCTTACATTTCTTTTCACTGTTGATGGTAACTGAAAAATCAATTCTCCAAAATTCATTTTTATTTCTAGTCTGACGCGACACTTGAACGCCTTTCGTAAAACTTATTACATTTTCAATCCTTGAAAATATTTAATATTTAATATATTTAATAATATATATATATATATATATATATATATATATATATATATATATATATATATATATATATATTGGAACAAGCCTGAATGGTCCCCAGGACTATATGCAACTGAAAACTCACACCCAGAAGTGACTCGAACCCATACTGCCAGGAGCACTCTGCTGGCGTACAGGACACCTTAACCACCTGACCAACACGACCGGACAAAATTTTTGTCCGGTCGTGTATATGCAACTGAAAACTCACACCCAGAAGTGACTCGAACCCATACTGCCAGGAGCACTCTGCTGGCGTACAGGACACCTTAACCACCTGACCGACACGACCGGACAAAATTTTTGTCCGGTCGTGTTGGTCGGGTGGCTAAGGTGTGGCTAAGATTACCATCCGAGTGCCGGCAGGAGGGTGGTTCAAATAGCTTCAGCTATCACCTCCTTATGTCCAGTCGTGATGGTCAAGTGAATTAAGGTGTCCTTTACATACCAGTTGCTTTGCTCCTGGCAGTATGGGTTCGAGTCACTTCTGGGGTGTAAGTTTTCAGTTGCATATAGTCCTGGGGACCATTCAGGCTTGTTCGCATTTATGTTCCTCACGTGTGCCCCAAAGAATGAGGTGGTTTGATAAAATACTATGCCCAAGATTACCATCCGAGTGCCGGGGGGGATGGGGGTCAAATAGCTTCGGCTATCACCTCCTTATGTCCGGTCGTGATGGTCGAGTGGATTAAGGTGTCCTGTACATACCAGTTGCGTTGCTCCTGGCAGTATGGGTTCGAGTCACTTCTGGGGTGTGAATTTTCAGTATATATATATATATATATATATATATATATATATATATATATATATATATATATATATATATATATAATATATAATATATATAATATAAAATTTGTGGTTAATAATGTTTGAATTATGTGTTAACTTTTTATTGCATGCAAGAATTGGATAGTGCAGTACAGTATTTACAATGCACTGTACAGGGTAATTCCATTTTCTTTTAACTTTTGAGCCATTTTTTATATAGTAGTGTATTATAATTTGGTTTATACCTTGCTATCCAAGAATGCTTTTAAGCTTGAACTAAAATATTTTCTGATTATATTCCAGAGTTTTGCCTGCCACCCTTCTGAAGAGCATTTGGTGATATTTCACAATACAGTACTGTATGTTGAATTAAACCACTGGGCTTTACCACCAGAAACTGCAATGTCCTATCAGGTTATGTATCTTTTATATAACAGTTATGTATATGTTTTTACATATGAAGGCTCAACATATTCTTTAGTGTATTCTAAATGTTAAAAAACCTAAAGTACAATACCAATCCTGAACTGAAATGCTGCTTAGAGACCTGCAACAGATCTCATAGGTACCACACAAGGAAAAAGTACAGTACCTGTTTGAGTTCCAAGAGTCAAACTCAACCTGAGCACAAATGTCTCCCAAATGCAATAAACTGCTGTACTACCTACCTTAATGTGGCTCTGAGGATCAATGTTGCTGTGGCCCCAATCTCTGGCCTGCCCTCCTTTTTGGTGATTTATTTATTTATTTATTTATTTATTTATTTATTTATTTATTTATGCATATACAAGAATGTACATAAGGAATGTGAGGATACAAATATGGTAATTACAGTCTTGTAAAGCCACTAGCACGCGCAGCGTTTCGGGCAGGTCCTTAATCTAAGAAAATTTTAAGGAGGTAAATACTTGCAAAATTTATAGACAAAAAAATGATAACAGATTACATGAAATGAAAAAAAAAGATGAGAGAAAATTGTAGGTACAGTATATTAAAGCACATAGGTAGCTAAGATTGATTGCAATGACAGCTTGAATGGTAGTTGACAAAAAATTGGTAGGCACAATACAGCAGAAACAATATAAGATTGATTGCAATGACAGCTTGAATGGTAGTTGACAAAAATTGGTAGTCACAATACAGCATATGGCTAGCACATAAAGTTACATAATATGGCTAGCACATATGGCTAGCACATAAAGCACATAATTTATAGACAAAAAAATGATAACAGATTACATGAAATGAAAAAAAAAGATGAGAGAAAATTGTAGGTACAGTATATTAAAGCACATGGTAGCTAAGATTGATTGCAATGACAGCTTGAATGGTAGTTGACAAAAAACTGGTAGGCACAATACAGCAGAAACAATATAAGATTGATTGCAATGACAGCTTGAATGGTAGTTGACAAAAATTGGTAGTCACAATCTAGTGAATCAGGCTCATTGTATGAGCCAGAATACTCTTATCAACCCCAGTTGATAGAGTATTCTGAATTTACCTGAATGCCACTATCTCTAGTTGCCTTGACAGAGACAGAAAGCTGGCACCTTGTCAAAGGTCCCCCCCCCCCAACCCCCCATTGCTCTGAGGATGTTTTTCAACTGGATTTTAAACTGAACTAATGTCTTTGCATTTATGGCTTGAGTGACTAGGCAGTTTCATGGGTTTATAACCCTAAGAGTGAAAAAGCCTCACATTTTCTGTCCTACATTATGTTTTATTGAGCTTGATGTAATACCTTATGTGCATTACATTTGGTCTGAAGTGGTCTGGATGAATATCCTCAAACTTGTTCAGTACCGTATTTTATAGCTCTCGATGAGATGAGCTGTCATTTCTGGTTTGCAGTATTGTTAATCCTGTAGCCCTCAACCGTTCCTGATATGAGAGTTGACTTAGCTCTGTGATGATTTTTGTCGCTTTAGTGTTGGGTTCATTCTCGACTCACAATCAGGAATCCTGAGTTTGAATACCAGGAAAAAAATGTCTGTCCCTGACAAAATGAATGAATTATTGTTTCTTTTGGTTTATCAAGTTACCTTTTGAACACAGAAAGGTCAACTAGATATGTCCCTTATGTTTAGAGGAAGGATGTTGAAAAGTTTTTGGTCCTTATTGTTTATAGAATTGTCTCTTAGTGTATCTATTGCAACTCTACTTTTCACACGGGTTATTTTCAGATTTGGAACCAGTCCCTCAAATATTATTCAAGTGTAAATTTTAATGCATCTCACAGCTATGCTTCTAAGAGTACAAATTGAGAGATTTTAAGTGGTCCCAATAATTTAGATGTCTATTGAATGGATTCAGGCAGTAAAAGGTCTTGGCCTGTTCTCCAGATCAGCAACTTTTCCATTTTTTAATGGGCCTGTTAGAATGCAACAGTATTCTATTCTAGATAGCATTAGTGTAAAAAAGTACCATCATTGGTTTGGCCTGTCTTATTTGAAACGTTCTTGTTTTCCAGCCTTTCATTATTCTTGCAGTTGTGACAGCTATTTTTATTTTGTTGTTTAGTAGTAAGGTTTTTGACATGATTAATCCCAGGTCTTTTAGGTTGCTTTTTCTTTCTATAGTGTGATTAGACTTCATTTTGTATGCATGTATTTCCTGTTTTGATTTCTTCAGTGCAGAAGCTGGAACTGTGGAGAAAAGCTGAACATCTTGTTTCTTTCTGTGGCCAATTTAAAGATCCAATGTACATCAGTTTGGAAGTTTGCTGTGTCCTACATGGTTTCTACTCAAATAAAAATCTAGTGTTATCAGCAAAGGGTAATATGGTAGTAAAGTTTGTGTCCTTGTCTGTCCAAAATTAAAATGAGAGAGAGTACTGGGGAACTGTGCTTTTCACAGAGAATGATCCAGATTTGATTGTTATTCTTTAGGTTTTGTTTGATAGGAAATTAATTAAAGAACCCAGCTTCCTACTGTGCCAGTTAATCCTTTTCTGTGTATACCATGATTACATTTGTTGAAAGCCTTTGGAAAGTGTGTGTATAATACATTGGGGTTTTGCTTGTCTTTTATGGTATGTATCCAGTCATGTTATAGTAGTCTAACAATTCTGAAAGGAAATAGCATTCTGCTCTAAACTGATGTTAATCAGGGTTATATAAATGTTGTGAATCCATTTACATTATAGCATTACTTTTTAGCTATTTTTCAAATATTTTTATGAAGTGTGATGTCTGCTATTAGCTACAAAAAATTTGTTATTGTAGAGTGACATGATATTTGCAGTTCTAAGTGCATCAGGGAGAACATCTGTATCTACACTTTGTGTTGAAATGATGTTTACATCCTAGTAGTACAGTTGGGTTCGTTCTTGATACATAATTGACAATTCCGGGCGGGACAGAAATAGTTGGGCACATTTCCTCTCACCTAATACCTCTGTTCACCTAGCAGTGAGTAGGTACTCATTAGTCAGCTTGTTGTGGGGTTGCATCCTGGGTGGGGTCAATAATTCGGCCTTGGGGGGGGGGGAACCTTGATAAAAGCCAAACATGTATGAATAAACTCTGGCTTCCTGTCCCCCGACAGTGATTTATTATTATTATTATATCCTCGGATTTTGTTCCGAGTTTTTGTACATATGGTATGCCAATTGCCTGGGCCTGGTGGAGTGCATTGACATGCTATCTATGGCTACTTCAATGTCTAGTTGGGGTTTGTGTGCCATTTGAGATATGGGTCAAGCTTAGGGGTCACATTCATGAAAAATTAATTTGGGTTGTCAATCTTTAGAGAGTTTAATGTACTGAAAAGTGAATTAATGTTACGTTTAAAGGTAACGATGTATTCTCTTCGCTAGTGGAATGTGGTAATAGGTGTTTGACTTTGACATGTGGTGACAGGCTGACACTTGTCATATGAAAGGTACTGATTTCACTTCACCCAAATCTGGGTAAAGTTTACTAAAAAAAATAAAGCATTGTTATTAACATTTTACAGGAGCCAGAGCTGGTAATAACAGTGAAGGACAATGTGCGTATTCTTAGGCTTAATCGTCCAAAGAGGAAGAATGCCATAAATGCAAATGTAAGTGATCTCTGTATTACTGTAGTTTGTGCAGTGTCTGTCATGGGTGTAATTATAAACTCTATATAAATGGTAAAGGGCAACAAATCTTTTTACTACAGTAGAATTGAATAACTGCAAAATTATTCTTAATGAAGGTAAACATAATTTTTGTAGCAATTCATATAAGGACAGACCTTGTGGGGTTCAAAATAGGGGATAATGTTCCCATGGTACCTGGCCAACAGTTCCCAGAATCCAGGACATTTGATCATTCTTTAGAAGTTCTGGCATACATTAGGGAGTCCCTGGGGGAGCATAATCATAACGTCTAATGATGGATGCCACGTGAGGCGCTCTGTAAGCACTATGGTTCTTTGTTCAATACACTGTTTACACAATCTTGATAACAGATGTAGGTTCATCCAAAAATTTGGTTTAATAATACACCTACACAAGTATTGGGTCTTTTCTTCAGCTTCATTCCAACACTAAGGTATTGTAATACCAACACTAAGGTATTGTAATAAGCTTCAAAAACCTACCCTACAAACAGGGTAGGTTTTTTTGTGACCTCCTTTTCCATTGTGAGAGATGGCCGACATAGGGACCAGGGATACCTTACCTTGAGGTGCTTCCGGGGCTTAGCGTCCCCGCGGCCCGGTCGTCGACCAGGCCTCCTGGTTGCCGGACTGATCAACCAGGCTGTTGGACGCGGCTGCTCGCAGCCTGACGTATGAGTCACAGCCTGGTTGATCAGGTATCCTTTGGAGGTGCTTATCCAGTTCTCTCTTGAACACTGTGAGGGGTCGGCCAGTTATGCCCCTTATATGTAGTGGAAGCGTGTTGAACAGTCTCGGACCTCTGATGTTGATAGAGTTCTCTCTCAGAGTACCAGTTGCACATCTGTTTTTCAACAGGGGTATTCTGCACATCCTGCCATGTCTTCTGGTCTCATGTGATGTTATTTCTGTGTGCAGGTTTGGGACCAGCCCCTCTAATATTTTCCATGTGTAAATTATTATGTATCTCTCCCGCCTGCGCTCAAGGGAGTACAGTTTTAGGCTCTTTAGTCGGTCCCAATAGTTTAGATGTTTTACTGAGTGGATTCTAGCAGTAAAGGATCTCTGCACGCTCTCCAGGTCAGCAATTTCTCCAGCTTTGAAAGGTGCTGTCATTGTGCAGCAGTACTCTACTCTAGAGAGCACAAGCGTTTTGAAAAGTATCATCATCGGTATAGCATCTCTAGGGTGAAAAGTTATCCAACCTGTCATTTTTCTTGCAGTTGTGACGGCTACTTTATTGTGTTCTTTAAAGGTAAGGTCTTCCGACATGAGTACACCCAGATCCTTTACATTGCCTTTTCGTTCTATGTTATGATTTCCCTGAGTTTTGTACGTGGTTTCCGTTTTTATATTTTCATTTTTTCCATAGCGCATGAGCTGGAACTTATCTTCGTTAAACACCATATTATTTTCTGTAGCCCATAGAAAGACCTGATCTACATCTGACTGGAGGTTCGCCGTGTCCTCTATGTTGCCTACTCTCATGAAGATCCTAGTGTCATCTGCAAAGGATGATACAGTGCTATAGGTTGTGTTCTTGTCTATGTCCGAAATGAGGATGAGAAAAAGTACTGGAGCAAGCACAGTACCCTGGGGGACTGAGCTCTTCACGGTTGATGGGCTGGATTTTATTTTGTTGACTATTACACATTGGGTTCTGTTGGTCAGGAAATTATAGATCCATCTGCCTATTTTTCCGGTAATTCCTTTTGAACGCATTTTATGTGCAATAACACCATGGTCATTTATCAAAAGCTTTTGCGAAATCTGTGTAAATTACATCCGCGTTATGTTTGTCTTCCATAGCATCTAATGCCATATCATAGTGGTCCAGCAACTGCGACAGGCAAGAGCGCCCTGTTCTGAAACCATGTTGTCCGGGGTTATGGAGTTGCTGTGATTCCATGTATTTTGTGATTTTACTTCTTAGCACTCTCTCAAAAATTTTTATGATGCCTTCTTCAGTTGGCTAGATTGAAACATATACTGTACAGTACATCTAATTACAAATTGGAAGATATGTATTGTTTAGTGCATATGAGAAATGGCAATATTTTCTCTTTCAGCTTTACTTAGGGATTATAAAAGCATTAGAAGCAGCTGCTGCTGATCTAAATACTGTGCTTGTGGTTGTGACTGGCACTGCTGATTATTTTACGTCAGGAAATGACCTTGGTGCTATTAGTCAGACTTTAGGGTAAGTATAATTTAAATGTATATAATGTTGTGTTCCTCTAACAATATTAATCTTAAAAGGGGAAGTAAGAATAGGATGGGCAAATATGTGTTAGTGAATGTTGTGCCTTTGCTTGGCCTCTCAGGAAAATTCTATACAGTAAATATAGTATGTATGTCTATGCAAAATAATACAGATTGAAAATAGAAATCTTTTGATGAATTAGATTACATCTGTAAGATTAAACTTAAAAACTGAATTCATGCTTTTCAGATAGGAAAATAAATATCAAGCTATATTATTAAATTGTTGACCATTTATGATGGTCCATCTTTCATGACAGTACTGTATTATAATTTTAGATTACCGTACTGTAGTTTAAAAAAAGAAGAGAATCCATAAGTATATTTTACTTTTCAAAGAGGAGGCCCATCAACTGTGGTATCAGAGGAGAGTGCCAACATCAGCGGTGAGCACACAATGAAGGCGGCAATTGGCTCTTCAACAGACAGGTTTAACAAGTAAATACAGTATGCTGCTGTTATTATTTTATGGTCACACTGATGCTATGATAGTAATTATGTTCAAAGAAATGACAATAATGTGAGTCCTTTGCGTATAATAATAATTCTACTGTACTTTAATAATAATATTACAAATACTGCAATGCCAAGCACTTGTAGTGCTTGTTCAAAAAGTAAATTTTCTTCATATTCCCCCCCCCCCCCCTCCCTCAAATCTTCCCAGACTCTGAGAAGGTGGTAGTGAATCTTAGTTCAAGGTTGACTGGCACCCTTGAGTCCATGGTGCCACTGAGCTAGAGCTAAAACAGTGCCTCTTGCAGCCCCATAAAATCTGAGATATCAAGAAAGACTGCTTCAATTTTTTATAATTACATTTTATATTTTAAAGGCTAAAAATAAGGTCTTTGTTTTTATTAATGAAAGAAACAATAAATAATACAGTATTGTAAAATTTTGGCAAGTGTGTAAATGAGCAAGGAGTGCTGGTGGTGGTCTGACTGGTCTTCCTTCAACTTTGCTGATCAAGCTGCTCCATCAGTGAGAATTACAGTGTGTGTATTAATGTTATGTTATTTAAGTCACACCATATGTGCAAGACATGAGCTTACACATAAAGGGGCCTCATGGTGGATGGGTGACTAGTTGTAGCCAAAAGGTAACTAGTCTGAAATAAATGTAATTATAAGTGCTATACTGTCTAGTCAAAGGCTTAGCATTTTCTCCTGATAATTACCTTACATTTATTTCCTCTGTATAAACCTACCCCATATGTAATCTATTTTATAAAAGTATAAATAACAGAGGCACGGTCTTTACTAGAAATACTGTGCCTCTGGCTTAAGCTACAGGTACTTTTGAATGAATTTAGGCATTCTAGGTAAACAATTATTACAATTAAATACTTTAATTGTGATCTGCCCAACTACCACCAGATGTCAGTCCTCACAGTAGGTCTCGATGCTTCTGAAAAAAATATTAAACTCGTTTATACAGTACAAGGTTCGTAAATTATTTGCGAATAATGATATGCAGCAACAAGAAAAATACAAATTGATGAAAAATACTGACTTACATGAAAATCAACATCCCTGATTTTTACAGCATTCACATGGATTTTTGGATTTACCGATAATTTATTAGAGGGAGTTGTCGTTTGGAGGTTGCAGTAAAAAAAAAAAAAAAAAAAAAGTGATTTAAAGGGTCCATTGGCATTAGACTAAGTGCTTAGGTAATGGATGATGACGCTTCATTTTCCACAGATTTGTGTCGGCTTTTATTGACTTCCCAAAGCCACTGATTGCTGTTGTGAATGGACCCGCTGTGGGCATTGGCGTTACAATACTGGGACTCTTTGATGTTGTATATGCTACAGACAGGGTAGGTTTTTTTTGTAACCTGAGCAGCATAAAGGCTTATTTATGCTGCTTAGTTTTTCTTTATAATAAGATATGGAAGCTATAAGCATTTTGTTCTACTAGAAGTTTCATCATCTCCATAAAAAAAATTTTTTTAATTGAGTTGAATAAAGCATTAAGTTTTTGGAAGGTTGGTTCATGGAGAGATACAGCTTTTGTTGGGCAAGTGTAATTTACTTTTCTATATATTTTTGAGTTGTGTCCTTGATATCTCTTCAGAGCTTAATTGCTGGCATGACAAAGCTTTGCCACTTTCACAGATTTATTAAATACTAGAATTGGCCAGCTAGATAAGGAGAGTATGTGGATCATTGATTGAGCATGAACTTTCTGGTTTGTTTTCTTAACAAAAGAAGCCACTGCTTGAAAATAAGTCTAGAAATGAGGCAAATGACTCTTAAGGGTGAATACCCGAGCTCCAACTTGCCGTGTTAGCCTCATTTCACTCAGCGACTTTTTTTTTTCTCACCCATGCAGGCAACTTTTCATACACCATTTGTAGAGTTGGGCCAGGCACCAGAGGGCTGCTCAACTTACATCTTTCCCAGAATAATGGGACCAGGGAAAGCTGCAGAGATGATTTTGTTTGGTAAAAAGGTTTGTAAAACTAAATGATTTCCTTTTAATTTTGAAAGTTAGAATTTAAACACCAACAGATCATTGATCTGAAATAGGTTGTTTGCTGTTGTAACGTGTATGGTTCTACACTCAATGCATGGCACCAATTATGGGAAGAAATTTTTTTTATAAGCCTTTATACAGTATTGCATTGTTACTGAGATATCATTGAGACCCTGTTAAAAATAACTTTCCTTTTTTTGGGTCTTTGTTAATGTACAGATAAATGCAGCAGAAGCATGCAAGTTGGGTCTGGTAACAGAAGTGTTTCCTGATGCATGCCTGGATCAGGTGTGGCCAAGGATTTATCAGTGGGCAAAGCTGCCTCCAAATACTTTAATCAATGCCAAAGGCATGCTTAGATCTATTAAAAAGGACTTGCTGCATAAGGTTAGTAATTCCAGGTAATTATTAATGATAATATTAAGCACTTACAAACATCCTTATTTCTTTATTATATTAAGATAGGCAAATGGTTTTTAAATCTACTTTTGGTCATTGCTTTCTGAATACCATATACGAATAAAAAAAAAATACAGCAGGCTCTTGCTTAAATGGATTGCAGTCATGGTAAGGCAAAATATAGGGACAGGCCAAGTCTGCAGAGAATCCAGCCAGTCCGCTCCCTTACTCTTGACCCACTTAAACCGAACCTTAATGCCCCATGGGAAAGAAGGAACTGGAGTTACTGAGGACATAATAAGCAAAGGGGCATTTTACATTTAAAGGTTGATTTCCAAGAGAGAGGTCAATAAGCTACTGTGAGCCCAACTTTAAATAGTATAGCAACAGAAGAATCTATTTATGAAAAAGAACAGACAAATGCCCCCCCAGATGTTACCTGTGGAAGGAGATGGGTTGGAGCCAAGTGGTATGGTGGGGTAGGGTGGTGGGGTAGGTTGGTGGGGTGGTGATGGGGTGGGTGGTGGGGTAGGGGTAGTGGGGTGGATGGGTGGTGGTATGGTGGGGGGGTAGTGGTGGGGTGGGGTAGAGGGGTGGCTGGGAGGGGTGGGGTGGGAGGCTGGTGGTAGGGTGGGTGGTGTGGTGGATGGTGTTGGGTAGGTGGTGGTGAGGTGGGTTGGGGGTTAGTGGTGGGGGTATTGGGGTGTGGGGTGGTTGGTGGCAGTGGGGTGGGGGGCAGTGATAGGGTTGGTGGCAGTGGGGTGGGTGGTAGTAGGATGAGGGGTGATGGTGGGGGGTAGTGGGTGGTGGTGAGGGGTAGTGGGTGGGGGTAGAGGTGTGGTGGTGGTGGGGTGGGGGATAGTGTGGTTGGTGGTAGGGTGGGGGTAATGGGGTGGGTGGGTGGTTGGGTGGGGGATAGTGGGGTGGTGGGGTGGGGGTAGTTGGGTGCGTGATGGTGGGGGTGGTGGGGGGTAATGGAGTTGGTGGATAGTGGGGTTGTGGGGGTGGCAGGTAGTGGGGTGCGTTGTGGCAGGGTGGGGTGGTGGTGCGGGTGGGGAATAGTGGGGTCGTGGGTGGTGGTGGTAAGGTTGGTAGCGGTGGGGGGGAGGGAGGGGGGGGGGGAATGGTGGGGTGGCTGGTGGGGGCAGTGGGGTGGGTTGTGGGTGGAGGGTGATGGGGTGGGGGTAGTGGTGGAGTGGGGGGGTAGTGGGTTGGGGGTAATGGGGTGGGGTGGGTGGATGGTGGTGGCTGGTAGTGGGGTAGTGGATGGTGGGGTAGTGGGGGGGGGGGGTTAGTGATGGTGGTGGGGTGGCTGGTTGGGGGGTAGTGGTGGGGTGGGTGGGTGATGGGTTGGGGGTGGTGGTGGGTGGGGTAGTGGGATGGGGTTGCTGGTGGTGGGGTAGGTGGTGGTAGGGTTGGTGGCAGTGGGTTTTGGTGGTGGAGTGGGTTGGGGGTTAGTGGTGGTGGGGGGGGGGTTGGTTGGGGGGTTAGTGGTGGTGGTGGCATTGGGGGGGGAGTTTGGTGGGTGATGGTAGGGTGGGTGGCAGTGGGGATGGTGTGGTGGATGGGGTTGGGTAGGGGTGGTGGGGTGGAGGCAGTAGTAGTGGTGTATAATGTCTTAAGAGAAATTCAACTTTAAAACAACATGACTAATTGTTTGTTATTTCCTTTAGGTCAATGACATGGAGTGTAAAAATCTTGAAGAAAGAGTGCAATCAGATGAATTCTTTACGGCCATGATGACTTTTTTCAGCAAGAGGTCAAAATTGTAGATGAATATGGCAACCTATACTCGGACTAGTGATTCTAATGAATGGTGTGCCACCCTGGTTAAAGCACCTGGGTATTCAGAGTTACAGACCTGCTCCTGTGCCAGGTAAGTCCAATACGGGTTCACCATAGCCTGTGCTACTTGGAACTTTTGGTTCCGAATAACTGAGTCTAAAACAACAACCTGGGCATTTATGTAGATATTTGTAATGCTCTGAAGGCTTAACATGTCAGTAACATTATAATAGTAAAGTAAGTGCACTGTTCTAAACAAAAATTATACTGAAGATTTAGTTTAGTATATATATATATATATATATAGATAGACGTGTTAACCCTTAAAGAGAACAAAGTGGAGACTAAAACGGTCAGTAGTTTTGTACTGGGAAGACAGAACACCACGAGCATAGCTCTTATCCTGTAACTACACTGAGGTAATATACCCAAGAGTAATTCAAGACCATTTGTACACTACACAAGGTGTTGAAATAAATGGCATGGGAATCTGGTCTTAAGTAGACGTAGCAAGCAATATCGTCCATGGATGACTAATCATAACCCATCCAGACACTAACCGGCTTGTACTGTTCCAGCTTATATTATAGGACATCTATATTTTGATAACATTACATACTGACTAAACAAAATAATCTTTCCGCTCCTTATCGGTACTTCCAACTTGGGTGTTAATAAGGACTACTGCTGCTGCCAAGAGCACCACTCAGTCTGTAGTGTTCTTCATTGGCAAATTACCTGTGACTAATTTAATAGACATATATATATTTACTGTATTGTTTTATTGCTACTGTGTTTCCATGCCCATCTGTTTGGTCATTATACAGATTAGACTACTTAAGCTGTTGACCAGACACCACACTAGAAGGTGAAGGGACGACGACGTTTCTGTCCATCCTGGACCATTCTCAAGTCACAATCGACTTGAGAATGGTCCAGGACGGACCAAAACATCGTCGTCCCTTCACCTTCTAGTGTGTGGTCTGGTCAACATACTTTAGGCCACGTTATTGTGACTCATCGCCTGCACAACCTAAGCTCATTCTGATCCCAGTGCAGATTAGCTACACATGCTAATACTAGAGTAAAAACAATTTCTTTTGACCATTACAAAGTTACAAATGAAGACATATCACATTTGAATAGTGATTTATTTATTATTAGATCAGATGAGGAGTCTCAATAACGAGGCTGAAAAATGTTGACCAAGCCACACACTAGAAAGTGAAGAGGCGATGACGATTTGGTCTGTCCTGGACCATCATCAAGTCGATTGTGATGAGAGGAAGGAGGCAAAGGCAATAAATAATCAAGAGAGAGGCGAGAAGAAAATCTTACAGGAAGAAAAAAGCAAGGCAACAGGTATGGAAAGTAAGGTATAATAAAGGGGATAATAATAAGAAAGGGACCATAAGAGAAAACAAGGTAAAGAAAAAGAGAGATAAAAGGAAGGGTAAGCTTATGTTAGGTCACATTTGTTAGAAAGTTTGGAACATTTGAGAATATACTGTGAAAGGGAAGAGTCAACAGCAACAAAGCCAGGACTCTGGTTCATGTTGGTGGGTATGTTGCGTATCAAAGCCGATTCGACAAGACGGCGTCTGTGTGTATAGTAGAGGCAGGAACGATTATTTTGGAGGAAGACCAGTCAATAGGATGATTAGAATCCCTAACATGACAGAAGAGAGCATTGTTTGTATCTGCAGACTTAACACTTCTTTTGTGTTCCTTAAGTGGCGTCATTAAGTGTACGGCCAGTTTCACCATAGTACTGGAAAGGACAAGACGAATAGGAAATAAGAGTAAATACCAGCAGCATTAGAAGCAGTAGTAGTGTGAACTAGATTGCTACGAAGAGTGTTAGTCGAAAGGCGAGCGTTATGTCAAAAGGACGAATGGTATTAGTAAAGGTTTTGAGTTCAGACATGAAGGGAAGGCAGAGCACAGTGCTACTAGTGTTGGGAGCAGGATGAAAGAAATTTCGTTTAGCTTGAGAATAGGCACAGTTGATAAACTGTAAATAGTTATCAATTGTATTTACTAGTAGCACTGTGCTCTGCCTGCCTTTCATATCTGAACTCAAAACTTTTACTAATACCATTCGTCCTTTTGACATAAAGCTCGCCTATCGACTAACACTCTTCATAGCAATCTAGTTCACACTGCTTCTCCTGCTGCTGGTATCTACTCTATTTCCTGTTTGTCTTGTCCTCTCCAATACTATGGTGAAACTGGCCATACACTTAATGACAAACTTAAGGAACACAAACAAAGTGTTAAGTCTGCAGATACAAACAATGCTCTCTTCTGTCATGTTAGGGATTCTAATCATCCTATTGACTGATCTTCCTCCAAAATAATCGTTCCTGCCTCTACTATACACAGACGCCGTCTTGTCAAATCAGCTCTGATACTCAACATACCCAACATGAACCCGGGTCCTGGCTTTGTTGCTGTTGACTCTTCCCTTTCACAGTATATTCTCAAATGTTCCAAACTTTCTAACAAATGTGACTTAAAATAAGCTTACCCTTCCATTTATCTTTCTTTTTCTTTACCTCTTACAATCCCTTTCTTATTCCTATTACATATTATGACCTTTATTACACCTTACCTTCCATACCAGTTGCCTTGATTTTTTCTTCCTCCTTCTCCACACCTCTCTCTTGATTATTTACTGCCTTTGCCTCCTTCCTCTCTAATCTGGAACAATATAATTCTGATTTTTAATTTAGCAGTGTATAGGCTATTACTGACTTATACTTTCTTTAACTAGTTAGTTGCTTATTTTTCATACTGCTGTTTGTGTTAGTGGTACTGCTGCTGAGAGAACATAAATCAATATGCCTAATACAACAATGGAAATTGTCAAAACTATTTTGCATAAATATTTTTGGGCCTGATGCCACATGCTCCAAAATTCTTCTCATTAATGACTTGTGTATTATAACAAGATTTATTTTATTTAACACCCATATAAATGTCAAATCTTATCACTTATAAGGATTTAATTCTCTGAAATTTTCTAAGGTCTCTACTAAGAAAGATACGGTAATTAATGAATATACAGGTATACAAATTAACGTAGGCTGCCATCTAAGGGATAACGAATGGGAAACAAAGATTTTGACAAAGTTGTAAGATTATTTTGTCAAAGCCAACACCAGGAAACTTAAGATGAAACCACAGGCATCAAGCTAAATAATTTTGCTATGCACAGAATCCTGATGTACAGTAGTTACCCCCCTCCCCTACCCTTTTCCACACACACACACACACACACACACACACACACACACACACACACACTAAAAATACATTACGCTGATAAGGATATTGTAACAAATTTATAAATGCTGTAATTTTTTTTTTATTAAGTTATGACTTGGTAGGTCTGCCATTCATAACAAAATGAGTGAGTTAGTTTTTTCTTTAGACCTGTCAACCAAGATGGAGAACTTTACTGAAAGTTGAACGTTAGTTGGAAAAAAAATTGTATTTAAATTTACTTTCCAATTAAATTCAACATTCCTTAGATATATTTTAAAATGTACAAATTAAGATTTACAATTTTTCACATGTTTTCTTATAAAAGATGTAAAATAAATTTACGATAAAATCTGGATGATGACTCACTGTAATACAGGGATTAAAAATGATCTTGAAAGCCATAAGGGAAAAAGGAGGCAGCAATAACCAAAAATTGAGCCATTAATATTGGGTTTGATAGAAATACCTATCAGCATTTCCTGTACAGAGACTTCATCTTTGTAGAAACCACAATACCTTGAATGCAGTTCTTAATACTGTATACCTAAATGTCAAATTTCTTACTCAAAATAGGAATCTGTTAGAAGCCACAAACTTGTACATGTTCAGTATTCATTGTTTCTGCCGTTTAGCGGGTGGAGGAGGCATCAAATCTCTGTCTAGTTTTTTGAAACCTTGTTCTTTGATGTAAGTTAGAAGATACTCTTGAGTCACAGGATTTTTTATACTGTTACACACAGCTGAAAAAATATAATGTTAATTAGTTTTAAATAAAATAGATTATTATAAATAAGATGTTGAACATGGCACTCTTAGCCACAACCAAGTTAAATTATTTTACTTGATATTGAGAATGACAACACTATCTTTCCCACAAACATGATCATAATGAAGAGAAACATGGGAGAAGGGAATGTGAAATCTTCAGCAGTCTAAAATAAACAAGTGCATATTTATTAATGCTATACAATTCTAGCATATATTAGTTCATACTGTACAGTACAAAAGAGAACAAAATTATTCTAGTTTAAGACAAAAATGAAGAAGCTGAAATGATCCAGCTCTCTAATTCCAAACTTTGGATAATCCTGCCAAAATCAACTCCAGGTTCTTGATTGCTTAATTTGGACAGAAATCTTAACTACTAGGTTTTGTAGATGCGCTACTGAACATGTGGCAGCCTTAGTTCATAATATGACTCGCATTAAAACATTGTATTAACATATAATAAATAATTGATTGCTAAAAATTGTGTGTACATGATATAAGGTGTATGTTCCAGCTAAATAATCACAATGCCACAGAGAGCAGAGACAATTCACAACCACACTGGGAAAGCATCCAGAAAGTCGGCAAATCTTTACAGACAACTGGAGGGGTTAACAATGACCAAAGCCTTGAAAATGCCAAACAATTCATACAACAAGAGAAACATTCAAAATTACCACACAACCAATAATAATAAATGCCACCACTAGGTGGCCACCCTTCAGCATGCAGTTATCATCTTCCTCAGTTCTTACGCTGATGCCTTACTGTTCCTGGGGTCAGACATGGCAAACCCTGCTGCTTCAAGCTAAGTGCCAGCCATCCTTGGACTTCTTTCTGTGAGCGTCATTTGCTTTGTACTTTGTTCTATATTTTAGCTTTTGCTTCACATGTGTTTCTATGCAGGTTGTTGTCTAGGCTTTGCCTCGTTCTGCTCTGGTTTATTTCCTAGGGGTTCCTATCATTGCCCTTGCACTAACCGAGATATCTTCTCTGGTGTGTTTGGGAATTTGCCCTAGAAGTCAGGCCAGTGGGGCGGAGAACCTCACCTAGGCCTATTCACAAGTCTGACTCCTCTGTTTGAACCCTTGGCTGGGGAATTCAAGTTGGTTGTGCTGGGACTCGCATGTTTGTTTAAACGACATGCCACCACCAGTCATAGTTTAAGGGGGCCTGACAGCTGAGTGGACAGCACTTCGGATTTGTAGCCCTGAGGTTTTGAGTTTGATCCCCGGTGGGGGCTGAAACAAAATGGGCAGAGTTTCTTTCACCCTGATGCCCCATTACCTAGCAGTAAATAGGTACCTGGGAGTTAAGACAGCTGCTACGGGCTGCTTCCTGGGTATGTGTAACAAAAAGAAGGCTTGGTCTAGGACCGGGCCGTGGGGATGCTAAGCCCCGAAATCATCTCAAGATAGCCAGTTGTTGTGGCTGTGCTTGGCATCTCTCTCTGGCAAGCAGCCTCAATGTCTGAGTGCTCTGCTTGGTTAGCCACCTTCACACCCTGGTTATCCCCTGACAGCCCACCTGAGATCTATCCTCGAGCCCATGATGTTTGCAAGTACAGTGGACCCTTGGTTTATGAATTTAATTCGTTCCAAGAAATAGTTCATACACCCAAAATTCGTAAACCTAAACTAATTTTTTCCATAAGAAATAATCTAAATTGAATTAATCTGTTCCACACACCCAAAAATATTAACTTAAAAATAAATTTTATACGGAATACAGTACTACTCATATTTTGCACTATACGGCTACCCTACCTTTATTGAGGACTCTTGTTGGCATATGGAAGACAGTGAGGAGGGAGGAGAGTCCCCTTCCATTATAACATCAGACAGTGATAACATTTCTGGGGTACTCTCTCTCCCTCCTACATTTTGCAGGCATACCACTAGGACCTGGTTGTGGCTCACTGCTTGTTTCTCTTACCAAGAATTTGTCTAAAGACAGTTCTTCCTATGCTGCACACATTTCTTAATGATGAAGGGACATCATCTACTGCCTCTACTCAACTATTTTCTTAGGTTGAACTTTACCACTGACTTTCTTAGAACCCATAGTGTGATAAATAATAACTTATGTTCAGAAAAAAAAAAAAATTCTTCACAAAGAATTCCAGCGCAGTCGTCACTAGGGGTGCCTCGTCCCGTGCCCAGCAGAACTCTCATGCTCATCAACCCATACATGTATCAACAAACTCGAAATCCGAGGTACATCTTCTACACAGTCAAATTTTACGAGGAAATTGACCTCATATACCAAAAAATTTGTAAAGAGGGGCATTCATAAACTGAGGTTCCATTGTACACTGCATTAGTGGCAGTTTTTTCCAACATGCCCTGGCCTGATATTCTGGCATGGATTTTGGTGTTCTAACAGTTCTGATAGCCCAGTACAGTATTTGGTTAATGTCCCTGGTCCTAATCGGGTATGTGTTGCCTTGGCAAGGAGCAAGCAGAGCTTCTTTAGTTGATACAACTGAGAAGCTGGAAAGTCACTCTAGAAGCATCCATCACCCAACTAACCCACTCTTCAGGGAAGAGACAGAAAAGAAGGAAGCCAGCAACAAAATAGCACACCTTCCTGAAAATTAACCAAAATAGCTTCCCAATAGATAAAGCAAGCTAAGAAGCAGCCCAGCAATGCATCCTTAAGAAGCAAGGTGTCAGTTGAAACAGCAGATAACAAGGCTGGAACAGTGGACTACCCAAGAGAATGGGTTTTCTCATTAAATGACAAACTGGACAATAATTCATGAGACCACATAACTGATTATGTACTGTACCTAAGAAAAGGACAACCTTTGAAGCCAAAAACAACCAAAGGGAAAAAATTTATGAATTTGCCACGAACTCGCATCCATTCAAAATCCAGGGCATAAAGCAGTGTTAAGGAAATCAAGAGATTTCCCAGAAACAAAAACACTACACTCTGGGGAAATCCTTCCTCCATTCTAAGAGCTACAGAATGACTGCCATTTCTTCAAGGAAAATAACAATTGTTCATTTGCCAAAAAGAGAGCGTAACCTGGTAATGAACCAAGCAATAGCAGCCTATGCACAAAAGGTAATAGAACATTAAACATGCATGCATAAAATCCCATACCAATACCATCAGGGGTTGTGGCAGCAACAGCTATTTCCTTTCATTAAGAAAATACAATACCTGAACTGCCAACTCACAAATGAGCAAGTGGGAACAAACATGAGAGAAAACTGAATATAAATGGAACTTTGTACAAAGCTCTAGGCCTGGTGTTGTGCCTTCAGTGGTACAAAATTTTTTACCATGTACAAATTCAAAGCGGCTACGGATTGCTTCAACATACGTAAATAATTTAAGAATGCTTTCAAGCATTTTGTTTTTTCCCCAGAAAAAAGGCAAATTACAAGTAAAATAATTACATTTTAATCCGTTTAAAAATTTCTATGGGTACACGAGATAATTTTTAGCAGATAAATGCCAATTTGGGCACATGCTTTTAAAAAGGTTTGCCATCCCTACCATACAGCATTGATTTGCAATCATTTCATGTCAAATTTTAATCGTAACCCAAAGAATAACTCGGAAAACACACACACAAAAAATTTTTTTTGGCGTCATTGAGAAGACTAGAATGTTTATGGTCTACATTGAAATCAAAGTACAGTATAAATGTTTTATTCCATATATTGCTGCAGTGTTGTAAGAATGAGGGGGCCAATTTTTTTGCTTACGCCACTCGCATAGACCTCATTCAATTCCAATGCACAAAACTAGGGGTTTATCTAAATGAGCATAGCTTTACATAGTCCAAAGTTACAGTATTACTAAACATTACATTAATAACATACCCATAGCTGTGGTGTAACTATTTGGATGAGACTTGTCAGTACGTTCTCGCATGAATACCCAAGTGTTCTTCTCTTTCTCATACTTGCATTCTATAATCTTGTTGTTATAGTCTTTAAGTGTTTTAGTAATCTTCATCTCGGCAAATGGTGTTGCTAAACCACCAACATACAGCTGTCCTACATTCGCTGTGAGAATCCTGAAATACAAGAAAGAAAATTCTACTTACTTTTCTCAGATGTTGCCAAGGACTTAAAAGCATAACTGAAAAATATGAAGGAGCAGCAACTGGCAAAATTGCACATGAACTAAAAATAAGAAAGCATAGAAGCACCTTGTATTGATCAAATTACAAAATTTGAAAAGCAAATACGTTATGTACAATTTTTAGAAATACATACTGTATATCACTCGCTAGGAAAGCAATGTTACACCACAATATCAGAGGTATTTGCATCTAAGTTATCCCAGTGTGTGTCAATACCAACAAATGCTGGAAAATAAGAGTACACCAGAGTTATAACAGATGGGGGTAGAATTGCCAATGAGCAGGAACATATACATTTGTAGACAATAAAGCACAAGTATAAGATCAGAGGAGTAGGACTGGGAATGAACCACCTTCATTATCTTCCTAAGCTTGTTGGTGTGACAGCAGTATCCCAACAGTGCTGCAAAGACAAAGGCTGCTGTCCTATTCTCCGGGTGGAAGTCACGAAACGATAGGGAATGCCTTGAGAAGATAAAGCTGGCCATATGATTCTTGGCCACCTTAGTGCACTTGTTTTCAAACAAATGAAAGATATATTTGGGGTGGTTCTGGACAGTAAACTGTCACTAGAGGAATGTAATGGACATTGTGTCAGGAGCATTTGTTATGCTTTCCAACTTCAGAACTGCTTTTAAATACATGGATGATGAAATATTAAAGAAATTGCTGATGACTTTCGTGAGCTTAAAACTGGAATATACAGCATTTGTATGATGCCCACATCTCAAGAAGCACATTAGTACACTAGAAAAGGTGCCTCTCAAGAAACACATCAGTAAATTATAAAAGGTGCAAAGACAGGCAACTAAATGCCTTCCAGAACTGAAAAAAACAAGAACTATGAGGAAAGGTCAGAGGTGTTAAATAGGCCATAGAAAAAGAGGCAATATGATCATTACATACAAAATAGTAACAGAAATCTACAAAACTGACAGGAATTTTTGAAACCTACAACTTCAAAGACAAAGAGGACATGGATTCAAGCTAGGGAAACAAAGGCGCCCCAAAAAATTAGATAGTTCTTTGCAAGCAGTGGCAGATGGATGGAACAAGTTAAGGAAGAAGGCAGTGGATGTCAAAACTGTAAGCAGTTTCTAAGTAGCACTAGGAAGACAGGACACCATGAGAGTAGCTCTCATCCTGTTACACTGGGTCTATACTGCATACCATCAAAAATCTATATGAAAGCCATGCCTCTAAAATTTCTGAAACAATGGAGGAGATGCACACAATTCTGTGCATCTCCAGTTCTGTGTATTTAGTAGTTTGTTTTCCTCGGGTCTCAGTGGGAGGAGTGTTCTTGCACCACCACCACTGTTCTAAGCCATCCTAAGCTCTCTGGTGAACTGCAGGTTATTTGGCAAATCTCACTACAGTACTGACTTTGAATACTGGCTCCCCCTCCTTCTCCCACATCTGTGTGCATTGAGAAGATAGTTTTTCTCCTGTCTGCAAAAGTTCTGGCAATTCCTCCACTTTGGTTAAAACCACCCTTGTGCAGAGGTGGCTTGTGTAATGTGTGAGGAATTACAGCAGGGTGACTGGGAAAGCAGCAAAGGATGAAAGCAGATGACTGTAACAGTCACTCAACATGCCTTCATTCAGTGCCCCATATACATAATCAAACCACCCATACTATTGTTATCATCACTAAAATATGAAATATACAATTCATGGTTTTATTATGTCCAAGAGCTATAAATAATGGCAAATTTACATCATATAATAAAGGTGGTGTTGGTAACTAGCTGTTTTCATTATGTTATCTGCTGGTTATCACTGCCACTAAGACCAAGTGCTATTTACCACATACTGTACCTCTTTTGTGCATACTGCCTCCCCCACTTGGTGTTATCAAGACATTGAAACTAGTTTATCATAAATCAAATGATAGATGTGACAAAATCCACGGCTTTCTAATGGGCACAAGCAGCCATAGGCTTCACAAAACAAAATACCAAACATGCCCTGTACCACCAAGTATGGAAACAGGCAGAGCATTCAAAAGTACAATGAAAATTTATATATTGAGTAATGCAGCTTGTGCAAATATGTGGGATGGATTTAGTAATGAAGGAATTAGTATACAAGGAAAATTAGGAATGAAAGTAGTGAGGGTGAAATACAATACAAGTAAGTGATATTGACACTTTAATAGGATGTCTGAGAAACACTATGAAGAGTGGTGTACAAAGTTGAGATAAGGGGATCATATGTCATGTGAATGGCCATGGATTAGTGGGTCACCCATGTCATCGGCTGACTGGGTGCACCATACACAAATAGAACATGGGGATAGACAATACCCCTCAACTCAGAAATATGTGCCATCTAGTCTTAAAAACAAGGTAGACTACTCCCACAAAGTGTTGAACAGTACCAGACTTAATTCTCTAACAATGCCTTGGGCTAGAGCCCCTTCTTACCCAGAGTAGAGGGGAACCAACCAAGAAGCCCTGCCAGCTTGTGTGAGCAAGGATTGTAGTTGTTTAGGACCTACAGCTAGTAGAAGGGATTATTAAGAAGTGCAGATAAAAGATTTCCTAGGTAGAGTTATAGCTAATCCATTATAGTCAAGGACTCAAACATGCAACTAGAAGTCAAAATCATTCTCTAATAAAAGGGAAATCTAGGAAAACTACTTTAGAGCCTGAACTCAACAATAACAATGCTGGAGGTAAAAAAAAATTGGCTGTATGCATCATTGAAATACGCACAGCACCTGGCTGCACTAAGAAGCACTTTCCTAAGCCCCAATCACATTTACCATGGCTAACAAGCATAGGATGGCAAACACCTGGTCCAAAACAGTAACAGGTCACTAGACTCTCAAAACTTGCCATTGCAGGCTGACTAACGCAAACAAGTCTTAACTCTAGGACATGGAAAGGTGAGGGTTACAGTTACAGAAACAAAGCCAAACATAACCTTGCCGAGGCAAGAGTCCAACAGAGCTAACCGAGTATGACAGAAAAGGACTTGCCAGAACAAATGCAACAAATGTAGTGTGGAAACTGAGAGCAGCAGCTCACTGCTGAAGCACAATTCAAAATAGAACATAGAAAGTCAGCCTATTAGGTCATAAGACAAAAAGAAAAAACTTAACACACAAAAATATATGTAAAGCCTTAGAAAGTACACTGAAACAAGGGTTTCTAAGAATGAATGCAAGTTACCTAACAAAATCCTGTTTCGAACCTGCCCACACCATCACCAGAATGAGTCATGAGGCTGGGGAACTAATGTTTATTTATTATAGGTTTCAAGAGTTGTACTCCTGCAGCCAAAAGCCAAGGTTGTTTGATGATTATTAGTAAGGCTGTTGCTGGCAGCAGCTCATAGGCCTACATCTGACACTCCTTACAGGAAAATGTCTAATTCCACTCTTTGAAACCTGTTCATGCAATTGCAAAACAACCTAAACCTCGGTTTCAGCAATCATAATTTTTATATATGTTGCAAGTATGTTGGCAAGTTATGAGCTGATATTCATAGTGTTCTCTGATTTTGCTTATGATACCTCTACTATCTACTGGGTCTATTCTACTTCCTACCATATTCTTTATTTATTGGATGCTGCCATCTAATCTTCGTGGACATGTTGTGCTCTGCTTGGTGATATCATGCAGGGCCTTGGGAAAGCTTCAAGTATTTATTGGTGTACTTTCTGTGGTAAACAGATTGGTCTAGCTTTTTTTGGTACTTCCCTGGCACCAGTGTGACCTGGTACACACATTTTGGTAAGATCCCTACTACACAGGTACAAGTACCTGCCTAGATTATCATGAGTCTGTCGAATGGTATATTCAGTAGGCTTGCCTTACAGAACACCCAGGAAGAACAGCACAGAAAAGTTTAATAACAAATAATTAAAAGTTTGCAACTTACCCTATGCCGCTTTTTTTTACAATTTTTAATTTAAAGTCAACGGAGTTATGACTCAGAGGTTTCCACTTCAGAACGAGGTCACATCTTCCAGGAACATAATGCTGAAAATGAATGAAGAAAAACAATGCATTAAATTTTAAAAATGTATATTACCATTAACACTTTATTTCTAATTTTTATGGGAAGACTGTCATTGTCTAAATAATATGGAAACATACTGCAGAAAAATATTTTCAGTTACTCTCATCCTTTCTCAACATCTTCCACATTCAGAACCATTGTAAGAAGCTAATAGTCATCAACTAAGAAAATGGCCAACACAATATCTCATCCACTTCATAGACTAAGAATAAAGTTCTTCATATGAAAAGTGGCAAACAAAAGGTTCCAAGTTATTTCAATGGACTACCAGCAACTCTCCCTGGCAATACTCTCAACTCCACCTTATTTCATTACCAACTTAAACCATACTATCATCCTGTTTATTGTACAGGGTAGCTGAAAAATATCAAGAAATACTGTGCTTTATGCTAAACCAACCAATAGCAGCAATATACAAGTGAACCAATACAACTATAAACTTGCTGATCAGTTCAGAGGGGAATTTGTCACCATTTTAGGTAACACCAGATCCAGAGTAGCTGGTGGATCCTGTCCTCAATCTCTTATTGGTTCCTTGTTACGTTACTACCGGAAGTGTTTGTTTGCCGTCTGCTAGTTTTGCTCATCGCATTTTGTCGTCACAATGAAGATCCTTTGTTGTCCACCATTTCCCTGCTTTGTATTTCTTTAATATCCATGAGCATTAAGATCTGAGCACTCATTACCTTGCTACTATGACTGCCTCTTTTCCTATCTTCACGAACCTTCATTGCATTTATCATATTTTTTGCTTGGTCCTCTTTTAGTATTGGGTTGTACATGGGCCCCCTACCACTGTTACCATACTTAACATGCAGTACTGATGATTCGTTATCACTGGTATATGTATATGTCTATTTGGAGCAGAGGAAGTACCGAGTCTACTTCCTCAAAGCTGGGCTAATTAGTTGATTCCCAGGTGGTAGAATTTCCATTTGGGTTAATACTAGAGTTTGGCTAGAGGGAATTGTGTACAATAAGTTGATCTACTTGCACTTGCTTATTACTTTGCTTGCCTTCCTGGACAGACTGGCCGGGTCACTGTCTTGTGGCATTACTCACCACAAAAAATAACCAGTGATGGTTATTTTTTCCCTCTTGAAAAATAACCATCACTGGTCATTTTTGACCATGATCTCATCCTTTAAATTTTCCCAGTCTTCTCTTCCCTCGTGCCATATTTCTTCTCTGGCCGTGTCATTGTTTATGATCACAGATCACTCGGTCATGCAAAGGTAGCCAAAGGTCCTTTGACTACCTTGACTACTCTGCTGGTCCTGAACCCCATTGTTCTACCACATCCTTTATGCTTAAAAGTGCATCTTATATTTTTGTTACTGCTACAACCAATTTTTCTTCCTTTTTTTTTATCTTAAACCTTTCATTCTACTTAATGATACTCTTCTATACATTAACTCCTTGACCTTGATAAACTATCAATACTTTTAACTCTACATCCCTTCACCTTCTGTCATCTTTCATCACAAAATCTTAATTATCTTAACTCTTCTGTAATTTCTTTGACTTTCTCTATGATGCGTTAGTTTTCTGTCCTTCCAGTTTCATTCCGATATCAACAGCCATTACAATGTTCAATGAAGTCATGTTTATTTTGCATTCTTTTCACCATTATCATTTGTATCTCTGCCTTTCTTACTCCCTTTACACTTAACATTTTCTCCATTCTTAGTCATTCCTCAAGGATTTTTTGTCTTTGTCTTGGTACAGAATGCCCACCAGTGACTTGAGCTTGGCTTTGTGATATCAGAAGCCTGCTCTCTCCCAGTCACTCATCAAAATAATTGTGTTACTCCTCTTATGGTTCTCTGAGGTTTGATCTTCAAACTGGTGGATCATTGCTCTACCGTCCGTCTACCCGGATGGTAGAGCGACGGTCTCGCTTCATGCAGGTCGGCGTTCAATCCCCGACCTTCCAAGTAGATGGGCACAATTCCTTCTTTCCCGTCCCCTTCGCAAATCTTTATCCTTGACCCCCTTCCAAGTGCTATATAGTCATAATGGCTTCGTCTTTGTCCTGATAGTTCCATTCCATTTGCCTTCGTAAATTGTAGTGTGTTCCCAATCATTGTTATCATTGTTTCTACCGATGATACACAAGTCGTTAATTTTCAGTTCACCCGAAATCTTAAAAATTTAAATCGAATACATCTGTTCTCCATTGCCTTGTTATTTTGAAATCTTTCACTATTTTTATTATTACAGTGGCATTCGGAAAATCCAGACAACTACATAGATTTCACCAAATGCCAGGCCAAACCCATCATGTTCAACAACTTTCATAAATTTGTTCTAATTTTTCCTAATGCATTTAAATATTAGAAATGGTTTCACCAAGCTTATACTGGACTATAAATTGTGCAAGAGTTTGAGAGGAATTTTCTGGTAAGTTCACAGCTTTGCTGAGCTGAGTCTAGTTAGTGTATGCATATTGCCTGTGTCTGTGTAGAGTATCCTTCCTTTATCCTCTCATATCCAGTCCCTCCCAGCACACCCTTTCCTCCCCCACCATGTTGTCCCTGACACCTTTTCCCAACTCCCTCCATTTACCACCTATCCTACCCCTCACTACTGCCTGCCCAATAATAGAGATCCCTTCCTCCAGATCCCTGCCCAACCACTTTAGCTAAATGGTAGAGCGACAGTCTCGCTTCATGCAGGTCGGTGTTCAGTCCCCGACCATCTAAATGGTTGGGCACAATTTCTTGCCTCCCACCCCATCCCTAATCATGATCCTTCTAAGTGCTATATAGTCACAATGGATTGGTGCTTTCTCCTGATAAGTTCCCTTCCTCCTTATCCCACGTACCTGCTGCCCAAACCCTTTTTCCTGCTCGCCTGCTTCACCTCTCTCAAACACCCGTTCACCCAATTCCTAGATCCCTCGCTCCCCCGACCACCTGGTTAGGTCTGACATGGCTGAAAATCATGTAAATGTTTATACTGTACTACACTAATCCATTCTATCTACACTGCACATTTAAGGATATATTGAAAGAGATTATATAAATGTAAAATATAATTTACTTAAATATGAACCTACATCTGCTTCTGGCTGAAAGATGAGCCCGTCGGGTTCATGGCAAAGCTTCGATTGAAATGCTGAACTTAGAAGTTTGTGTGTCCAATACAAATTGGCATCCCAAAAGTCTTTCCTACGTACTCCAAACGTTTCCTTCTGCTTATTTAGGAGGCGCTTTTCTATAGCAGCATTTCTGGGGCTAATGATATCTGTCTGAAATATATATGTTATAGTTACAAAATTATAGGTGCAGTACAGTAATAATACATATATTCATTACAGTATTAACATTTTAACATTACACACATGTTCACGATGCATAAAATGTTTCAATCATACCTTTGAGCCAAATTTTAACAATAATAATTGTTTAAAATTAAATGCATATATATATATATATATATATATATATATATATATATATATATATATACATACATATACATACATATACATACATATACATACATATACATATATATATATATATACATATATATATATATATACATATATATACATATATATACATATATATACATATATACATACATATATATATACATATACATATATATATATACATATACATACATATATATACATATATATATATACACACATACATACATACATACACACACACACACACACACACACACACACACACACACACACACACACACACACACACATACACACACACACATACTAAGTTCAACACAGGCTTGAATTAGTATTGAGCAGGGTTGAATGCTTATTTCAATTGTTTAACAGATCATGATGATCACACACAAGCTGTGCTCATTGTAGTAACGTAAACAAAACTAATGAAGATAGATTTGGGATAAAGTTAATTGTTATTTATGCAAAATCTTGTTTGTCCTCTTTGAACACATTAGGGAGAGGATGCAGTGAGAAATAGTGATGGAAATGGAGTTGTGGGAGGGAGGTCTGTTATGCCGAGTGCTGACCAGTAAGACAATAGCTCATGCCATGCCGACATTCTGTTTGATAAGCACATTTGTAAGGCTACATTAATTTATTTACATTTTGGTAGTAAAGATGGATGAAGGTCATTCCTGAAAGTGCATTTTCAATGACATTCAATGTGAAGGTCCATAACATAGTTTTGTAACCCCAATGTAGAAAAATCCATGGTAAATGACCCAACTGTATTCAGAATTTACTAACTTTTTCTAAATGGTGAACATGTTAACACGTTCGTGTTCAAGCAATGCTAAAATACACCATCCGATTGCTATTCATGAACATTCATATATTCATCTCTGTCACATGTAATCTATTATAAATACAAGTTTGTTTTGGAATCCATTCTCTGCAGTATTTGCCAAAATTTTTAAACCAAATTTATAGTTATAACCCAAGAAATAACCAAGAACACATGAAATGATTATAATTATGCTAAATGGGACCTGCCAAGCGCACTAGATTTATGTTCGTCTTAGTGTGGAGAGGACCCATATGTATTATAAATACTACCTTTAATTTTTGCATCTATTCTCTAAACAATTCATTTGTGAAAATTTGTATACTAAATTTGTTATAACCCAACAAGTCAGTTACATGTTAAATGATTATAAAAAAATTTTGCATCAGCAAGTGGCCAGTAAGCTGCCTGGGGGCCCACAACAGTTATAGTCCGGAATGCACGGAGAGGCTGGACCGTGAAAGTGTTAACATGTTCTAATCCTGTTTTGCATAACTATTATATTGGCCAAGTCTTTTCAAAATCTGTTGAGCTCATCAGTAAACTAACAGCACTATTCAACTTACCATTATGCGTTCATATCTCATATGGAATGTGTCCCTCATAATATCTCTACCATGAATTCTAACAGCATCATATATAAGATATCGTGGGTACTTTGCACCAGAGTTTGGGTCAGTGTCTATTACCATTTCCTGAAAAGAATGCAAAGAATTCATTAATAATGATTTCAATCAATACCTGTTCAATGTGGTGTTCATAAGACACTCCTTTCTTACATTAATACATGTACTTGTATTCTCTATGATGAACATGTTGATTTAGAGTATGATAAACCTACACATTAACAAGAATAAAAGTATATGCCTTGCAAACTTGATATAATCACTGTCTTCATGTCACAAATTGCTTTCTGAAACCAATCTGATTTTATAAACAGTATTAAAGTGTTTTATCTGACATTTTCCTTCTCTTCTCACCCTTCTACATACATGCATCTCCTAAAATTTTTGAAAATACATTATGTTCATGGCCATGAGGTAGATGCCAAACACTCTTGATCTAACTTTAGGGAAAAATAAATTCATACACTAAGCCAGGCAATGGCAATCACTTTTAGCAAATGCAGCAAAACATTTCTTACCAATTGCCAAGCGGGTGGCATGCTTGGCAAATTTTAGAACTATACGGAAATAGGGTCTAACATAGAAATAATGAATATTACTGATGGAAATCTTTTCCCCAATTGCAATAACAAAACGAGATACAAAAAAATAAACAAAATACACACACACACGAGGATCTCGGAAAATTAAAATCACCAAAAAGTTGCATATGAAGTGAATACACAGTTTCACTATAACTGCATGGTGAATCTATAGCATCCTACCAGATATGACACCTTTCATGACAAGCAGAGAAATATGAATCTATAGCATCCTACCAGATATGACACCTTTCATGACAAGCAGAGAAATATTATAACTATTATATTGGCCAAGTATTGCAGCATTGTATTAGTTTACTGCAATCTACAAATTTTTCAAATACGGTACACTGAAAAATAGTTTAGGCCTCGTAGCTTCTGCCAATTTGGCAGCAATAGAGGAAAACATCACCATAAGCGGTAATCTCAATCCATTAGGAATACTTGGCTCCTGTTCAAGCTTGTCACCATTATGAGTGCTGTCATGATTACAGTGACACCTTTACAACCCAAACCCAATCTCTCTTCACAACCCAAACCCAACCTCTCTTCACAACCCAAACCCAACCTCTCTTCACAACCCAAACCCAACCTCTCTTCACAACCCAAACCCAACCTCTCTTCACAACCCAAACCCAACCTCCATTCACAACCCAAACCCAACCTCCATTCACAACCCAAACCCAACCTCCATTCACAACCCAAACCCAACCTCCATTCACAACCCAAACCCAACCTCCATTCACAACCCAAACCCAACCTCCATTCACAACCTAAACCCAACCTACCTTCACAACCAAATCCCATCCTCTCTTCACAACCCAAAACCAACCTCCCTTCACAACCCAACTCCTTTTACATATTTGACCAAATCTTACCATCAAATTTTGGATTTATCTAAATCTATGGTGAAATCTGGATCACTTGTTAATTTCTACAGGTCATTTTTTGCTCTCCAATTTTTGATATTCTACTTTTTTATCATTCAGTGAAAGACCAGGGTTTAGGTCATTGGAGGTGCCAGAACTGTTACTCTGAATATGGTCATGAGATCATATCTTCTAAATTATTAACTGGAGAAGCTTCCCAAGATATTTATTAGATCTTTATAATTTTTGTTCATGTTTGGCAAAAAGTGAATGAGTTTGTAGAATATCATATAGCTTGTTTTAATTTTGAGTGCAGTAATGATTTTTTACCTATATCAAGCTTAATTACAATTTTTGTTGGGTTAATAAAAGATGTCAAAATATACATAAAACAAAGTTAGCAAGAGGGAGAAGTTATTAGTACATTAGTATTTTGAAAGAAATTGTATGCCATCTCTGCTTGTCATTCATTTTACATTAGATCTTAATTTATTTGCCAAATTAAAGTTTTTCTGCTCTCCACCATCATATCTCTAGTATTCACCATCACTCACTCTCACCACATACAATAAAGTTAAGAAAATCAAAACTTTTTTTATCCACAAAATCTAAAACTATCAGTTACATACATAGCATAAAGAAGCAAAATATTATTTCTTACCCCATCAACCAACGTATCAGAAAGGTGAACCATCAGGTCATGTTTCAGTCGAAACTCAATCTCTGGTGCTTGGAATATACTGTGGTCACGGTCAGCAAAATACACTTCATGACGGCCAGCTGTAAGATGCAGGTAGATGATACAAGTAAGTCTGATTTCATTTACCATTCTACCTCATTTAATTCATTCACCCCATCACCATTCTCACTAAATGAAACAAATGCAGCAAATATTAAGGCAAATCTATAATATTAAAATTGTGCAGTGTCCGTTTAGAGAGAATGTGAGCGAGTGTGTAATTACCAAAGTATAATTACTTGGATGATATTACAGGATACAGGATGAGAACTAGTATTGTTGTGTCCCGTCCTCCCCACGATCTTTGTCATGCGACACAAACTACCGATGATTTTGTTACCCATAAACACCATCTCACTTAAATTGTTAAGTCTACAACTCTGTTTGCAAGAGAACTTTCAAATATTTTTTCAGCACCTTTGTTTCCTTAGCGTTAATCTATGGACCTCTCTTCTTGAAGTTACAGGTTTAAAACATTTATCTGTGTTTTGCATGTGGAAATTTGTGCATTTAGGAAATTCTTTTCAGCGCACAAAGGGCTCTGAACCACCATAACAAGTTCAGGCAAAGTTCCACTAAAATGGTGATGTGATAGTCACAGTGGTTAGGTGCACACTGATGACTTCCAAAGTTATCAAAACAAGGACACTAACCCCAGAGACCTTTGACAGTCTCGGCCACAACCAAATGTCCGCAGACTTTCTCTAGTCACCCATATGGCTCAGATACACGGTCAATACACACACCAGGAAACCTCTTACAAGTGTAGTTTGCAAAAGAAAGGTTAATTTGTAGACCTTTTTTAGTATATTGTGACCATGCTAAAGCCAATGTTTATACATATGAATAATTTATTGCAGTCAACACACTAAAATAGGACAAACCATAATTAGTATGGTTTGTAGTATAGTATTTTATTTATTATATTAATATTATAATGTATATAATAATTTTTTAAATTTTGCTTATGCCCAACTATTATATTATTCTAACTCACCAACTTTGCTAATGCCCAACTATTATATTATTCTAACTCACCAATGAGCATCATGTATCTTGTTCCATCAGCCTTCCATGAAACTTTATAAGGATTATCACGAATGAAGGATATGTTATCCATGTCCATGCTAACAGGTTGACATCCAGGAAATCCAGTGCTGAAAATGAAAATGTTCTAGTTTAATATTATGTAAAGTGTGCTTTATAGGTAATTTATATACTGTACAATTACTGCACAAACAATAAAAAAATATATACATATATTGATACAATTATTGTACAAACAGAATAACTGTTCAATGCTTTAACCAAGTACTGTACATATCTTTAGCTGATTTCAATGAACCCTAGACCAACATGGTATTCATACACCAGCAAGTCACATGTACAGATTATTCACAATAATAACTGTACACCATGTTCTTGCTGCCTGCTCCTCTCATCTTTACACAACAGAAATCTTCCTGCTGCATTATTTACATTTACTTTCCACTGCCTACACCTATCAAATCTTAAATATACAACAAAACTAAATATAAAAACACCAAAAAAATTGAGTCTATTAATGAGACAATAAATGACATTTTATAATGACCAAACCACATATCAAAAGATGAAGAAAACGACGACATTTCTGTCCGTCCTGGACACTTATCAAATCGTGTCGACTTGATTCAATTATTAATAAAATTAAATGACATTTAATTTCATGGCATGTGTGTAATGAATGAAGACCAGCCGGCGACAGTCTAGCTGGTCTTCCTCCCCAACTTGCCAATCGCTACACAAACTATTGCCACATTTAAGCTCATTCATCATAAAGTAGAGGGAAGAATTACAAAGTTTATTAATATTAAACAATAATTAGTGTGACAAGGTACTGTAAGTCATTTGCACAAAATGAAGGAGTGATGGGAATGACTGGTTGGCCTAGTGCAGGCAAGCATACTTTCATTTATTTTCATTGTACAAACTCATATATTCCAATTTATGTATGTATAGATAAATTTAAAATTTCCAAAAAATTATTTTTTATTATAGAATTATTAAATCGTATGAAAAATGTAAGCAAAACAAAATTATATTAATACTGTATGTACATTTTTACTGGGTGAAAAGAGCTGTCAAAGGCTGTGCGATGGCCATGTTATCTGGCATCTGTCAACACACTATGTCAAATTTTCTGACACTGACGTATGCAAGGCTCTGACTTCTTGGGCAAAAAGACACAGCTTCTGTGTTCTTTGGATGTTTCACCGATTGTTATCGCTTGTTCCTATTTATTTACAAGATTGTGTGTGTGTTGAATAACTTGATAATTTACATAATATACAAAAACTACAATTATGATTGGTATTATACCCGAGCGAGGGCATAGGCCTTGGGTGAGTGTGTGTACAATGTGTGAGGGGTGTAGTCCATGGGTGAAAGATGTAGATTATGGGTGAGGATTTAAATCATTGGTTAGGGTGTATCAGGGGTGAGGAGTGTACACCTGGGCGAGTGGTGTGCATCATGGTTGAGGGTGTAAATCACGGGCGAGTATGTTGACGGGGTAGCTCATGGTTGAAGGTGTATACCATGGTAGAGAGCACAGATTATGAGTGACTGTTGACCAATGTTGAGGGTGTATATTGTGGGTGAAGATATATACATATACCTATATCTACAATGTGAGGATGTGGACCATGAGTTACAGAGGCGGACTATCTACAAGGGTGTAGACCATTTGGCGAGTGTGATGATTGATGAGGGTGTAGTGAAAACTATATAAACATAATATTCATTGGTGGTGGGGGCTGGGTGATGACATAGGGCCTAATTGGCACCACATGGGGCAAAAATATCGACAAACAAATGCACAAGACAAATTCACCACCAACAGATGACGGCAGGATTCTAGTACACAATGCATGACAATGGTTTAATTGGTGATTGGTTTACCTGGTCTATTTCATTACAATCATAGGGAATTGTGAAAACCCCATTAACATTGTTGGTATACATAGGTAGTTATGACAGTTTAATACAATGACGATGACAACATTCGCTAAGCACCATTTATGATAACTGCATTCACACTAACATAACCATGAAATGATAGGATTTTTTTTCCTCATGGATCAAGGTAAACTACATTACATCCACACAGAACTATTTCCTATTTGCATGATACATGTAAAACCAAGACAATAATAGTTCAAATCGTCATATGATGAAAACCAACGTTCCCCTCATGGAAGCGCACGGAGCAGGTGACACTATGCCACCCCATCTGAAGCCACCTCCAGAAATTCAGCAAAGCTTTACAGACAACTGGGGGGTTTGCAGAAAACGAAGTCTCAAAATTGCCAAACAACTTCGCAAATGATTCACAGGAGGAAAGAACTCAAATTAGCTCGAAAGTCATTAGTAACGTACCACCACATGGTGGCCCCAACCCCAAGTTGACTCACCACCTCAGTTCTGTTGCCAATACCATACCTACTAGTGCAGCTTGTAGTGCTACCAGTCCAGCGGATCAGATCACAGGCAAGCCCCACTGCTTCAAGCCAAGTGCTGACCATCCTTGAACTCAGTTGTCCTGTGGAATTTGCTCCGTTTATTGTTCCTTTCTTTAGTAGAGACTTCGTGTGCAAGCTTTGGTTCTGACTTTTTATGTTGTCTTGGCTCTTTAGGCAGATAGAGCTGCATATGCCCAGGGTTTTGTTCCCTGTGTGACCCCCCCCCTAGTGCTGCCCTTGCACAGTCAGTTACTTCTGGTGTGTTTTGGAGTTTGCTTCTTATTGCTTTTAAAATACATGGCAAAATACTAAAGAAACTGTTCACAACCTTTGTGAGACCAAAGTTTGAATATGCAGTTGTATGGTGACCATATCTTAAGAAGCATATCAACAAACTGGAAAAGGGGCCAAGACATGCAATTAAATGTCTTACAGAACTGAAAGACGAGCTCTACGAGGAGAGGTTCAAGGCATTAAATATGCCAAAGCTAGAATATATTAGAAAAAGAGGCAATATGATCACTACATACAAATAGTAATGGGAATCGACAAAATTGATAAAGAAGAATTCTTGACACCTGGAACTTCAAGAATAAAAGGTCACAGACTCAAGGTAACTTAACAAAACTACTGACAAAACATTAGAAAACTGATTTTTGCAAACAGAGTGGTAGACGGTTTGAACAAATGAGAAGGTGGTGGAGGCCTAAATCCTCTGTATGTGATTTCAAAACATTATTTGGCAAAGAATGCTGGGAAGACGGGACACCACGAGTGTAGCTCTAATCCTGTAACTACACTTGGGTAATTGCTTACATAATCCCAAAGTGTATTTTCTTACCTTGTCCAACCACACATCTGTTGTATTCTTTTTTGTATTTGTTCCAGCTTTGGCTGCTGAGTTATAGCTGTCACACCTTTAATACCCTCCATGAAATGTGGGTCTTTCTTGTTCCATTCGCGCTTTCTGTTGCTTTTTATAGATTCACCATCGTCATCTAAACTACTATCATCAAATTCTGTGGAAGAAATTGTGTTTTATTAAGCTATAATTAGAAAAAGGAGTATACAGTACACCTCACTAAACCTGGTGGAACTAGTGAGTGAACTACATGACTGGGCAGTTCATTCAGTTCATGGTCTCATTTTCTATGCCCCATTTACTTTGTCGATTGTCTGTTTTGGCTACCCCACCTTTCTGGTGGTTTTTCTTGGTTATTGAGATTAGTGTCCTTTGCCCTTTGCACCTCTGTAGGTTTTGGCCTCTGGTTCCTAAAAGGTTTACAATGACTCACAAGGGCCTGGTATGGGTAGCGTTTGATTGAGCTAACCAGGTAACTAGCAACAAGGAGCCATTATAGAAATCCCTCCGAGAAAGAGCAAATAAAAAAAAAAATCATGAAAAATCCAGATTGGGACTGGCAAAGATATGACCAAAATTTTTTAGGAATCACTGCAATGAATTTAAGCTTGTGTAGTGAGCACAGACTGATGTATAGAGGGGGTTTTGGTGCATTTTTTTGGCTTGGGGATCTTTTAGTGAAGAGCTGGTGTTGAGGAGGCACTGTTGTGGCTACCCAGCAGTCTACAGCCAGTGAAATCTAGCCGTTTATGCCCTGCATCATAACTATGTACTTTTCATATTCTAGGCATGTTACCTAGGCATATCTAGGCATGTTTCATATTCTAGTCACTAATTTGCACTCAACTGTGCAGATATTAAAATTCATATACAAGTGAAGCATGGAACAAAAAAAATTACTTCAATTCTATAGCTCACTTTCTTTTTGACTTATGATATCTTAAAATACATTGGAAACTCTCATCCTGTATGTGTACTGACCTTTACACCAGTCTGGAAGCTCTGGGGGTGGTGGAGCATCATTAACATCATCCCCACAACGTTCATAAAGTGCACGTATGTAATCTCCCTTGTAGATGCCTGGCTCTCTGCAAGATGTCAAAATGAACACCAATTGTTTCTACATCTCTACCATCGAGTATTTAATATTTAAGGACATATAGCTGAAGACACATGAGGGAAGGGAAGGGAATTATTTGGGGAAAGCGCTTAACCATTATGACTATAAAGCACCTGGAAGGGGTCAGGATAAGGTTTTGTGATGGGACGGGGAAAAGGAACGGTGCCCAACCACTTCCCAACTTCCGGTGCCCAACAATCCCCGATGGTCGGGGATTGAACGCCAACCTGCATGAAGCGAGACTGTCGCTCTCTACTGTCCAGCCAAAACGCCAACCTGCATGAAGCGAGACTGTCGCTCTCTACTGTCCAGCCAAAGTGGTTGGGCGATATACGAGGGAATAAAACATGACAATCTAAGGAATATTACCGATATAAGGTACATGTACCTACATACATATATACTTACAGTATATCTAACGGTCCCACATCTATTATGTTACCTGGAAATTTGTTCAAGAAATCAGAAACCCCATTTCCAAATCATTTACCATGGTTTTTTCTGATGCTAAACTTATCCAATTTGTAACATTTATTTCACGTGTTGACATATTTATCTCCTTAGTGTCTAGGTTGATAAAACCTGAACTGCATAAACCAAATGGGTTCAAGCAAGAGCAAGATAAAGCTGAGGAGTAATATTTGATGTCCTACTGCTAATACAGTACTTCCAGATATGAATCCTAATGTGCCTTCCCTATTTCCTTTATTTTAAACATTTAAACATTTATTTACTAAACATGTATGCTAATCATGACTTCCAGATCATTTTCACATTTGACAATTTCAGCATTGTCCAGCTGATATCCGGCAACTATTTTCATTACCTAGGCTCAGAACCCTGCATTTCTATTAAATTATCAATATCTGTCAACATTTCATCCACTTTAAAAGAAAATTTAAATTGTCTTTTATTGCTTTTGGGTGTTCCAAATATATTTCTGGCCCTATTTTTGTATTATCTGCAAATCTGAAAATGTTGTTGCTCAATCAGGTGTGATAAATTATTTATACTGTATATATGGCAAACAGCAGAGGTTCAAGGACACAGCCCACAGGTACTCACTTGAAATAACCAAGTCCTAATCCATTTTTGGATAATCCCCTAATGTGCCATGTGCATACTCCTTTCTAATAATAATTGTGTGAGGAACAGTATCCAAGACTTTGCTCAAATCAGGTAACAATGTCACAATACTTTTCACTATCAACTGCTGGATATATGCTGGAAAAGAATGAGAGTGGATTTGTTAAATAGCCCTTAGTAAAGTCATGTTATGAAACATTTTAATGTTTTTCAAGATATTTGAAAACTGATAAAACAAATGGGCTTTACAAGTCGAGTAATTGGCCATAAAACAAAAACAAACATTTTTTACTCAAATGTTTTTGTGCATTTCCTTATGTAAAACATTATAATTTTACTCCCAAACAACAAAACAATCAAAAACTTGAATGCCCAAAAGCAGCCTTATTTATAGTTCAGATTACTAAACAAGATAACTGTATTTCGCCAATTCCAATCTTCTGCGACGAAGGAGTGCTGAACCAATAATTTGTTAAGACGAGTATTGGTGCAATATCCCCATCCACTATTAACCTGCAGAGAAACTCCATCTGGGTCTAAACTAGTCACACAAACATTAGAAAGATACTGTCCTTCTAACCCCAGCTGTGCCGGATGTTTCTCAGCCAATTTAGGCCAACTCACTAAATATACAAACAAATCTTCAAGACATTAAAAATAACAAGCACAGGAAAATAGGGCTTTACAGTATAACATTTAATGCCACTCACCTTGCTTTTGAAAACTCGTTGAGGGCAAGATCAATACCCCAGTCTTCTTTAATAATAAAATATGAAGCAATCAAATACCCAGTTCGATTAAATCCATGGGTACAGTGAACTGCTGCAAGGGGAAAAATGATTTAAGTTAAAAAATGAAAATTTAAATTACATTTATGGCCACATTCCTACATACAAATACAATAATTTTCAATAATCAGGGATTCCGGGTTCGACTGATTGGGCATGTTTCGTATCACCTAATGCATCTGTTCACCTAGCAGTAAATAGGTACCCAGAACAGGCAGATGTTGTGGGGATGGATTTTCAATAAGGCACTTCCTGCCTACTGAGGATGAAAATAAAGGCCACAATCTCTGCTAAAGCCAAAACAAACTATGAAGACCTAGACAACATGTGGCAATTGGCAGATGGGCAAATGCTGATAATCAAGATGAAGAAAAGCCTCGGAACAAACTAAAGAGATCAAGGTGCAAGATAAGCTGGGAAGCATCTGAGAACTGGCCACAGATGAAGATAGTCTCCAGCATGGAAGCCACAAGAAGTAGAACTAAGCAGATGATGCTGTACAGAAATCCCACCAGAACCAACTCAGAGAAAGAAGAGCATCCACCAAGTACCTCATAGCCTAAAAGTGAACTGCATAAACCACAAGCTGAAGACTTCACATCAAAGTATATAGATTTACCTGCAGTTGTATTAATTTCTCTCAAAACCACTGGAATGAATTCCTGCCTACTGCCCTCCCCCCACTCCGCTGCTGTGAACTTAACATTTTCGCCCGGGCATGACGCAGCATTGCGTCATCCGTTTACTGTCGATAATTCCGGGGATGATGCAGCATTGCGTCATCCACTTTAAATAATCGCCAAAAATCAGGTTTTTATCCGATTTTTGGGGGACTGGTTTTAAAATGCGCGCCGATGTCTTCTCATTTTCTTTGTTGAGCCTCGTGGCCCTCAGGCGGCTTGGCACATGCCGTGGGCCCATTGTTTTCGCTCCACTGTTGTGACCAATGTCGCCTCCCCTCGCATCTCAAACGTGTGAACATTTCGGCTATTTTCCGTGGCTATATTTCTTACTGCGGCTTTAGAAACTATCTACGCTTACTCCACGATGGATAGTGATCATGAACAAGGCCCTTCCAGGAAGAAAATTGCGAAAGAAAGGCTTGAAAAGGGCGGGAATTGGGAGTGTAGCTGGAAGGCGTCTGAGCACTCACTCGCGGCTAACGCGTGGCCCGTCTTCAACTCGTCGACGGTTGGAGCGTGACCAGGTTTTTTATTTTATATGCTGATGTTCCTCTAGAGAATTCTATTGCGAACCCATTGAGACCAAAATGAAAGACCTAGGATAAAAATTGAGGTGACCAGAGTGAAAATAGTGAAAACATTTTATCGCGTTTGCGCGCTCCTGGGTAACTCGTTCGCAATTTTCTCTGTTTGCTGCGGGTAATTAGTCGGGCTTTTTGGAGTTTATATGCATTTAGTGCTGTAGAGAATTCTATTGCGAACACAATGATACCAAATTTAATCTCGTAGGACGAGAATTAAGGTGACAAAGTTGAAGAGAGTATACACTTTTCAGAATTTACGCGCGCTCCCATGACACCCTGGGTCCCATATCGCACAGTTGAGGGGTGGCGAGCGGGGTGCGCCAAAGTGTTAACATGAGCAGAAAAGCCAAAAAGAATGTTATAATGCTGTGGTTCTGGGTCACTAATAGGTAAAGTCTCATAACACAGCTACTTGCTTGCACCATCAACTAAGGAAAGAGGAATGAGAAAATCCTCCCCTAACATAACCAAACTCATGAGAAACCAGGGAAATATGACAGCAGACTGAAAACTGTCCGAGAAAAGTGCACACAAGTGAGAACCCAACTGCCACACTTTTCTGCAATGAACTACACCTTTACAGCCATCAAGGAGAACCACACGTCTAACTAGCAAGATGACAACTGGAAACTAAGCTCCAGTTGCAAAAAGTAGTGTCCAAAAAACAGCTATAATTGCAGTGGAGGAGAGAGCAAAAGCTGAATTAAAGCTCCAAAATAACCCAGAACCCATTGCACAATCCACTTCCACTCTAGGTTTTCTTGACTTTGCCTCCCTATAACATCCATATATATATTAAATATCCAGCGAGATACAATGTAACAAGTGTTAGCCCCAATATTAAAACCACTCCTATTTTTTCCTATTATATTTACACATGCTCTGCTACAGTACTTATATAACGGATTTTACTGCTGTTAATGTACTCCCTCCCTCTCTAATAAACCTCTAAAAACACCAACAATGCTTTTTCTAAATCCATAAAGGCAGCAAATTGTTTTCCATCTCCTAAACATATACCCATTATGCATTCAGTGTCTCAGTCATTTCTCCTTAGTCTAATATTTTACCAAATCTTTCTTGAAATGTTACAATTTATTTCACTGTCCAGCTGCTTTACATTTGGATGCTTGCTACATACACTCTTCCCTAATAAGAACATCCCTCCTTTCTACTTACCCCCAATGTTCTACAGAACAACTGCATAATGCACCGACTCCACTCCATTCCTCTCATGACCCTTGCACATTTCACAACAATTATGTCTTAACACACACAAACTCCTTTGCTCCATTTCACCTTTATGTATACCTGTGTATGTGCCTATTCTCAAAGTGCATATCAGACAAAAATCCTTCAACAAATGTCCACCAAGAAATTACAACATGGCAGTTACACAAACAGCCCCAGATGGGGGTACATGATCAGAAACCAACCCTGGGACAAATTATGCCACAAGAATCAGCCCTAAATTCCCCATATACTTTCAAATATTCTGCCAAGAAGCAGGAGAAATTGGCCATAAGAACTGTCACGGCAATCAGATGGAAGAATGCATTGACAACAAACCCTCCACCATTCAAGATACAAGGTACACCAGTCTCCCTCATTCATTTTCTGTGGTTACTATATAAAATATGTGCAAACCTCAGCGCTGTCATCTAAACTAATAGAGTATAATAACTGTGGCCAAGAAAAATGTCAATTACATGTAACATAAGAGGTAGAAAATCATTCTATTTAAGTGGGTGTTCACTGTACAATATAAGATTTAAATATCTTGCATCCAAAAATAGTACTGTAGTGTAATGAGTGAAGAGTATTGAAAACAGTGATTTCCCCAATGAGTTGTGCCAGAATCAACCAAAATAATAAACACAGCAAAACCCAAAGACCCAAAACATCAAAGTACAGTACAGTACTAATTTATTAAGCCAATGGCTGTGGAGAATATATAGTATTGTTATCAATTATTCAAAGATTAATAGCTATGTGGCACAATAAACAGAATCCCAAATAATAATAAATATGACATCAGTTGTGTTTGTATACTATACAGCACTGTATGCACTATATATACATACATCACTATGAAGCAATTCTTTATTGCAACCTCAGTAAGGAGACAATATTCAAAGATAATTATTTAGTAAAGTATTTCTATATCAGTATTTGATAGCATTTACTAAATTCACCATTGGTTTAAGTTCATGATTCAAAACTAACCAGAAAACAAATCTAAAAAAATTAATATGGTATTTTAAGACAAAATTTAACAGGTGGAAGGTCAGAAGGGAACTATTTGCCCTCTTCTGGCCAAACCTTCTTTCTCGCCAATCATGATGGGAGATCTTCCATTTCTGCACATTACTTAAATCCTATCTTTAGTTCCATTAATCACCGATTCATGGAACTAGATCTGAATTTTTATGATACTGCATAAAAATTAACTTACCTATAATTTCAAGTGGATTTTTTCTAATAAACTTGTCACAGATGTCAGAAAAAGCATTGACTTGGTCTTGGTTAGGACATTCACCATGCCCTCGACACTTCAGCTTCACATAGCGTGCACCTTTCTTCTCTATATCATTACTATCATAAAACCTTGTTGTATTGGTGAGGTCTATCCATAAACCAATTTTTACCTAAAAGAAAATGGCAGCATACTGAAACTAGAACATATGGATGGCTTTACAAATTCAAACATCTAATCTTTCAAAACATTATACACAGCTAATATCAAACCAGAACCCATCTTATGAGAATGAAACAGTTTGTCTTTTATCCTTTGGCCAGAAAAATGGCTTCTAAAGTGAGATAATTGCTCTCTGGATTACTGAAACACACAATGTCTCCCCCCCCCCCCCCGTCTTCCACCAGAAATAACATTAGCGTTCCATGGGAAAAGAACCCTTCTTGAGGTTATCTTGAGATGATTTCGGGGCTTTTAGTGTCCCCGCGGCCCGGTCCTCGACCAGGCCTCCACCCCCAGGAAGCAGCCCGTGACAGCTGACTAACACCCAGGTACCTATTTTACTGCTAGGTAACAGGGGCATAGGGTGAAAGAAACTCTGCCCATTATTTCTCGCCGGCGCCTGGGATCGAACCCAGGACCACAGGATCACAAGTCCCGCGTGCTGTCCGCTCGGCCGACCGGCTCCCTCACTCACCCTAGTGAGGGAATAGTCAGGGAGGACAGAGATTATCTTTTTCCAAATGAAGAATAAAACAGAATGAGAGGATACAGGTATACGTTGGAAATGTCAAGAGTCAAAAAGATATAAGTATTTGTGCAATGTTGCTGATAAGCAAGTGGACTGCCCTCGGAAAAGAAACTCTGGAGACCCTCTCCATCCGCAACTTTAAAAACAAGTACTGTTACAGACAGAGTACTGTACTATATATTGTACAGAATATCAGACACAAAGCACCAAAACCCAGGAGATAGGTTCAAGAGCTAGATCTCACTTTCTGAACACACAGATAGGTAAGCACTATATATTATAACTTATAACAATAATGAAAGAGATTATAGCGAGAGCAGATAACGATAGATCACGACTGTTGATAGTCGGTGACTTCAACTTGAAATCCATAGACTGGAAAGCATATGAAGCTAAAACAGAAGATTTTTGGACCTGTAGATTTGTAGACCTCATCCTGGAAATATTCTTGTATCAACATGTTTAACAAGCTACAAGGATGAGGGAAGGGGACGTTCCCTCCATGCTAGATTTGATATTTACCAGGAAGGAGGAAGAGATATTTGACATTCAGTACCTTCCTCCCTTGGGTAAAAGTGACCATGTCTTTTGGGGAATAAAGTATGCAATGCGTTATAATCTGGAAGAAAATATGGAGGTTGAAGCAGTTGAAAAACCTGATTTCAGGAGAGGACATTATGGCCACCTTAGAAATTTTTTTAGTGAGTATAATTGGACAGACTTGATGCTAGACAAGGAAGTGAAAGAGATGTATGTCAAGTTTTGTGAAATATATGATAAAGGCACAAAAAAATTTATACCCAAACAGAAATGCAGAACTAGTAAACAGGATTGGTTCAGTAGAAATTGCGAGAGGGTCAGAGACCAAAAGACATAAAAATGGAATCAATACAGGAAGAGGCCAAACCCCCAAACATACCAGCGATACAAAGATGCGAGAAACAACTACACGGCAGTGAGGAGAGAGGAAGAAAGAAATTTTGAAAAAGGGATTGCAGACAAATGTAAAACAGAACCAGGTCTATTCTATAAATTCATAAATAACAAACTGCAGGTAAAGGATAATATTCAGAGGTTGAAAATGGGAAATAGATTCACGGAAAATGAAAAGGAAATCTGTGAAACACTAAACGAAAAGTTCCAAAGTGTGTTTGTACAAAATGAAATCTTTAGGGAACCAGACACAATACGACTTCCAGGGAACAATATAGAGCACATAGAGATGTCTAAGAGATGAAGTGGAAAAAATGCTCAAGGAGCCAAGTAAGAACAAAGCAGTTGGTCCAGATGGCGTTTCACCATGGGTTCTGAGAGAATGTGCACCTGAGCTCAGCATTCCACTTCAACTGATTTTTCAGGCATCTCAGGGTACAGAAGTTGTAGCTGATGTGTGGAAAAAGGCTAACATAGTTCCAATCTACAAAAGTGGAAACAGGGGAAGACCCCCTTAATTATAGACCTGTATCATTGACAAGTGTAATAGTCAAAATATTGGAAAATAATAATAAACTAAATGGGTAGAACACCTGGAGGAAAACGATATATCAGACAGTCAGTATGGTTTTCGATCTGGAAGATCCTGTGTAATGAACTTGCTCAGTTTTTATGATCGAGCCACTGAGATTGTACAGGAAAGAGATGGTTGGGTTGACTGCATCTATCTGGACCTAAAAAAAGGCTTTCGATAGAGTTCCCCATAAGACGTTGTTCTGGAAACTGGAACATATTGGAGGAGTGACAGGTAAGCTACTAATATGGATGAAAAATTTCCTGACAGAAAAATGAGGGCCGTAATCAAAGGCAAGGTATCGGATTGGAGGAATGTTACGAGTGGAGTACCACAGGGTTCAGTTCTTCCACCGATAATGTTCATTGTCTACATAAACGATCTACCAGTAGGAATACAGAATTACATGAACATGTTTGCTGATGATGCTAAGATAATGGGGAAGATAAGAACCCTAGATGATTGTCATGCCCTTCAAGAAGACTTGGACAAAATAAGTACATGTATACGGAGCAACACTTGGCAAATGGAATTTAATGTGAATAAATGCCATGTTATGGAATGTGGAATTGGAGAACATAGACCCCACACAACCTATAAATTATGTGAGAAATCTTTAAAGAATTCTGACAAAGAAAGGGATCTAGGGGTGGTTCTAGATAGAAAACTGTCACCTGAGGACCACATTAAGAACATTGTGCGAGGAGCCTATGCTACACTTTCTAACCTCAGAATTGCTTTTAAATACATGGATGGAGAAATACTAAAGAAATTGTTCACGACTTTTATTAGACCAATGCTGGAATATGCAGCAGTTGTATGGTGCCCATATCTTAAGAAGCACATCAACAAACTGGAAAAGGTGTAACGACATGCCACTAAGTGGCTCCCAGAACTGAAGGACAAGAGCTACGAGGAGAGGTTAGAGGCATTAAATATGCAAAAACTAGAAGATAGAAGAAAAAGAGGCGATATAATCACTACGTTCAAAATAGTAACAGGAATCGATAAAATTGATAGGGAAGAACTCCTGAGACCCGGAACTTCAAGAACAAGAGGTCATAGATTTAAACTAATGAAACAAAGCTGTCGGAGAAATATACGAAAATTCACTTTTGCAAACAGAGTGGTAGACGGTTGGAACAAGTTAAGTGAGAAGGTGGTGGAGGTCAAAACCGTCGGTAATTTCAAAGCATTATATGACAGAGTGCTGGGGAGATGGGACACCATGAGCATAGCTCTCATCCTGTAAATACACTTAGGTAATTACTAAGTTCTTTGCAAATTATTCCAAATTTCAATATCTGCAGTAATTTATATTAAATATTTATGATATAAATAAAAACTCTCGAAGTCTATATGAATTCTTTATAGGGCATCCACAGAATAAACAAATAAAAATTATTATTCTAGTAGCAACTCACCACATGATCTTGGAAATTACAGTTGAATGACAAGTTTCAACCAAATAATGAGAAAGATTTATAATATTTATGATATGGGCTAAAACAGTGACTGCAATTAAAAATCTCTACTGGTAAAATTCCAACACAATTTTCTTGAGCATGGGACACACCAAAATTTCAAACAATTATTCGTGATAAGGAACAAATTTGTTAATTACAAATCAGATTATGCTTTAAAAGCTGTTTGCATTCCGTGAATAATGTGATCAAGTTTAAGGTTGAAAGATGTGCTTACCTTGTAACTTTTCATAGAGTCAAAGAGCATTGCAGGAGAAAATCTATGTTCAGGTGGTACCTGATCATCAAACTTTGAGCTGAGAGGAGTTTTGAAGGCCAAAAATTTATTTCCAATAAGAGTATGACTTTTACGTGGACAGTTGAGCCATCTTGGAGGGATAGGTCCAGGTCCAGTTTTGTCCCCTCCTCCTCCACCAGACATCTAGAAAGAGATTTATAGTATAATTATTGAAAAACAATAATATAAAGCAGTATTGTTTAATCAGGCTTAACATTAAATTCACATATTGTGTTTTATGCTGGTAAAACCAAAATTTTAATAGCTCTAGGAATATTAGCTTTGTGCAAGACTTAGTCACCTTTAGTGTACAGGTGCCAGTTACCTGCTACCCTAAAGGGTAAAACCCACAGCACTAGATAAAATTAAAACTTAGTAGCTTTGTTGTACCTGTTGCATTATGTTGGGGATAGAAATAACCTAACCTACTCTATCCCTTTGAGATGTATTTTTTCTTGTCTCAACATGCATACAGTACTTAAACTTGTTGCATTATAATTTATCTACTCTGACATTTTTTTGTTTTCAAATCTGGCCTTTAAAGTTAAGGATGGCAGTGGCTACCACAACTACAGTACTATTTTCAGTGCATTCCACTTGCTAATTACCCATAGAGGATAAGAGTATTTCCTTATATTTCTTCAACACATTTGTGTTTATCCGAGTTTACCCAAGAGCCACCAACACTAGTTGCCTCGATGAGGACAGGCTTGTCGAAGGTCCCCCCATTTGCCTTTATGATCTTTTCCAGCTGTACCTTAAAACCTAACAGTTTTGGAAGCTACGGCTTTGGCGGGTAGGAGGTTCCATGGGCTAATAACCCTGTGGGTTAAAAAGCATCTCCTGTTCTCAGTCCTACATTGTGGCTTGTTGAGCTTGAAACCGTTGCTCCTTGCTTGTTACATCTGATCTTTTGAAGAACTTTTCCGGATCAACATCCTCTAAATTATTTGGTATTTTAAAGGTTTCAATAATATCTGCCCTGTCATGCCTGGTTTGCAGTGTTGTTAGCCCTGTGGCCCTCAACCGTTCCCGATACGTGAGTTGGCTTGGCTCTGGAATGATTTTTGTCGCCCAGTGTTGCACTTTCTCCAGAGCAGCTATATCCCCCTGAAGATGTCTCCATGCTTGGATACAGTAATCCAAATGGGGGATAAGGGGAGGGGGGGGGAGAGATGTACCAGTAATTTATACAATTGAATCACTACCTACTTTTCCTTGAAAAGGAAGGCATGCTTGATTATTCCAAGTGTTTGGTTAGCTTTTTTGACTGCTGGCTCTACCTGTTGTGCAACTTTCATCGAGTAGTGGATTTAGACTCCAAGGCCCTTTTCTTCATCAATCTGCTGTAGTATAATGTTATTAATATGGTAGTTGTGCCCCACATGCAGGGTCTTGCATTTGTCAATAATAAAAAGCATTTGCCAGTCATCTGACCATTTACAGAGTTCCTCCAGATCACTCTTTAAGGTTTCAACATCATTATCACTTCCCACTTTACCATAAATCTTTTCAGCTTCCACTTATGTACTCTTGTGTTTATTTCAATTTAAAGAGGCTGTCCTTGTCCACCTTGTCTATTTCCCCGCTCAATATTTACCTAAATTTACCCGCGGGCCACTAACATACTAGTGGCCTTGAGGACAGGAAGCCGTTGGCTTGTCAAAAGCCCCTCCCCCCCCAATTTGTCATGATTGTTTTTCAAGCTAGATTTTAAAGCTCAGCAGAGTTATGGCATTTATGGCTTCAATGGGTAGGCAGTAAAATATATCTTAAGTTGTGATCAAATCTTCTGGGGTTTTTTCTTTCCTCCAGGGTTGTGAGGTCTAGTTCCCTTAACCTATCCTCATAGCTTAATCCTCTTAGATCTGCCACTAATCTTCCTCTATTATTAAATTTAGATTTTATGCATCACGAGGTGCAGATTTTAAGCTGGTATTGCATGAACATATCCACAAGGGCCGTGACGAGGATTTGTTCATTTGATGCGTCACGCTATTGTGATTTCTGTGTGTAACTGGTATTGCATATTCCTCCACTGACCTAACAAAGCCAGACAATAAATATAAAGAGAGCCAGGTCTACACAGACAATTGACATTATAAAGATGAATGCTAAAGAAGTGTTAAAGATATTTGATTAAATTCAATTTGCCTCTAATGATTATATTACAAGCATACAGTACTATACATTTTTATATGGGTGAAATTCCATAAAACATGGAATCCAGTAGGGTTCAAAAAGTAATAAAAAGATAGGTCGTTTTGTCATTGCTACTCTAAATAATCTATCTTGGCCTAACATACCTTAACTAACAGAAGTTTTTTTTTATATATACAGTATATATATACTCTGCCAAGGCAATGACATCAATGGCTTGCCTTTGGGGCTCATTTTTGGGGAGGATACTACAAAATATGGACAATATAACTTGAAAGTCAATATACAGTAGGTTATTCATTGAAGAAAAAATGCAAAAGAACCATGAAAAATTAAATAGGATCAAAGATCTAAGTAACTTTTTTACATCATTAGTAGTCTTGAAACAAGCCTAAGTCAATCAAGCTAAGAAAAACTAAGATTAAATGTGGTGCTTTATATAGTGAGCACAGTGTGTGGTGTCACTGTCATGTCATAATCATAATCTTCAGGGCAAATGGGGGGGACATTCGACAAGCCACCGACTTCCTGTCCTCGTTGTGGCCACCTCAGGTAAATTCAGGTAAAATGTAAATAATTTTAATGCCGGACACAGTCTAGATACTTCTGGGAAAACCTGGCCACCTTGAAGTCCGTCTGAACAATACCGTCGGGTTAATTCCGGCGACGCTCTATAGTACCTTGATTTTTGGCCATACAATGGTATGGATATGGTGGGTAATAGAATATTGAAGTGTTTTACATGCTTGTATTTCTGCAACTATGCAGAAAATTAATAAATTACCCACTTGAACACCAAAACTGCAGGTACTGCCAGTTAAGTCATTATTTCAGTATACAGTATTCCCTGGCTTTCAACATACAGTGGCTATTCCATATACAGTACTATAATCCATTTTGATTCATACAGTAACTTTTGTAAACAAATATATATTACTTTTTAACCCATCGAGAACAGCCTTGAAACAGCGAGAAAACCCTTACAGCCAAGAGGCCGAGAGTGAAGGTGTAAGGCAGGAAGGGCACCTGTGCTTGCACACTATGCATTTGTTCACCCAGCAGCAAGCATGTGCCTGCGTCCAAGTCAACGGTTCTCACTGATATCTTCACGATGGTTGGCACCCTAACCATGCCAGTCACTGCCACAACCAGCCAGGTGATAATGCTCCTTTATATTATGCTTCACAGACCTATACTCTCGAGGCAGCATTATGCAGCAAAGTTTGCTAGAGGTTACCCAGCCTCGTCTTCTCAAGCCATTCTAAACTACTAACACCATTCACTAACTTTACCCATACTTTGGCCTCGGGATAACTTTCATACACTTCCGGTTACTACGAGGCAACAGTTGTGGTGGTAGAGTACAAGTTAGTGAGAGAAGAGTGAGTAGGGAGGCTGCCTGAGCCAGAGTACTCTCATGTGCACACAACTGTCCTGCTGGTGACGAAACCCAGCTTTCATATTGGTGGGGGAGGTGGGCGTCCAGACGGTGGCTCCCAGGGCCGCCCTCGCCTACCTTCACAGTGTGCCGTCCACCTCGCACTGTGTGGTGTGGTGCCCAGTCTCGCCCTCCACCCTCAGATCTTTATTATGTGCGGCGACCGCCCGCACGCCCGTGACCCGTCCGCAACTGGTGAGTGTCGCGGCGTACTGGAGCCTCGACCCGCCACCCCCAGCCTCCCCTCCTCCCTCTCCTGCCTCCCACCCCTCCCAGCGACCACTCTCTCTAGCTACCCACCTCTCCCAGCGACCACTCTCTCTAGCCACCCACCTCTCCCAGCGACCACTCTCTCTAGCCACCCACCTCTCCCAGCGACCACTCTCTCTAGCCACCCACCTCTCCCAGCGACCACTCTCTCTAGCCACCCACCTCTCCCAGCGACCATTCTCTCTAGCCACCCACCTCTACCAGCGACCATTCTCTCTAGCCACCCACCTCTTCCAGCAATCACTCTAGTATCTAAGTATCGGAGTATCTAAGCAACAGGAAACAGCGAGTAACTGTGAGGGGAGAGACATCAGAGTGGTGAGATGTCATCAGCGGAGTCCCACAGGGCTCTGTACTTGGACCCATTCTATTTCTAACATATGTAAATGATCTTCCAGAGGGTATAAACTCATTCCTCTCAAAGTTTGCTGATGATGCAAAAATTATGAGAAGAATCAAGCCTGATGAAGATAGACAGAGACTACAGGATGACCTGGACAAACTGGAGGAATGGTCTAGAAAATGGCTGCTAAAGTTCAACTCAGGAAAGTGTAAAGTAATGAAATTAGGCGAAGAGAGTAGAAGGCTGAACACAAGGTACCATCTGGGAGGTGAAATCCTGCAAGAGTCAAATACAGAGAAAGATCCGGGGGTTGATATCACACCGAACCTGTCCCCAGAGTCCCACATCAAAAGGATAAGTAGCGAGTAAACTTATACTCGCTCCATTATCTCATTATCTTAATAGCATAACCAATTAGCACTAATTACAGAAGTTACAATCCTTTCCCCAATTACAGATAATACTCTTCTCATCTTGTTGGAGCCTGTAGCGAGTAAACTTATACTTGCTCCATTATCTCATTATCTTAATATTCAATTTCTTTCTTTATTATGCACCCCATACCCATCCCGTGGGCGGTGGTGTAAAGGATTACAGAGGCACATAATCGGTTCAGGAACTGAACCCTCTAGTTCGTTTAGCTAAGCAAATAACAATGTTTGACGCTAGTTACAAAATTATCAATGTTGTATACACATGCACACACCCTCATTCATACATGTACATATATATATACGTATACACATATACATACACATACATATCTAATCACCCACACAATTACACACATCAATAATCTTTGTGTCACAAGTGACACAAAGAGGTGTCACAAGTGACATTACAAGAGGCTCACAAGTCACTATACGAGGCACTTTACATCTATAGTGAGTCACACAGTTACTAGTCTTGCTGCACACCCACCCAACTGGGCGGCAGCTTTACAGTCATGTGCATGCATTACCTACAGTAAGCAAATTTTGGATACTTCGCTAAAATTTCGGGCAGCACATCATTATGAATGAAGTACTTACACATTTCTTGGACACTATTGATGGTGTTATCTCTAAATTCTACAATTTTTCACATTCCATTATATAATGACGCAAAGTATGCGAATAGTTCTGCTGACAGAGTTTACATTTAGTCAAATCTACATCAGCAGATGTTACAAACTCCCAGAGGTACTTGTAGCCGAGCCTAAGCCTAGCAGTGGTAACATCTAGAAGTCTGCTAACATTATTGGATGACCCATAGACGTGCGGTTCTTCATGCATAATAGAATGATGATAGATGGAGTAACTGGTGTGAATTTCACTTAGCCTCAAGTCTCCGAAATTTAGTTGATGTTCCTGAGATATTGCTGCCCTCAGGCTGCTCAAAGGCAGTCCAAGTTGGTAATCAATTCCCTCTTTACGAGCAAAAGTCTAGGCTAGCTCATCAGTTCTATCATGCATTCGGAGACCAATATGGGAAGGAATCCACAGGAGACAAACTCTGACTCCATCATTGATTATTTCACTATATCTGTGTCTAGCTTCGCACGTCACAGTTATGCCTTGGGGAGCTGAGGGCAGTCAAGGATGACAAGGAGTCACTTACAATTAGCGTGTCAACTTTGGATTCATATACGCGCTCTAGTGCAAGGATTATGGCAACCAATTCTGTTTGAAGAGTGGAGGCCCAGTTACTTAGACGCGCTCCACACTCAAGGGAGATGGAACCATCTCTCCCTATCACAACAACTGCACTTCCAGCTGCACCATGGGACTGATGCAAGGATCCATCAGTGTAAATAATCTGGGAAAGGGAGCGCTCTCTGACTAAGGCATCAATTTGGCTTAAGGCATTGTACTTAACCAAATAGCACTAATTACAGAAGCTACAATCCTTTCCCCAATTACAGGTAATCTCCAACAAGATGAGAAGAGTATTACCTGTAATTGGGGAAAGGATTGTAGCTTCTGTAATTAGTGCTAATTGGTTATGCTATTAAGATAATGAGATATTGGAGCGAGTATAAGTTTACTCGCTACAGATATCATCAGCGGCATATGCTAGGTTGGCCAACATAAGAACCGTCTTTAGAAACTTGTGTAAGGAATCGTTCAGGACCCTGTATACCACTTATGTCAGACCAATCCGGGAATATGCAGCTCCTGCCTGGAGTCCATATTTAGTTAAACACAAGACAAAGTTAGAGAAGAATCAGCGGTATGCTACCAGACTTGTCCCGGAACTCAGAGGTATGAGCTACGAGGAAAGGCTGAAGAGCTGAACCTTACGTCCCTGGAAAACAGAAGAGTAAGGGGAGACATGATAACCACCTACAAAATTCTCAGGGGAATTGACAGGGTGGACAAAGACAAAGTCTTCAGCACGGCTGAAACACGAACAAGGGGACACAGGTGGAAACTTATTACCCAAATTAGCCACAGAGACATTAGAAAGAATTTGTTCAGTGTCAGAGTAGTTAGTAAATGGAATGCACGAGGAAGTGATGTGGTGGAGGCTGACTCCATACACAGTTTCAAATGTAGATATGATAGAGCCCAGTAGGCTCGGGAATCTGTACACCAGTTAATTGACAGTTGAGAGGCGGGACCAAAGAGACAAAGCTCAACCCCCGCAAGCACAAATAGGTGAGTACTCTCTCTAGCCACCCACCTCTGCCAGCGACCACTCTCTCTAGCCACCCACCTCTGCCAGCAACCATTCTCTCTAGCCACCCACCTCTGCTAGCGACCACTCTCTCTAGCCACCCACCTCTACCAGCAACCACTCTCTCTAGCCACCCACCTCTGCCAGCGAACACTCTCTAGCCACCCACCTCTGCCAGCGACCACTCTCTCTAGCCACCCACCTCTGCGTGCAACTCATCCCGAATACCACTCTGCCTCAAACACTACGCTATTAGTGGCTTTGCAAGAATGAAAGAACACCAACGTTATGTACTCTTGCAACCTAATGTGCCACTCCAACCACCTATCAGTATCAGTGACCTACTAGTACAGCAACCGCTCACCATGGCAACTTAGCAATACCAATAATAAAGTCGAAAGTGAAAATGACACTGAGGCCTTACAAAGTGATCTACATGAACACCACAAATCCAAACACCACCACCACACGGGACCAAAGAGCCAGAGCTCAACCCCCGCAAACACAACTAGGTGAGTACAAATGGTCGGAAGACTGGCAGATGCTTTTTAAGGTCGAAAATGCAAGACCTTGCATGTGGGGCATAACAATACCCATCACAACTACCAAATCAACATTACCTTGCAACATATTGATGAAGAAAAGGACCATGGAGTCAGAGCACACCAATCACTGAAAGTTGCACAGGTAAGAGCTGCAGTAAAAAAAAATAGAAATAGTCGAAGGAATGACTATGTCTTTCCTATGACTTCAAGGAAAAGAAGGTAGTTATTTACCTGAATAAAATCTCTGGTGTGCCCCCACTTGGATTAGTGCATCCAAGCATGGAGATCTCATCGTCAGAAAGGCATAGCATCTTAGGAGAAAATTCACCACCAAGCCACAAAAAAATTCCCCAAACTAAATCGACTCTCATACCAGGAACGGTTGAGAGCCACAGGGTTAACAGCACTGCGCACCAGACATGACAAGGCTGATCTCATCAAAACTTAAAATACTTAACAATTTGGAGAGGAACTTATCCTGGCAACTTCTCTAAAACGTCAGATGTAACACAAATAAGGAACAACAGTTTCAAGCTCAACAAGCCACATTGTAGGACAGAAAACAGCAGATGTTATTCACCCATAGGGTTATAAACCCATGGAACTGTCTACCTGCCGAGGCCATAAATGGCAAAACACATGGCAGAATTTCAAAATCCGGCTCAATAAAATCATCAGGACAAATGGATGGGAAAGAAAGGAGAGAGATAGTGGTCCTCAGGTATAATCTGTATATGAAGGATTTTGACGAAGCAGTTACGCATGCACTTATGAATCTGTACATCTTTTCTCAATCTTGGCGGCTTTGTTTACAACTGTTAAACAGTTAATGAGCTCCGAAGCACCAGGAGGCTGTTTATAACAATAACAACAGTTGAATGGCAAGTTTTCATGCTTGTAAACTGTTTAATAAATGTAACCAAAGGCGTCAAAGATTGAGGAAAGATGTACACGTTCTTAAGTGCTTGCGTAACTTGCTTCGTGAATCTGGCCCCTGGTATTGTACACACACTGCATTACTCTTTAAGGGAAAAGGTAGGTAAGGGAAGAGAACTATCAGGAGAAAGCGTCAAGCTACCACGACTGTATAGCACTTGGAAGGGATCAGGATAAGGATTTGGGATGGGACGGGCTTAGGAATGATGCCCAACCACTTTGACAGTCGGGGATTGAACGCCGACCTGCATGAAACGAGACCATCGCTCTACCGTCTACCCCAAGTGGTTGTGCACCATTCCTTTCCACATTCCATCCCAAATCCTTATCCTGATCCCTTCCAAGTGCTATACAGTCGTGGTGGCTTGGCACTTCCTCCCGATAGTTCCTTTCCCTTCCCTCTCATCCTGAGGGAGGATTAGAGAGAAATCGACTTTCCTTTTGTTACTACCAAATAGATGTGTAATCTGTAACTAGCTAGTGAAGCTGATGTAGTCAGTTATTTCTTCAATTGTTTCAGAGCAAGATCAGTTGTTTCCAGTCTCCATGGTGTAGTGGTAAGACACTCGCCTGGCGTTCCGCGAGCGCTTAGTCATGGGTTCGTATCCTGGCCGGGGAGGATTTACTGGGCGCAAATCCTTAACTGTAGCCTCTGTTTAACTCAACAGTAAAATGAGTACTTGGTTGTAAAAACGATTCTTCGCGGCGGGGATCGTATTCCAGGGACCTGCCTGAAACGCTACGTGTACTAGTGGCTGTACAAGAATGTAACAACTCTTGTATATATCTCAAAAAAAAAAAAAAAAAGTTATGTGGAAGTGGGTGATTCTTGGCAGGCACTATAAAAGAAGAGGCACCAGCACAGAGAGGTGTTAAGGAAATGGAAGATGTGCAGAAGCAGTTATTGAGGAGGCATTTATGAAATTGTTGGATGAAAAACATAATGCACAAATTCTTCTTTAACACAACGGCTCGAGGTGGCTTCAGTCTACTTTGGAGTAACTCGGCTATACTTTCACCTGGAAAAGTACCGATGTGGAGAGTGAAGAAATCCTCATAAAATCACACGATTCCCCAAGGAATTACGGAAATGGAAGAACATGTCCATCAAAAGTAACTTTAAGAGATATTCAAATTCTTCAATTGTTTACTGAGTGGAGGTTCAGTAGATGTCACCAAGTCAAGTAAAGGATGACCCTGTCTTTCATCGAGTACTTTAATATCATCCCGACAGGATATTTGAAGCCGTTTCCAAACGAGACATAGGGAATAGTCCATACATGCTGCAGCAAGTACTTTTAGCAACTTTAACCATCACAAACCAAGAAAGGTCAAAGTTTAGGTTTATGTAAGGAACCACGTGTTGATTTTGAACATACAAAGCAAAGCCAATTTTAGGACTTCCCTGTTTGAGAGGTTACAAAAGGTTAAGTAAAATTGCAAGGCAACAGACCCGTTTGCTTCGATATCAATTGATATAGTATTCTATACACGTGTCTATACAGCTAAAGAGGGGGCTGTGGGCAAGGACAAGTAAAGTAGGATCAATGGAAGGGGCAAATATCTGTTGCATACAAAACTACTTCCTGTGATGTATGTGATGGCCTTGTCCAGGAGATGGGGGTTTCAACGGAAAGATCAATGGACAGGCAAGGGCCAGGTTTCCAAGACATGTTATCGAGAACAGGTTTAGGGAACCCATCATCATTTACATAGAAAATAAGTTATGAGATGACCGAGCATTGCCCGTTTATTATGGTAGTTCTGTTCATGTTCCAAAGTTTCGCTACTAAATGCATAATCGTCATTCTTCATCATAATCCAGGCAAGGTGGGTACACTTTGCTTGGCTTCTACCCAATGGCTTGAAGAGATGTTTTGTAAAATACAGTCAGCTGTGTGTTAGCCATTGGTCAGAATGGGATTCTGCAAGCAACATTTAACTGACCTCCACATTAAATCAGTGTACAGTTCAGACCTTTCTTTCAGATATCTCATATTTTTACCATAAATACACACACACTAAAGGCTTGGGATCATTAGAGTTGAAATGTGGGCAAGTCTTTCATCCAATGACAATAAATTAATCAGTCCAATAATAGTTATGGATTTCATCCAATGAACATTTATAATATGAACATTTATAATGTGGTTGGGAATGAGAAACTGCCTCGTGTAGGCAAATAGGCATCTACAGTTGCTGCTATTCTCAAGCACCTTACAGTGTACTGCAAGAACAATGCATTAGAATTGAAAGTATATTCGAGGGCAAGAATAAATCAAATATATTATTTAGACCCCGAGGTCAACCACTGGAATGCTATGTCGCCCAGCACTTGATGGTTAGGTGATAGGTAAATTACAGTCTTTAATGTTTTTGAAAGTCAATAGCCCTTAACACCTATCATTTCCAGTGGGCTTGTATTATAATCTCTGCGTTTCTCAACCGGGGTTTTGTAAGAAAATTGCTAATGTTTATTTTGTGGGTTTACCGACATGGTTGATTTGTGACAAAGTAATTATTATTGTTGTGAATGTATATGGGGGGATGTTAAGAGGGTTTAATAAATAAGTTAGTTTTAAAGGAGTATCCATTCTTCCTGTGAAGGAGATCAATGATCTACTTCTAGGCTGACATTTTCTTGAAGCCAATAAGTGTTTTATATTTTATTGGGGGCCGGGCCTTTATGATCTCCCTTAATGGTGATACTTCCTGATTCTAACTGCTGACCCTCCTCCATAATACAAGATCCCCCATAGCAGCCCACATTTATAACAAGTGGGGTAATATATATTTTTGAGATTGATAAGTATACATTATATAATATTTATACAGGGGTTTCTTGGGAAATGAAAATTATTTAAATAGTTCTGCAAGGGTTAATAGGTTGAGAAACAATGGAATATCTGGATATTAAATTAAGAACAAATTAATTTAAACTGTTTAAGCAAGAAAGTCTGCTTAAATTTAATTATTAAAAATTTTGATTGGATGTTATATTCATCACATTTTATAAGTTTTTTAACAAATGTTCCTAATATTAAATAATAATGTCATTATTAACAGAAAGGAAAGTGAGAACCATGCAAAGTAATACATGGAACAATGGAAATATAATAATAATATATATATATATATATATATATATATATATATATATATATATATATATATATATATATATATATATATATATATATATTATTATGAAATAGTTATCTTGTCTAGAAAAACTCTTGTTTCAAAATTTTTATGGCTTAAAGAGCAAAGGCACTTCAGAATAAACATTATGGAATGTTTAGTTCAATAGAAATGGGTTAACAATCGGTAACAAATAACACCAGACTGTAGTAAATAAGGAGAACAATCTGCACATTGTGGCAGAGAAGTTACACAATCTCAAAAAGAATAACAAGATAATTTTATTAATCACTAAATATTTATTAATTTTTTCACATACACAAAAACTTCCAGTAACCCTATGTATATTATTTGAAATTCTGAGTACATAATATCCACACACCTTAAACACTGCATTAATTTTATAACACATAACGAACAAATCTGAATAAATTCATTCTTAACTTCAAACACATGATGCATGTATTTACATAATTATCACCGATTGATATTGGCATTTATAAATAAATTCTAACTTGAGTGCACTTACCAATACACATGACTGCTACACTTTTCTTGACTTTGCCTTCTTCTTTACTGCTTCAATAGTAGGTATATCCGACGAAACAGACGAAGATTTTTGTGTTGTTCTAGGTGTCGAGATATTAGTTATTATATCTGAAAATCTTTCTGCCATAGGCCCCATTTTATCGTAATTAAAAGCTATAGTAACTAAAACAATAGCAATAGCAAACCCCACTACTGTTCCTTGGCTCATCTCTGCATCTACACCTCTTAAGGTTGGCTTGAAGCCAAGATTCAGGTGTTTAAATGCAGAATCTGCAACAAAGGTGATTTCTGGGGTAGAATACTGATACTGAGATGAAGGCAGGTTAGATTCCAAGCGTAAGTAATATGTGCGTTTATCGGCAGTCATTGGAGGCAGCATAAAGTATGGATGAAGACCAAGCTTGACAGTGTGAATTGGAGAGTCTGGAAGGTCTTCGCGATATAGGTGTGCCACTAAAGATGAAAGGTGCTGAGGGTCAGTGTCCACTTTGGCGGCAACGTCCATCTGATTGAAAGTTCGCAATACGATGAGCTTCAAGTCTTGAACATCCTCATTATCAGTGTGAACTGTGCGTGTAGCGGGCAAAGTTCGTTGGACATGCAAATTAATTCCACTTCCAGCCTTCAGTCTCAGCTCATACTGACACTGGAGAGAAAAAAAAGCACAATATACATATCTAAATTAATCCATTTCCAATAAACTAAATTTTATGCTCCACAATCTTTTAACACTGCTTTCAAGATAATGTGGATGGCTTGTAGTACCCAATTTTTTTCCTTATTTCCTTTTTCCTTATATTTCAAACACATATTCTAGGTTATTTTTTTTATCATTTTGCAGCAAATAATCATAAAAAGTACTAAGCCAGGTTGGCTACACAATACAGTACTAAGTTTAGCTATGTTGAAGGAGTCTGAATCACTGATGATAACAAAATATGAATTAGCATAAAGCTGGGAAGCAAAATTTCCAATCTTTGAAAACCAGAACATTCAACCAGGAAACAGATTACTGTAAGTGAAAATTGAATTTGGACAGTAAGGAGCACATTTATTTTTTATTGAGTGCCCACGAGTTGACTGTGTGGGACCAATAAGTAGATAAGCCAGGGACATTTCCCAACTTCCTATTATAGTTTGAAGATGGCCAACAGAATAGTTTGCCATTGATGATACATAATTTGTTATTGGTATTAGCAGGTCATTCATCCTTCCAACAGTTATGTACTGAACAACACCATGAATGGAACAAAAAATCAATTGATGAATGTAATGAAAACCTTTTCTAGGGAGGTCCTTGATAGCTTAAGTAGTGGTGGTCCCACTACTTAAGGCTCTGGTACCTCCAAGAAATATTAACAGAAGTGGGGCCCCTGGAAACCAGGATCAGAATTTGGATTGCTCATCGAGGTATAGGGAGGTCTCAAATTTCTAGGATTCAGTGACCTAGACGAGTGAACCACATTCTGATCCTGGTTCCCAGTATGCCTGTGAAAGTCCAGGGGTTTGGTAGCATTTGCATGTCTCAATGATATCAAAATAATATAGTTATTTACCTTTGGCAGTAGTCCTCTTATCCTGAAGTTGCCCTGTTCATCAGACACAGCCTCCTCTTGGTATTGTTCACACTCGAGGCTTTTGCCCACAGCCTCAACCACCACATTGGATTCTGGCTCTCCGATCAAGGAAACAGTTTGTCCATATACACTGTATGCCACACGTGACCCACTGTGAAATGGCAAAGGTTATAGCTGCAGTAACATACATCTTTCAAACACTGTACAGTAATTAAATCTTATTTCAAATAAGCCTGCAGTAAAACATAAACAGGGTATGTATTACTTATTTTCAGAACCATCCGTTACAAAATAAAACTTTACTAGAAAATGTACTACAAAAAACAACTATGACTATATTTTCATTAATTACAAATGTTGTACATTCAATATATTTTTCTTACATTTATATAAGTATCATAAGTACCATTGCAAAAATGAGCAAACATACATGAAGTGTTAGTCAAAAATACTTTTCACCAGCTGACTGCTCTCATAAGATTTACAAAACCCTAAGTTATCTCATAAGGTATTTAAGGTTTACCTCCTGATATCAATGTACATTATACCTAACTTGGCATTTCTCTACTTAATATAAATGGGAGATGATATAAAGGTTAAATAAAAAATACAACAGAAAGATCATATCTCACCTGATGCTCATCATAATAGTAGCACCTTCATCTACAGTAACCATCTTGGAAGGTGGGTCAAATGTGTACTCCTTCATCATGGGACGGAGAAAGTAGTCACCAGGAGTCAAGGAGAAAAAGCCAATGGTACCATCATTCTCCGTCAGACTATTTTGCCGATAGCTTTTTCCTCCGGACATAGATACTAAAACCCCAGGTAAAGAAGCTCCATTATCATCTTTAACTAACACAACAACTTCTGCCAGTTTGTAAGCTTCAAAATTCCCTTTTTCACTTAAAGCATTCATCACATAGCCTTTCTTTTCAGCTGTAACAGAATACTCTACAGAGTTGTCCAAGGGACCGGCAGTGTATTTCCCAGCGGCATCAGTAGTGTATGTGTAGACATTTCCATTGCCTTCTACATTTATGGTCACACCACCAATACCAGGCGTCACGGAACCATGAATGAAAAGTGCACGTTCTGCCTGAAAAGTGACTATATTGAGCACACAGTCTGCTGGCATAGTAAGGGTATGGGATGCTGGCTCATACTGATACAAATTAGTAGGAGAACCAGGAGTCAGAGTCACAGTTTCACCTTCACGAACCCAGTGTTCAAACACATAAAGGTGCGGAACTTCTGGAGATGGATTCAGAGGTCCTAAAATGCTAACCTGGCTGCTAGATTTCACTGCAACAGTAAAAGGTGCTGCTTCTGAAGATCTCACAGCACCAGTTAATTGGTGTTTAGTGGCTGACAGAGTGACTAAATTTGGAGAAGAAGTGTCCCACTGTATTTGTGATGATCCAAACTTGTGACAACCAACAGGTGTGAGAGTATATATGCCAGAAGCTGACATACACACTAGTGTGCTGCCTTTCTGAGCAACAACAGTTCCAGAAGCTCCAGTGCTGGTGGTATAACTTAAGGTAGTTTCATGAGATGATGCTAGGGTAAGCTGGTAGCCTACCTGTTCAAGTGAAACTTGAACATTGTGTGTGTTCACAATTACAGGTATTGTCTTGAGCTTCCAGCACCATTCATCTTTCTGCACGCTTAGTTGATAAGAGCCAGGAACAACTTCGGTTAGGGAAAACTTTCCATCAACAGCAACTGTGCTGCGAGGAGTGCCAGAACCCCCTTGAGCAAATCTAAGAATCACAGTTAGATCAGGGCACTTCTCCAAGCAGGATATCTTTCCAGTGATCTCCCCTAAGAATTGGGAAAAAGTCAATTCACCAATTGGATCTGACTCGACTGTGAATACATGCTCAAGAGGCCCAAATCTGAAAAATGAAAAGGGACTCTTTAAATATTCGGTATGTACTGTATATCCTGTTGTACAGAAGAGGTTACACATTGATTAACAAATGTATAAATACATTAGCCCTTTAACTGCACATCCTAAATTAGCTAAATTTCCTAGTGCACTTGAAAGATATTCCCAAAAATTCAGTTTTCTTTCATAAAACATTTCTTTCTAATGGTGGGAAGAAAGTTCTAATAATTTTATTTCAAATTTTACAAAATACTGTATACTTATTGACTACTACCCAGATTTCCTATTATCCTCTTACTGAAATTTAAAATAATGAAAATCAAACTGAAGGTGTGTATTTTGATTTGAATCCCTGTATTTTGGCTGGCAGAGTTTTTTCCAATTGGGTTACAATTAGAGGTGTACTTGTTTATTGGTATTGGTTATATAACCCTCCTGTAGTATCACTTTCAGTTAAATTTCAGACAATATTGCCAAAACCTTTTTTCCTTTTGTTACTCAGGTGTGTGCAGGAGCAAATGAGTTCCACACTCCTGTAACAGGCTTTCTACTAGTTTTTCTTGGGAAAACATACTGCCAATTGACTTATGACCAGATTCCCAATCGCTGCCAGGTGAACATAGGTGATCGGTTAAAGATTACCAAGGACAGAACCTAGGTCGATATTGCTCATGAGGCCCTGAGCGAGAAAACCAGCGAGCCACAAGACCGAGTGAAAAATTGCACTTAAGCATTCAACTTTCTTAAAACAGGAATTTATATTCAAATCACTCATGGCCCATATGAATCCAGCATCATGCATTGATGCAAAATTAATATTTATTTAATAATACTGCAATTATTACTCAAGTAGTTCTACATATTGATGCCTGTATGCAAGACACACATAATGCATATGCAAATTGGGCAACCTTAAATACAATAGAAAATCCACTTTGATTTTTATGTAACCAAATACACTAAAAATTTAACTTAATACTGTATACTGTATTGTAAATAAGCCTACCAGTCGAGCTGGAGTATAATATTAATTTATAATATAATCCAGTGTCAGGTTATAGGTATTTTAAGTGATGACACCTTCCTCACCTGGTCAAAAACAGAAATACAGTGCAAGATTATACTTAAAATGACAATCCTTAACTATCATAGTGGTATTAAAATCATCAGTCAAACAATTGTGTGGGTGGCCAATCAGATGTAAGGGCAAGTGGGTGGGGAGATCTATGGTCTGTAATTCAGTCCAGTACAGTAATGCAACTACATTATATAACAAAATTAATATGCATGTGGGCCGGCTGGTGTATAAAATTACCTTTGACCAGACCACACACTAGAAGGTGAAGGGACGACGACGTTTCGGTCCGTCCTGGACCACTCTCAAGTCGATTGTGAGAATGGTCCAGGACGGACCGAAACGTCGTCGTTCCTTCACCTTCTAGTGTGTGGTCTGGTCAAACGACTTCAGCCATGTTATTGTGACTCATCGCCTGCATAAAATTACCTAATGACTTTGAAACTGCTGATGGTTTTGGCTTCATCAATTCTCACTAAAATTGTTCAAACCATCGACATCCCTGTAGCATCTTTGTTTCTAAATTTGAGTTTGTAATCTCTTGTTTTATAAAGTGTAGGTTTTAAAAAATGTTCACTGTCCCCCATCACAATTTTGTATGTAGTGATCATATTTCCAATTTTCCTATTATTTACTAGCTTTGTATAATAATGCCCCAAGTCTGTCCTCATAGCTCTTGTTTTATAGGTCTGGAATCCATTTGGTAGCATGTCTTTGCACCTTTTCTATTTTGTTGATGTGCCTTTCTTTTTTTTTAGATAATACTGTACCACCATACAACTGCTGCATGCTCCAAATTTCTTTTCAATTTTCCCAGATGAATATAAAACAATTTTGAAGTTTGCAAGTGTAGCATAGACTCCTCTTCCACTACTTTTGATACAGTTCTCCAGTGACAGTTCATTATCCAGACCCACACATAGACCTCTTTTTATTGTCAGAGTTCTTAAACATCTTTTCATGTGACTTATGGGTTGTTTGTGGTCTATTTTCATTGATTCAACATTTCATTACATGGCATTTGTTCACATTAAATTCCATCTGCCATGTCTCTGTTTACTTATTTTTCTAGGTCATTCTGAAGAGTATGTTAATTGTTTAAGTCCTTTATTTCCCCTAGAAACTTACCATCATCTGAAAACATATTCATGTAACTGAATCCCCCCTCTGGAAGATTGTTTGTATAAACAGTGGGCAATACTGGTGCTACAACATAATCTTTTGGTAATTCATTAGTGACATTTCTCCAGTCTGATACATTCCCTCTGATCACTGATCTCATTTCTCTAGTGGCAATTTTTTTACCTTAGTCAGAACATCCTCTTGTGTGGGACTCTGTCAAAGGCCATCTTCAGGTCCAGGTAGATGCAGTCAGCCCATCCATATCTTTCTTGAAAGATCTCTGTGGTTCTATCATAAAAGCTAAAAAAAATTTTTATGCAAGATCTTCCTGTTCAAAAACCATACTGTTTGTCCATTATGTCCTTTTTTCCAGGTATTCTACCCATTTTATTTGAATTATTTTTCTCAAGATTTTACTACTATGCTTGTCAGTGATACAGGTTTATAATTAACACTTTCGCGCTATCTGAACGCGCCGGCGCGTCCAGTTTCGTCTAACGTAAATGCATAGTGGACATAAAGTTATGTCAACTTTTAAAACATTTGTATAAAATTCAATTTTTATCCGATTTACTTTGGGTTTGTTTTAAACTGCGCGCTATGAGGCTCTCTTTCTCACCACTAGGCTGCATGGTACAATACGTTCATGAAAGGTGTGGATAACTTCGATCAAATGGTATTTTGTCCCAAACGGGTTGCAGGTGGGTGACTTTAGCCGTTTATACTGGTAATGATTCCCCCATATCATGTATTATATGCATATGTCTGTTTAGGGAATTTTATTCCGATCAATATACAACCAAAAATAGCTGTGTGCAACAAGTATAAATTTGACAAACATAACAAAAGTAAAAACATTTCGTGTGTGTTTGACGCTCACTGATATGTTCCAGCGTTGTTTTATATTTGGCGCTATTCTAACTTACGCTTTGTTGATATTTTTTACCTATGGGCACATAGAACATTCTATTGCGAACACATTGACACAAAAATGAATGACGTACATAGAAAATTAATGTCATGAGAGTGAAATAAGTATAAACTTTCAAAGCGCCGTGCGTCGTCCCGTCACCGATACCGGGTAACAATTTCACCACTTCCCACACTCTTGCGGGCGGGCCGCAATCATTATTCTACGCTTATATTCACATCACCGTGTTGGGAATTTCATTGCGAGTCCATTGATACCAAAATTAACGCTGTAGAACAAGTGTGGAGGTGATTACAATCCCAAGAGTAAAAACATTTTGTTGCTGATGGGCGCTCACGGCGAGTCATCTTCGTAGTTATTTATTTGGTGCTGGTATCCCTATACGTTTCGTGACTTTTTTTACTGATGTTCTTCTAGAGAATTTTATTGCGAACACGTTGGTACCAAAATGAAATACGTAGCATGAGAACTAAGGTCAGAAGAGTAAAAAGAGTATACACATTTTTGTTTTTACGCTTAAGCGATAAAAACGCAGCACGCACATTCGGTTGGCTGAGTGACCTTTGCGGAGAGCGCGAAAGTGTTAAGAGGGTCTTTTCTGTTTTCATTTTTACATACTGGAACTGTTTGCCTTTTTTCATATCTGCAAGGATCCCCGACTGCAAGATGTTTGGAAATTAATGTTTAGTGCGGTGCTAATCTCAAATGCGCATTTTCTTAGAACACAAGGCGAGATTACATCTAGCCTAACTGCTTTATTTGTCTAGTGCCTTGAGCAGTTTTTTCTACCTCGTCTCTAGATTCTAGATACTCTATGTAGTGTTCTGAAGTCCTTACTGTGTCTTGCACTCTTTGGTCCTCTCACAATTTCTACTGAATCAGTCCTGTCTGGGTAGGATGGTGTGTGTACTCACCTAGTTGTGCTTGCAGGGGTTGAGCTTTGGCTCTTGGGTAATTACACACACACATGCAAGACCAAAGTGTAATTACCTAAGTGTAGTTACAGGATGAGAGCTACGCTCGTGGTGTCCTGTCTTCCCAGCACTCTGTCATATAACAACCTAACCCATGGTGAAACTCTATCCGGGCCAACTGCTTTGTTCTTACTTAGCTCCAGGAGCATTTGTTTCACTTCGTCTCTAGACACCTCTATGTGCTCTATGCTGTTCTCTGGAATTCTTATTGTGTCTGGTTCTCTGAAGATCTCATTTTGTACAAACACACTTTGGAACTTTTCGTTTAATGTTTCACACATTTCCTTTTCATTTTCTGTGTATCTGTCCCCCAGTTTCAACCTCTGAATATTATCCTTTACCTGCAGCTTGCTTTTAATGAATTTATAGAAAAGGTCTTTCACCTAATGCCTAATGAAAGTAAAAATTTCCTTATACATAGCAGTGAGTAGGTACTCAGGCATTAAGTTAGCTTCTTGTGGGGTTGAATCCTAGGCAGGACCTGTAATTCGACCTGGAGAGGGGGGGGGGGGTGGAACATCGATAGAAGCCAAACATGAATAAATAGACCCTGGCTTCCTGTCCCCCGACACAGGGAATTCATTATACTGTACATGGAACAGCTTTGATACATATACTGTATCATATGTACACCTGTGCCAGTACATATATACATGTATCTGATACACAGATTAGAGTTTTTGGCTCAAACATTTTACAAACAAGCAAGACAAAATAAAAACTACCAAGATATACTCTAAAACATACCTCATGCCTGCCTCATCAGCCGCTGAAGAGAGCTTAACAGCTGTGGTATAGGTACCTGCCGCTAGGTGAGTGCAACCTTGGCCATTGATGTTGGTCAGCAGCTCTGAGTGAGCTCCAGAATCATTTTGAATACTAATTGTC